GACACAGTAATCAGACTGACCAGTGGTCAGTATGAGATATCCTGGCTGAGATACAGTAACTTTACCCTCCAGGCCGCCTCCTGATGATGACATGCATCACTGTACGTGTTTTTTGTCCATGAACAAGCTTTTTCTGTATTTTTCCAAAAGCTTTTTAAATATATTTTTAGAATTAAACAAATGAAATATTAAAAAGGATGAATTTAACATACCAAAAATGTAACTTTCATTGTGAAATTTATTTGAAATTTTGTGATTTTTTTCCTTTTTTCCTTTTTTAATCTAATTATTGATAAAATTGATGGCACTGTCCATTTTGATGATCCTAGTTAATAAATATATTGAGTGTATATTTGTTGTGACAGTTGTAGCCTATTTGGATTGAGATGGCCACTCTCAAGGAAATAAAGTTGTTTTGTGATACCTATATAGTAGTTGTCTGAAGTGTATTCCAACTGACCATATCCAATGACCTTGATATCATACGACGACTGATTGAAAAGTTGTGAGCCTCATATTTAAGAGTTTTACTTTTGGCAGACATATTGCATTACATTTCAACATAATATCCTTCAAAGTCTATACACTTTTGCCAGCGATGTTAAGGGGCCTCGTTGCCATTTTTAATTAAAGAAGTCCTTTTCTTGACCGTTCAGAAAGTCCTCCACTGCATGTATGACGTCATCATCTGACCGAAAGTAGGTACCGGTCTTTTTCAATTTTGGAAATAGATGAAAGTCTGACGGAGCGAGTAAGGCGGATGCTCATCAATTCAAAGTTAATGGCAGCCATGGCAATGATAGACTTGTGAACAGGGGCCTTGCCCTGGTGGAACAACACACCTTTACTGAGATTTCCGTTGTGTTTGAGTTTAATATTTTCTCTTAACTGCCGAAGAAGTGATACATAATATGTGCCATTGGTTGTTTGTCCCTCTTGCAGATAATCTACCATCAAAATACCATCAACATCCCATAAAAACCGAATCCATAACCTTTCCAGCTGATGGAACAGTCCATGACTTCTTTGGCAAGGGTACACCATGGTGTTTTCATTGATTAAAGTGCCTTTGGGGTGAAATGATGGACCTATGTTTCATCCATAATCACAAACCTCTGCATAAAGTTAGAAGGATCTGCCTCTAACAGGTTCAGATTACCAAGCGACAAAGTCCGCTTGATGTGCTTCTTATCAACTCTCAGGATTCTTAATACCCAAAGGGCTGAAAGCTTTCCCATTGCAAGATCTTCTGTAAGAATGGAATGTACTCTTTCCTGTGAAATCCCAACTGTACTGGCTATATATATCTCTATAAGTCGCCTGTCAGCCATAACAAATAATGGACTTCATTGGCCATTTCTGGAGTTGCAAGAAGTCATCCAGGGCGAGCGTTATCCCAAAGGCCCCGTCTGCTACGCTTAAATTCCGCCATCCACCTTTTCACTGTACCCTCATGGTTGCTACCATATCAGTATGGATATCCTTAGGTGCTAGAGCTTTCTTTCAGTGATTTTATTCATTAAGCAAAAGTCATTTGCCTTGTTTACTTTAGAGTGCTACCTCTTCGACATAAACTGACAAAATGACACCAGTATGCGGGTACACAGTCTTAGATAGTTGGGGAATAGTAGAGCTGAAAAAGAACATTTCTGCTTAACTTCTTCAATACAAGGCTCACAACTTATCAACCAAGCCTCTTATTTGTGACATTTTGAGGGTTTCTCTGTGATGACCATTTTATTAAGATATCGTGTCTGAGATATGGAGGCACCCTGACTATGGTTATTACCTCATACCAGTGTGTGTGTGTGGTATAGTTTGGACAATTTATTTCTGATTATAAAACCTGCGTTTGGTTGACGCCCCCTACCACTGGTCGTTTTTGTCTGATAGGAAGCTGAGAAATCGACCAGCATGTGATGGTATTCCTGTATCGTATTCAGTGGGTAGGTCATCATAGCCATCTACTACAAGGAGACCTCTCTTCACAACGACACTGGCTGTTGTATAGGGCGTCTATCAATAAGTTATGATCGTTATTGAACAAATGTGTACGTGTGGAGTGTGCACCGAAAAGTTAGGATTTTTATAGAATGCAAAAATGTGTACGTGTGGAGTGTGAACCGATAAGTTATGATCTACTAAATAAGTCATGGTATATTTAGTAGCGTTGCGTTTTAGTTTAAGAAAATAATTAATCTGTTTATCGGGTAATGTGTGATTTGAATAAGTCAGTCATGATATGTCTGTCCAACTACGTGTAGTTATAACCAGGCATTCTCTATATCTAGTTACTTTTTGTGGATTAAATCAAGCAATTATCCTATTCATACGCCTACGTGAGGTTGAAATAGACAATCACATCTAACCGACTACCTGTGGTTGAAATAGACAATCACATCTAACCGACTACCTGTGGTTAAAATAGACAATCACATCTAACCGACTACCTGTGGTTGAAAAAGACAATCACATCTAACCGACTACCTGTGGTTAAAATAGACAATCACATCTAACCGACTACCTGTGGTTGAAATAGACAATCACATCTAACCGACTACCTGTGGTTGAAATAGACAATCACATCTAACCGACTACCTGTGGTTAAAATAGACAATCACATCTAACCGACTACCTGTGGTTGAAATAGACAATCACATCTAACCGACTACCTGTGGTTGAAATAGACAATCACATCTAACCGACTACCTGTGGTTGAAATAGACAATCACATCTAACCGACTACCTGTGGTTGAAATAGACAATCACATCTAACCGACTACCTGTGGTTGAAGTAGACAATCACATCTAACCGACTACCTGTGGTTGAAGTAGACAATCACATCTAACCGACTACCTGTGGTTGAAATAGACAATCACATCTAACCGACTACCTGTGGTTCTAACCGACTACCTGTGGTTGAAATAGACAATCACATCTAACCGACTACCTGTGGTTGAAATAGACAATCACATCTAACCGACTACCTGTGGTTGAAATAGACAATCACATCTAACCGACTACCTGTGGTTGAAATAGACAATCACATCTAACCGACTACCTGTGGTTGAAGTAGACAATCACATCTAACCGACTACCTGTGGTTGAAATAGACAATCACATCTAACCGACTACCTGTGGTTGAAATAGACAATCACATCTAACCGACTACCTGTGGTTGAAATAGACAATCACTTTTCGACTATCTGATTTGAATTAGTCACTATGTCTATCAGACTACTTATGGTTTGAATCAGACAGTCACCATAACTATCCGACTACGTGTGGGTTAAATCAGACAGTCACCATATCTATCCGACTATGTGTGGGTTGAATCAGACAATCGCCATATCTATCCGTCTAGGTGTTGGTTGAATCAGAAAATCGCCATATCTATCTGACTAGGTTTGGGTTGAATCAGACAGTCACCATACCTATCTGACGAGGTCTGGGTTGAATCAGACAATAGCCATATCTAACCAACTAGGTGTGGGTTGAATCAGACAATCAAGATATCTTAAAAACTACGTGAGCGTTTTAATCAATCACTGTGTTTATCCGACGAATGGTTTGAATCAATAATTATCAAGAAATCTGTCTGTGGTGCAGTTTAATCCATTTATTGGCTGTGCTATCAAATTCTACTTTTACAGATCAGTATCTAGATCAAACGACTGTTCAATAAGTGGATTTGCCAAACTACTAGCTGGATCTTAATTCCATTGAGCAAGTATGGGACATGCTGCAGACAGCTTTTTTGGTCAGGAAATGTTCGGCCAAAGACACTCGATGAACTAACGCTATCCCAGAAAACTAACGCTATCCCACAAAGCCAACGATATTCCACAAAACCAACGCTATCATCCCACAAAGCCAACGATATCCCACAAAACCAACGATATCCCACAAAGCCAACGCTATCCTCCAAAGCCAACGCTATCCTACAAAACCAACGCTATCCCACATAACCAACGCTATCCCACAAAACTAACGCTATCCCACAAAACCAACGATATCCCACAAAACCAACGCTATCCCACAAACCAACGATATTCCACAAAGCCAACGTTATCCCACAAAACCAACGATATCCCACAAAACCAACGCTATCATCCCACAAAACCAGCGCTATCCCACATAACCAACGATAACCCAAAACCAGATATACAATGTTATTCGAGGCATGCGCGATAAAAATAAAAGTAGCATAAACAAAGTAAAATATTTGTGATCCTAAGCAAAATGAAGGTAGTGTATTTTTTGTCTAGTGTTATTTTACTTGTAGCTTGACTTAGCCCTGTCCACTTGGCGCTTAACGACCCTATTACAGGTATTGTGTAATGATTCGAAAACATCTTTCCGAGTAACAAAGTTTATTAAACGAATCATCAATTAAATAACAACAACGAATAAATAATATGAAGATATATACGTTAAAAGTTGATGATACTAATTGGTTCACAAAGCAGTTACAGAAAACGTAGAGGTTACCATTGTGTATTGTGCTTTTGATAACTGCAGTCATCTCCCCTCGTGTACAGAGTTACAATGACATCTTATATATCGGTGTTAACTTATTGGAATGTCATAACTATGTTCTGGATTATTACTACACTATACGTGTATAATATTCACAACAAAACAGCCCAACTTCCTTAAGACTGAATGCGTTCATCACGCTTGGTCCTATTTCCGATACGAAGACTATACAATGCAAAAGACTTCAGTGATCACGTTCATTTCAAAATTCAAGTTTCTGTGAATAAATTATAATACTTTTCTTAACCCGTAATAGTTAAGGCGTCTTTATAATGAATTCGGTCACATCAATTGATATGCTGAAGTCAGCGAAGGTGACATGGAATTTCAGCACGGAACACGGCAAAGGTGCAAACATGTCGTGGTGTACGTATTTGCTTCACTAATTTATTGATAACTCTTAAGAAAAGCGAATGGTTCCTCGGTGGGTGTCGCGCAAATCATTCCTTTTTACCAGAAGTTAAAGTCTGAGACGTTCAGAATTGTGGGAGGAGTTGACTCTGGATGTACTTCGCGACATTTCTGTTGGATCCACAGCAGGTTTAGTGTCAATTCCAATGGCTATGGTGGTCCCTTCAACACAAGATATGCCAGCAATTAATCATGTTTCTAATATACTAACAAAGTAGTAAAACGTGTAACAAAATGGTTAGCAAGTACAGAGGACATCGATTTCCAACGTGTGTCTTATTTTAGACAAAAACATTACACAGCAAATCACAGTTAAACAAATAAATATTATATATAGATTGAATGATTGTCATTTCATTCTATCGGTCCAATAACCGACCAACATCTGTTGCCTGTAACTCTAAGTTACAATCTGAATTATGATTTCATGATAGTAACGGACACAATTACATTTTTGCACATGTACTTTTGGTGCACAATATGTGGTGATGAAGTGGCGAGGATAATATTCAAACAAGAAATAAGTGCAAGTGAAGATTGCAATCAGCTGTTATAGGGAAGACGATACGTAGAATATTGTCAAGTACTATTTCTTATAGAATGTGTGCTGAACGAGTGGTGTCGGATGTCTGTATCATCAAAACAGGGAGAACGCGGTGTGCATTCAACAATATAAAACTTGCTTTGATCTCCGAAACTCGATGAAGAAGGTTGTTCACCATTGTTGCTGCTGCACTTTGATTTTAACCATTTACCGAAAGCTACCAGGCTTCCCGTGTTACCCTGTGGTCCACACAGCGACATAAAGGTAGTGAAAGCGAAGAATGAAAAGAAGAGTGATATTGAGATTGTGCTCATCACAAAGATTCCGAATTGATACTGGAACTGGATCTGTGAAAACAGCATAAAGGAGGCAGCGCCGAAGGTAGTGACAGCGCCTGATAGTACGGACAGGCCCATGCTTTCTAACATATTACGGACACGGTCCATCCGGTCGGGGGAGGGACAGGTTGCATAGGCCTCGGCCAGGTGTACCACATAGTCCACCGACAGTCCAACCACCATACACATATTGAGCGATTCCAACACCTGAAAGTATTAAAACATATGAGAATCGGCGACATGGCTTAGAGTCGGGACTAATCCTTCACATGCATTTTTGCATTCATCCATGTTTCTATAGGCGATGATAATATAAAAAATACATAAACAATTCAATAAAAAAAACCCATGTAAACCATTTGCCTAATTGTCATACACTCATTCGGAATGATTTGCAAAGATTATATTTGACATTTCGTAATAGTCTCCAACACTTTCTTGCGTCATCACAATATTCTTTAAACGGAAGGAAGCCGTAGATAAATGGGGATAATAAGTAAAGTATCGCCAATTCGAGCAGTATATACCGCGGTAGTACTCGCTCTAGAAGCGTAGCAGTCATCAATGGGACTCGAAACTGCTGTTTACAACGTCCTTTTAGTGCGGAGATTTACTGCTCGTTCATGAACACGTCTTACTCTACACCAATGCCGAGACGTCAGATAACAGTGCAACAACAAACAGAAATAGCGTCCCGGTTTAGGTTGTTGTGACCTTTTAACAAGATTGAATAGTATCTCTGTCATGGTAAATCACAGGTAAAAAAGGCACTCCGTAAGTATTCTATTTTGATGTTTGATATTTGTAGTGAAAACAAGAAATTCGACTTTTTCAATCAATATAACATGGGATCATTTTCCTTGGGATTCTAGTAGTTTCCTCCATTTTACGTTTCTATGACAAGGAGAAGCAAGATTCATGACGTAGCGTCTTTATATTAGCAATTTCTTTTGTCATCAATAACGGAAATGATTTTTTTTCTTCAATATACGAACAAGATTTAAATAACAGCTATTGTTATCATTGACAAATGATGTCGTGTTCCCTTATATTTACATTTTAATTAAACCAGACATGTTAACCATACGTGTCTCCCTACTTATTTTGATACAAAAATGGACACTGACCTGTTTTTCCGTACTTTGACAATAATAATAATCGTTTGTACTTGATTCATTGTGTGAACTGTACTGTGTAATCACAGACACTTCAACTGAGTTCAGTAAAATAAAAAGAACGATAAAGAAAATCGCAGAAAAATATAGGAAAAGTTTCTCTTGTCTTGACGTCTTGTTGGAGTTATTGCAGACTTGTACCTAACTGTTACCGTATTCTTACTCTGATCTGGGTTCAACGAAAACATCTATTTTAGTGGATCAGGCATGCAATGCTTTCGTAAGGAGTTCGTTTGGTGTGTATTATTTTGTCTAATTTGATAACATGTAAACGGCGACACAGAGACATGAGAGTGTCAACAACACTTGTAGAGTACCTACCCCGAGTTTCCAGCCCGCCAAAGGGATGATGCCGATGACACAAGCGGTGACCAGGCCTATGGTAACTGTGGCAAGAAATCCTATAACAACGTTAAGCGTTGTGAGGATGAGGATCGGTAGGGCGAGTCCGAGGCCGACGATTACCCCCTGTACGGCAGAATCCGCTAGCGACTTCAACAGAACGAGCAAGGATAGTGTACTATAGATTATTAATGCTATTTACAATGAATGCACATTCAATACACACGGTATTTGTATTTCAATCCAGCAATAAGGGGGAATACATTGACTTAAATGATAAAAATACTATAATAACTGATACCACTTACCTCCTGAACCTTGATCCAATTCCATGTATTTTTTGTACATTGGAAACCGTTCTTCATCGTGTCTGGCATTTTCATCAACTATTATCAGGTAAATTAGAAGATAAAAAAGTTTCAAAGTAAGATGAAATGTAAAGGATTCTATTATTTAACCATTATCGGCAACAACCAAGAGAAAGTCCATCGAAAACAACTTTCACCAACGACGTTAACTTATAATATTGTTAATCGACGAAAAAAACCCCCCAAAGTCTTTATATTGATAACTTACTTGATAGTATACAACCGAGCAATATATGATAAAGAGACAAAACAGTAGCAAACCAGCAAGAATGAGAAAACAACTTTGAATTAGCATATACCGTTAGCGAATGCCTGAAGAACAATCGATTATAGATAACCAGACATTATCTACTTAATTGTTTCAGCATAAAGTGACTTTCTTTCTAACAAGTTTAATGTTGCTCTTGGTGGCGGAATTGTAAATGGTGTACGTAAGGGTGATAGACAGTAGAAAAGAGAGTATGATACTTTGAAAACTCTTAGAAAATTCGATTTGACCATGTCAGTTGGATATACATTCCCCAACATGAAATCATGAAAAAAGGCAACTGTAAAACTCGAGCTGTATTTAGATGTGTTCTTTACTCGTTTGTTGGCCTGCTGGTTTCGTTGTGTGATACAAAGTTAGAGGTGTTCGATGTTAGTTTGTATGCCTGCTGTTTTCTTTGTTATAAATAAGATTCTCATTTTGGGAACTTCACGTCACCCTTTATATGGCGTGTGTCATCGTTTGAGCTGAACATACTTACACCTGCAGAACACTGCTCTTTTTCAAAGATGTCTGTTTGAAAACCTCCCTATTTTGCCGTCGTTTTATTTCTTATATCTCTTATAAACGATAGGATCAACATTCTTTTCTACTTACCTCTTCTGCCATAAGTTTCTCCCATCGCTGATAAACAGGCTTCCCTTCAGGATAGCCTAGCTTGTACACGTTTAAGGTGGTATTGATACGGATTCCGATATACTTGAGTTTGGATGCATAGTACATATCTGAAAAGAAATATAATGGAAAAATTGCATTTAGACAACACAATAGACACACACAGAAGCGTGTTGACATTTATTACTTTGTTAAAAGAGAATAGAAGTTCATATATAACACAAAGAGTAGAAGATTAGAGTGTGACGTTTCGATGTCTACCCGGTCACCTTCATCAGACAAATGACAAGTGTGGATCGTACTAGCACTGATGTACGTAGTGTACAAGATGGTACGGAATCGACCAACTTTTTCGGCTGTACTATAATCCTATGTACACTGGGGTCGAAACTAGTGTGACGATATGGTAAACAGATATAGACACTTGGTCATAGATATACATAGGGTAGTCATCGAAACGTCACATTCTAATGTTCTACGGGTTGTGTTGCAAGAACTTCTATTCTGCTGACATTATCAACCCAAAGAAATTGTTCCAACAAATAAAAAGAAGTTTTCTGTGAAAAATATCCAACATTTGTATCCCAAGCAGACTAAATTCTTCACACTGCAGTGTTTTATAAGTAATATGAATGTAGTAGTAGTGATTTCACATCATATACCGGTCCAATGTTTTTATTCATTCGGTAGACATTCAGCTTCATTTGAAATTCTTCATTGTCTCATTTCAATTCGTTGTCTTCTCTACCACTGAAATTATTGTACAAATGAATGTTCGTTGCTCGTTAATACAATTTCAATTTTAAGACGATTTAAGTCATAATGAATGACAAAGCAGTTTTTGTTTGAGTCTTTCAAGCCGAGAAAAAGGGTCCAGCTTGCTTCCTTTAACAACACTTTATCGCACCTAAAGAAGAGGGCAACAACTGGAATATTAGACGTACCGAAAACAACTGAAACTAGAGACACATGAAACACGGTAGGCAAAGCAAGACCGAGAAATTACCAAACTGAAATTAAATAACAGAAACTATAGTGAGAGCGAAACGAAAGATAGTACAGATTGTAATAGAAGTGATAAATGAAACCGAGTAGAAGCCATAACAATGCGAAAGACAGAAACAGGAACCAAGGTTAGACCGAAAACAATATGAATTCCTCGAAACCTCGTGAGTATGTTAAGTTTTAAGTTCATGACTACATTAAAGTTGTCCTGCACGACAAAATAACCGTGTACTGACTGGCAGAGTTCCTGGCTCTCTGAGTGGTACCATCTATCGTCTGTTCCCCTAGCAAGCCGTTGTATAAGTAGTAATCGTCAGTAGGGTTTCCCGTGTAACTGTCCGACAACCAGTAGGACACTCCGATCTGTAAAATATAACTGCATGTCAACTAGTAACACTGTCATCATTATCATAACCACATGATCTATCAGTGACCTATTTCACTTTCATCGAATGATCCGCCTATGTTAGCCATGAGACAATTTGCAATGTACGTTGTTACAACATATCTCTGTTAAGAAACCCTGTTCATGAATTCCAATCATATTACACATTGCTGTAAATCTGCGAAAAGGACTTCCGTTTTAGTGATTCTCGTCCGAAATCCAGATCAACTTTAACCGATTTTTCAGTAACGGTGTTTTAACGTTTACCCCATTATTGCTCTATTTGTGAGTAAGTTACAGATGTGTTCCAAAGGATCATGACTGTATTTGATTCATCCCTCATAAACTGAAGAATCTGTTGATAACCTTTAACTATTGTGGATCTTAAAGTTCATTATCACAATAAATTATCATTACACAGTTAAATACAATGTAAAACATATTTGCAGTTGTAAAGTGCCGATAAAAAAACTGCAAAAGAATATTGAAAGAATCGGTATAAACTGCGCGGTACTCACTTATCCCCATGTGGTGTTTTGATACCAATGAAGCGAAAAACTGTAGGTGCTCTACACTTATCCACATGTGGTGGTATAAATCCACAGTGTAAACATGTGGTAGTAGTATAACCTAGTAAAGCGTAAACAGCGGATGCGCTTCACTTACCCTCATGTGGTGGCTAAATCCTTACGTTCACTTCATTTACCCCCATGTGATGGTTTATAACTTATTGAAGTGTAAACAGCAGGTGCGCTACAATTACCACCAAGTGGTGGCATAACACCTAGTTTAAACAGTAGATGCACTAAACTTACTCCCGTGTGGTTGTATTAAACCTAATGTAAACAGTAGGTGCATTTTACTTACCCCTATGTGGTGGTTTAAAATCTTGTAAAGTGTAAACAGTAGGTGCGCTACACTAACCCCCATATGGTGGTTTATAACCTAGTGATGTGTAAACAGTAGGTGTGCTACACTTACCCCCATGTGGTGATCAAAATCACTGGGCAATAAAACACTGGGGTAGTATATAGACGATTGCGCATCCATGAAGGTTGAAACATTGCCGGCATTAATTGGCAGGTTCATAGATAGTCCTGCTGGAAACACGCTTCCGTTCGCGTCGATTTTATTCTATTTAAACGAAAGATATAAGAATTATTCAACCAATATTTGTTAATAAAATGTCTGAAATTTGTTTCACATCATACCGGATATTTGTTTTATAAAAATAAAACTTCAGAGAAAGATACCTGTAAATAAGTTTCATACGGGGAGGTGAAGCAGGCTATTTCTAATTTGTCCGTTATAGCGTTTCTTTTAATCCTCAGCGAATCTGCTTCTTCAGCACTCATTGTCTCCAACCGATTGCAAAGGTTCTGTAAAATAATGGAATCATCTGTCATTTTATAGCGCTACTAATACAATTGTCATTTATATCCCCCGCATGCCAAATTTGTGTTGCTGCTTGTGAATGAGATTGTTATGTCGCATGTATTTCAGACACATCTCGTCTGACGTTATGTCCATCATAACAAACTTGACATAAACACCGCATATCGTTATGGTCCCTAACGAATGAACTACTGACCAAATAAAGTATCCGTACCATTGTATCAATACAGTAGTCTTAGTTACATCTTACATACAGTAACGCAGTTCCTGTTAAACTGATCGATGTAATCAAATCTACCACCCATGTCAAGCATTTGATTCCAGCCCAATATAACGCCTACACTTTCCTAGGTAATTCCGAAATTCCGTATATAAATGCATTCATTCACTGCTCATTCAGACATTCAACTTCATCATCCATGAACCAATGTTATTTCCGTACACAGATTATTCTAAATAATGTTACGGGTTCTGCGTCAATACTGGTCACACAGGTTGAAAGAACACGTGAGAAATGTCTTATGTAGATGCCTAGTGCAGATGTCTGATAGGGCAAGGCTGATAAAGGTTCTTGTTGAATTCACGATTTTCATGTGTCTGTTACTATGAAACGTTGAAGTTAACAAACCTGCCCGGATGTCCCCATTGTAAGAATGATATATTTGTCTTTTCCTGTTTTTATATGTACATTATTAACTATTATAGAATTCCCTGGTGAAGAGGTGCACCTTATTGACATACAATTTCATAACATTTTGCGTTGGAGTATGCGATACGTTATATTAATCATATGTACGAACTATTGAAGACATCTTGAGGTTAGTTTTCATCGATGCAGACAAATATGAAATACTACCAACATGTATACGTTTGACCTATGGGTTGGGATGTATTCTTAAAGCTTGACACAGTGTAGAAATATAGCCAAATTTAAGACGATTTCTTAACAAACATGTACCTTAAGTGCGATCTGTGCTTCGGGTGTATTGGGATCGAATGTATCATCCCATCTTGCCACACCACCACAGAAGGTGGCGGATTTGAAATTACACGAGCTAAAGTCCTTTCGCTGAATACCCCAGGTGAGGTATACGCTTGAGTACTCCTCCTCGAAACTCCTCTCGAAACTATAGTAATGCATGCGCGACGCACGGGCGTAGTTGTGAGTCGCCTTGTAGATCTGCAGCTGTGAAAACAAAAAAAAAATAATTGAGTATGACTACATTTTTGTATGGCACCAACATATCATTGTCTTGATAAAGTGATTGATTTTGCGAAATTTAGATCAAAGTTTGATTACCTGTTGTGAATCTGGTTCCAATTTTGAGGCACTCCACATAAAGAAACTTGAAGCACCAAGGAATAACAGTGGTACTATTATTCTCACAGCACGATGTGTTATAAAATCGTAGAATCCATTTCTAAGGAAGAGAACTATTTTGCTACGATCTTCAAAATTAGACTTTGTCCTTGGGGTCATGGCTGTATTTAGAATATCAGAACGCAAAGAATTTCCAGACTCTGGACGATTAGCAAAAGGTGTGGACGGTTTTTTTCTGATGTCAATATCAAATTTTGATAAATTCATAGATATTGTGTCGTCTTGTTTTTCACTACTGGTTTTTGATTTCTTCTTTTTGCATTTCTGTATACATGGCCCACACATTTTGTCCCAAAATGGTTTAACCTTTTGTGAATACAGCATAATCACTGTAGGAAAGTAGAGTAGGTCACACAGGTAATTCACAAACACTAGAATACCAGAAAATATCCCAAACGAGCAAACCGGAAGCAAAGGTGAAAGACCGCTCACAAGAAATGCGGTCATGGTTGTGAGTGAAGTGACAAAAGTCGTTTTCGCTGCTTTCCTGTAACAATCAGACAGCCGGTGTGCCTTACTTGGATATATCGTGTGACCAGTCAGTCTCCACGTGTCGTAGAAGATAAACACATCATCCGCACCGATACCCAAGATTATGAACATAGAAATGACATGGAAAAATCCAAAGTATTCATAACCCAGCACACATCTATATATAAGGTTCGTCAATAGGAAGCTGGTAAGTATACTAAATATTCCTAAAAATGTTATCCAAAACGATGCAGTCTGAAACCACATGAAGACCAAAATAAACAGAAAACTTCCCACAGCAAGAAGCATGTCATTGAGAGCCTGAATAACGACATCGTATTCAAACAACACCGTGCTGATGTAGTATAATGACATCTTACCAGACATCAAATTGTCGCGAATGTTTTCCATTTCAGGTTTCACAGACGACACCAAGAAGTTTTCCAGCTTGCCGCTATCATCAGAACCGCGAAGTGGCCATCCTAGTTTGTAGAAAAATCTGGTTTTTGAGGATCTCAATATACCATCACAAAGATCAAGCCCTTGTTCTATGAAGTACTTCACGTAATCCTTTGTAGCATTATGCTCGGTCGCCTCACACAAAACACCGTGGATGTTGCTAAACGTCGGGTCATAGAACGTGGCACTAGAGGAATTAAAAGTTCCATCAAACAATCGGAGAACAGACGAAGGCTTATGACACTCGGTACCACTGGCAACATAGCAGAAGAAAATCTGATAGTATTGGATGTTGAACATTCTCTCCTCGGCATCTCGGATAAGCTGCAGATTTTCGCGACTGAAGATATCATAGTTGGGTACTTCCAAGAAAACCTCGACAAGGTCACCGACAAAGCCATTGTAGTAGGCTGGTTGTATGGCTCCAGTGACAGGTCTCCATAGTTTCCCGGAGTAGGAGTCCTTGCCTCTCCATGCGTAATCTTGGGTGCGGGTGTTGTCTTCATTTAGAATTAACGGCATCGTTTTGAACTCAATTGGGAACAAGTTATAACCAGTACAAACAAGACATACGGTCGCTATTATGATGGTAAGATGGAAGGACGAAGCCAGAACTGAAAAATAGGAAAAAAGTTTTTGTCAAAAATGTCATGTTTCTCTAAGTTTTCTTCTCAGAATAACCTATTTGTTAGTGTTTCTAACTAAACGTCGTTCATCAGCTCTGAATACTTACCGAACGCTGTTATCGGATATCGGGTTATAAACCTGCAATATCCAAGAATAGAAAATCGCATGGACATCCTCCCGGTTACCCGTGCTTATAAAAATATGTCCTTCAAGTCTGCAAGTCAAGCCACGCCATAAAAGTTTCATTATAAACTAAGTTTTTTTTTGAAAAAGTTTGACCTTGTGACTGTGACCAGTGTTTGGTATTACGACCAAGAGTTTACTAAGAGTGTATCAGAGGTGTGTGGTAAATTCTCCACCTCTATGTATGTAGTTGTTGTAACAGAATGGATTGTCATTCAGAGGAGATTTTAAGTCAACAATTGCTGTCTCTCTAAGATCACAGTATGGTGTTATATACTAACAGGTGTATTTACTACCGTGACCCGTACTTGAACTCTTACGTATTAAACACCAATAAGATCATCCTAACAAGAGAGCATACATTTCGTTACATCACTTCTGACCTGTTACACTACATTTACTTATCCACTCGGAAACTTAAACTATTGGTAGTACATTATTTCGGGTCTGTCCCAGTGTTCATTACCTTTTAAACTATTTTTCCTGAAAAAATACTAAATGAACACTAAATAAATATAGGATATTTACTTCTAATAATTTAGATTTTTCTTAAATATTTTATTGTAGACTGAGAGTTATTCTCTCAGTTTGTTTCTCAAAGCCAGCTTACATAATGTCAGGATTAGGACAGGCCCCACTTGTATAAAACATCTCAACTTGAGATTTCCTCAAGTCGAGATTTTCCTCAGCTGATATCTCCTCAAAAACGGCTTGTATAAAATTTTCTCAAGGAACAGGAGGAAGGCATCGGCTAGGATGTCCTGAAATTCCTTGAGGAATTTTCATACAAAATATTTTCAAGGAGATATCATCTGCTAAAAACAGCAAGTGCCTTAAATATTTCCTTGCTAAAATGAGTTTTTACTTGCTATGACAGTAAATCTTCAAATAATGTTTTTCTTCTACTTTTTGTGATTGATCATGTGTATCAATTTTCTTCATCCAATAATATCAATATTAGAATGTATGTAATGTCGAAATTATACTAAGAACTGATTTGTCCCAATATTTTCATTGAAATAAATTTATTGACAACAATAATCAAGCAACTTTCTGTCAGTAAATTTGAGTTATGTACTTATACATGTAGTAAGTTCAAATTAAATGTCAATATTTCAAGAAATATTCTACGATGATATGACAGTCCTAGCGGGCATTGATGACGAATCAATAATCAATTGACAATTTCTGAAAACAAAAAATCTTATGTTTCAGCCTACAATACATGTAGACTTAAAATCTTTACATAATTATCTTTCCTTTTGAATTTACTTGGAATTTCATTAAATGTTAAATTTAGAACTGCTCAATAAAAACTGTTAGCACCTTACAAATATTTACTAATTACTAATTATAAATTTGGTTGCTCAGCAAAAGGAAAGTTTAACACCAAAGTTATATTTCACTTGCTACATCAAAGACTTTGGTCCACTGATTTATCTTGTAGATCATATATATATATATGTATTTATGTTAAGTATTATACTGGCATTTTACTCATGCATTACACATGTATATTTGGTTATCCTTTTTTCATGTTGTTAATTTCCTTAAAAATGGTATACATATATTGATGATTTATTATTTCATTCAAGTTCTCACTGATTTATTGTAGTAAAAAGTATAATGAACTTTATCTCATTATCTAGAAACCGACAGAAAAAAACATCGACAATGCTAGCGCTATATAAAAAGATCGGTATTTTTTTTACACTTCACTCGCATCTCCTAGAAGACCCCCCTCCCAACGACCCAAAAAGACATCGGCGAGACTCATGCCTACAAGTGCTACTTTATAATATGATAAACGACAAATGCATTTTTTCCACGAACAGCACGTCTTTATTTATATGTTATGGAATTATTACTCAACTCTTTCGTTCGAAAAACGCCGGAAAAAAATAGGTAGTTGTGCCAAAAAAAGTGGCGGCCGCCAGATAAAATAGTTTTCAGAAGTGGCACTCCAGGGCTTCCGTATATTTACGTACTGAAAGTGGTGTGTTTAATGTGTATGTCGCTGGCAATATTTAAACGAAATGTACTACAAAACAAAAGAAAGTGGTGTGTTTAATGTGTATGTGCTGTATGTCGCTGGTAGTGCATATAAATAATCAAATCAACCGACACTGGTTGCTAGAATTAGTTTGTTTAAGTGGTATATAGGGGAAAAGGATACTATCATGATGTCAGTAGGAACTCCAGATAGGAAGCATAAGCAAGTAAAATTTGTTTTTTCATTTTTTCGGTATCAGTGCACTCTTGTACACTTTTTGTAGATCAGATTTAAGTTTTATCTGGTCACACTGGATTATGTTCTGTTGCCTAAAAGACGGTACCTGTCTCTGCTGTTTGTCTGAATTGCATTTGAAACCCCCATGTTTCAGTGAATATTGCTTCATGTGGTAACTTTGACAATCTGTAAAAAATCACACGACTCATTTCCAAGATTCCCCCACCCCATTTCATCGTTGGTAACGTTAAGGTTTCAGTTGGCATCCACAGACATATGAATGTCATCGGAATAAGGGCATAATCAAATTACATTTATCATTTTCAATTGTCATCTTGTTATAAGGGAGCTAGCTTCAATTTGTTTAAATTACTTTCGATATCCCTACGTCGTTGATAATTCTGGCTGGTATTACACATCTGTTAATGCGTACACTATAACAATGCCTTGTAATGGTAAATGTTTCTATGTACACTGTAACATTACGAAATCTTCAGTCTTTTCTTAGATGGTTGTTTTGATTTGCTTCTGTTGTGACCTTGTGAACATCCCCGTTTTGCCCCTGCAAGTTGTCCCTGCCCCACCATCCCCAAGAAAACATCGACGTTTTCCGAAATATTTAGAAATTCAATTATTTACACAGTTACATGAACCATGTACATGATTTTTCTACCATGTTTCTGAAATACAGAGATGGCTGGTTGGTGTTATACTTCATGGCGCCAATCACAACCATTTCTTATGATGGCTGGTTGGTGTTATACGTGTACCAATATTTGTCCTAGCAAACCACTGTCATATTCTCTGCGATCGATTTAATCCCGTAAGTACAACTACACGATTTTTAACTTGTGTGTTCGTCGTAATCGGACTAGCATAATTTTCCTATTTAAAATAAACCACTGTGTTAAATCATAAAGAGCCGAAGTGGTGAATAATACATTATATATGTACATACATTTAGCTATTTTATCCTTCATACGTGTTCAAGGCGCTAATTACGTTATATATGAAATAACATATATATATAGTTTATGAAAATCTATTCAAAAGTCTCCTGAAAAAGATACTGAGAGTGTGTTATGGTATTAGATTATACAATATTCAGATAACTTCTGAAGGAAAAAGATAAAGGGGATATGTAAAGAGAGATGGGAAAACCAATAGATCACTTTAACAATATAAAGAAATCAGAAAGATAATATTACTTACAGAATGCACACCACGGGTAGTTGGCTATAAACTTGCAATAAAGAAGTGGTGGTTTGTTTGCGTCTTTCTTCTCATTTCCAGTCGGCGTGCACTTCTTCGGCGACACTCCATCTGCCTTATGCTCGTTGTATTCCAGTACTCCAACTTTGGGCGAAGATTTCTTCAGTTTTTTAATTTTCTCCTTTTTCTTTTTGGTTTGGTTGGCACCAATCAAAGACTTTTCGGTGAAACTTTGATTGGATTCTAAATAGAGAAAAAAATCAGGTGATTCCATCACTCCAATCTATCGACTTGTTCGGCAGGATTTAGAAAACAAGTTCAAATATCTTCATCGAATTACTTTGAGGTTCCGACTCATTGTTACCAGCCATCGTACATCACTCGCAACATGAATTTGTAAAATGGTCAGTGACCGTTACGTAATGAGTTGGTAAACGGTTTCATTATACGATGGGCTGTGACGGCACCGAGTGTGCCCATCCAATGTTCATTGCAAAATAATCCGATTGACACAAATGCAATATAATCTTTACAAGTAACAAAGTGTGAGTTAAAATCAATGCTTCATTGGTTAGGTATTACAATAATCCGTAATTAATCGGTTTAAACACACTATTGTTTACCTGTCACGGTACTGCACTCCTTCGGCGACACTCCATCTGCCTCACTCTCGTTGTATCCCTGTACTCCAACTTTGGAGGAAGATAATTTCAGCTTTTTGAGTTTCTTCTTTTTCTTTTTGGTTTGGTTGGCACCAATCAAAGACTTTTCGGTGAAACTTTGATTGGATTCTAAATAGATAAAACAAGAGTTCTTCGGATCTGTATGTGTCGCCTGCATAAAGTGTCATGGTCACCCAGAAATCGAGCTAGATGTCAAAACTAATCTGTACCCTTCCAACAAGAAGTCATATACAAAATTTCATTTCAATAACTCAAAGCATAACCAAAGAAAGTCCAGAAAACAATATTCCCAGAGATTTTTCTAAGTTCAAAGGGGCATTACTCTGCCAAGTAGGGTTACAGACAGCCGGAAATCGAACTTAATCTGTACCCTTCCAACAAGAAGCCATATACTGAATTTCATTTTGAAGTGTGAGTTAAAATTAATGCTTCATTGGTTATGTATAACAATAATCAGTAATCAATCGGTTTAAACACACTATTGTTTACCTGTCACGGTACTGCACTCCTTCGGCGACACTCCATCTGCCTTATGCTCGTTGTATCCCTGTACTCCAACTTTGGATGAAGATATCCTCAGCTTTTTGAGTTTCTTCTTTTTCTTTTTGGTTTGGTTGGCACCAATCAAAGACTTTTCGGTGAAACTTTGATTGGATTCTAAACAGATAAAAAAATCACTCCAATCTTTCGACTTGTTCGGCAGGATTTAGAAAACAAGTTCAAATATCTTCATCGAATTACTTTGAGGTTCCGACTCATTGTTACCAGCCATCGTACATCACTCGCAACATGAATTTGTAAAATGGTCAGTGACCGTTACGTAATGAGTTGGTAAACGGTTTCATTATACGATGGGCTGTGACGGCACCGAGTGTGCCCATCCAATGTTCATTGCAAAATAATCCGATTGACACAAATGTAATATAATCTTTACAAGTAACAAAGTGTGAGTTAAAATCAATGCTTTATTGGTTAGGTATAACAATAATAAGTAATTAATTGGTTTAAACACACTATTGTTTACCTGTCACGGTACTGAACTGATTGTGGATAGGTGTTCTCCATAGGGTAAAGCATAAGATGATACTTTTACGTTATAAAATTACATCAACAAATGTACTTATACAAAAAATAGGACTGTAACATTCTTAATGTTATATACATTCAGTATGAACAATTAAACATACTTGTGTATAGATACTGTTGATTATACATCATAAACATGTCTTTATCAGATAAAGATACTGTTGATTATACATCATAAACATGTCTTTATCATATAAAGATACTGTTGATTATACATCATAAACATGTCTTTATCAGATAAAGATACTGTTGATTATACATCATAAACATGTCTTTATCAGATAAAGATACTGTTGATTATACATCATAAACATGTCTTTATCAGATAAAGATACTGTTGATTATACATCATAAACATGACTTTATCAGATAAAGATACTGTTGATTATACATCATAAACATGTCTTTATCAGATAAAGATACTGTTGATTATACATCATAAACATGTCTTTATCAGATAGATACTGTTGATTATACATCATAAACATGTCTTTATCCGATAAAGATACTGTTGATTATACATCATAAACATGTCTTTATCTGATAAAGATACTGTTGATTATACATCATAAACATGTCTTTATCAGATAAAGATACTGTTGATTATACATCATAAACATGTCTTTATCAGATAAAGATACTGTTGATTATACATCATAAACATGTTTTTATCTGATAAAGATATATATAATACAAAATAAACATGTTTTTATCAGATAAAGATTATACATATACATTTTAAACATGCTTTTATCAGTCAGAATTACCCAAGTTATTTTGCTTATGTACAACTGAATTCTAAAAAAATAATTTCGTGGCCAGTTTAATGTTTAGCCGTGTAAACGGTATTTGAACAAAAACGGTATTTTGAGCATTCATTCTTCTGATGGGTTTTGCTTATCGCCGAATTGTAAATATAATACAATATTACGAATCCATTATTTTTTGTCAGAGTGTGTGAAGAAAGATTTTAAGGATATGCTTATTACCGGGAACAATGATAGAACTTCTTATAAAAGGACACTATTATTTCTATCTTTACATTTAAATTTATCAATCTATACAACAATAACATAACATCGTAATGATAAAGTGATCAAACTACAACTTGCAATGTGAATGATTCCTTTCCATGAACATCACTTTCCAGTCTGTGTTGGTATGATTATGGTATGATTATATTGTTGCGTTCCCATGTCCATCTACCTTTTGCGTACTCTCATTTTCTTTGGTGACTTTGGTTTCTTCAGTGATTTTGGTGACGTTTTTCTGGGTGATTTCTTAATTTTAGGTGAAGATTTCTTAGTCTTAGTCTTAGCTTCACGAGCAGTTTTCTTTCCCGGAGACTTTTTCGATTTTGGCGAACCTTTCCCTCTGTTCGGTGACGTTTTAGATTTGCTCTTATGTTTGTCTTTGGATTTTTCCTTCACTTTTTTGTCTTTCTTGTCCTTTTTACTCCTTGTTTTGTTCTTGTCCTTTGTTTCCTTTGACTTGTCTCCACCTGGCCTTCTCTCAAAATCACGGCCAGGAGCACTTTCTCCAATTCCAGGGTCTGTGTTATTCCAAGCAGAGTCCATTCCATATTCGGCGTCATCACGAGCACGCTTCTTTCCTGTTCAGTTTGTAAGAAAGATGACACTTTATAACAATTACAGTTACAGTACATTTTAATAAAAGTGATAAAGAAAATTAGTGTTTTTTTTTTGTTACTTCAAGTGAACTACGAAAGAATTAGCATACACATAAAACGCTAATTGGTCTTATTAAAGAGAAATAAAACACAGTATTCCCTTAGAATGGTATTTCAAACTTTTTCCTTAGGGGGGAGTTAAACATCGTATTTCCCTAGGGGAGTTAAACATCGTATTTCCCTAGGGGAGTTCAACATCGTATTTCCCTAGAGGAGTTAAACATCGTATTTCCCTGGGGGAGTTCAGCATCGTATTTCCCTAGAGGACTTTAACATCGTATTTCCCTAACATCGTATTTCCCCACGGGGAGTGAAACATCATATTTCCCTAGGGGAGTTAAACATCGTATTACCCAACGGTGTTACACATCGTGTTAAACATCGTATTTCCCTAGAGGACTTTAACATCGTAATTTCCTAGGGGAGTGAAACATCGTATTTCCCTAGGAGAGTTAAGCATCGTATTTCCCTAGGGGAGTTAAACATCGTATTACCCAACGGTGTTAAACATCGTATTTCCCTAGGGGAGTTAAACATCGTATTTCCCTAAAGGACTTTAACATTGTATTTTCCTAGGGGAGTTAGACATCGTATTTCCCTAGGGGAGTCAAACATCGTATTTCCCTAGGGGAGTCAAACATCGTATTACCCAACGGTGTTAAACATCGTATTTCCCTAGGAGAGTTAAGCATCGTATTTCCCTAGGGGAGTTAAACATCGTATTTCCCTAGGGGAGTTAAACATCGTATTTCCCTTACATCGTATTTCCCTAGGGGAATTAAACTTCGTATTTCCCCAGGGGGAGTTAAACATCGTATTTCCCTAAGGGAGTTAAAACATCGTATTTCCCTAGGGGAGTTCAACATCGTGTTGCCCAACGGTGTTAAACATCGTATTTCCCTAGGGGAGTTAAGCATCGTATTTTCCTAGGGGAGTTAAACATCGTATTTCCCTATGAGAGTCAAACATGAGAGTCAAACATCGTATTTCCCTAGGGGAGTTAAACATCGTATTTCCCTAGGGGAGTTAAACATCGTATTTCCCTAGGGGAGTTAAACATCGTATTTCCCTTACATCGTATTTCCCTAGGGGAGTTAAACATCGTATTTCCCTAACATCGTATTTCCCTAGGGTAGTTAAACATCGTATTTCTCCACGGGGAGTGAAACATCGTATTTCCCTAGGGGAGTTAAACATCGTATTTCCCTAAGGGAGTTAAAACATCGTATTTCCCTAGGAGAGTTAAGCATCGTAATTTCCTATGGGAGTGAAACATCATATTTCCCTAGGGGAGTTAAACATCGTATTACCCAACGGTGTTAAACATCGTATTTCCCTAGGAGAGTTAAGCATCGTATTTTCCTAGGGGAGTTAAACATCGTATTTCCCCAGGGGGAGTTAAACATCGTATTTCCCTAAGGGAGTTAAAACATCGTATTTCCCTAGGGGAGTTAAACATCGTGTTACCCAACGGTGTTAAACATCGTATTTCCCTAGGGGAGTTAAACATCGTATTTCCCTAGAGGACTTTAACATCGTATTTTCCTAGGGGAGTTAAACATCGTATTTCCCTAGGGGAGTCAAACATCGTATTTCCCTAGGGGAGTCAAACATCGTATTACCCAACGGTGTTAAACATCGTAATTCCCCACGGGGAGTTAAACATCGTATTACCCAACGGTGTTAAACATCGTATTTCCCTAGGAGAGTTAAGCATCGTATTTCCCTAGGGGAGTTAAACATCGTATTTCCCTTACATCGTATTTCCCTAGGGGGAGTTAAACATCGTATTTCCCTAAGGGAGTTAAAACATCGTATTTCCCTAGGGGAGTTCAACATCGTGTTGCCCAACGGTGTTCAACATCGTATTTCCCTAGGAGAGTTAAACTTCGTATTTCCCCAGGGGGAGTTAAACATCGTATTTCCCTAGGGGAGTTAAACATCGTATTTCCCTAGGGGAGTTAAACATCGTATTTCCCTAGAGGACTTTAACATCGTATTTTCCTAGGGGAGTTAAACATCGTATTTCCCTAGGGGAGTCAAACATCGTATTACCCAACGGTGTTAAACATCGTATTTCCCTAGGAGAGTTAAACATCGTATTTCCCTAGGGGAGTTAAACATCGTATTTCCCTAGAGGACTTTAACATCGTATTTTCCTAGGGGTGTTAAACATCGTATTTCCCTAGGGGAGTCAAACATCGTATTTCCCTAGGGGAGTTAAACATCGTATTTCCCTAGAGGACTTTAACATCGTATTTCCCTAGGAGAGTTAAGCATCGTATTTCCCTAGGGGAGTTAAACATCGTATTACCCAACGGTGTTAAACATCGTATTGCCCAAGGTAAGATAAACATCGTATTTCCATAAAGTGTTAAACATCGTAATTTCTTTAGGAAATGAAACAAACTGGAACGGACGTCTCATGCCTCTATGTATTCCGAAGGATTCTGACTTTCTAAACACGATTCCAAGTTTTGTCTTGGTTGCGGTCGATAGTCAGAAGTTCCTTCCTCTTACAAAACAAGAAACTTGAACTGTCAGTGATCCTCGTACAAATTTGCCATATTATGCATTATGGTAACCAGTAGTCATTCTCCGCTGGGAGATATGTTTTTACCAGTCTGAATATGAATCCATGGTACCTGAATAAAAGTACCTATATCATGATTAATATATATATCTAAAAGGTAATATGATAACGTGAGGGTAATTTTAACATACTTACGTTTCATGTATTTCATGGGGTCCCCGGCGGAACAGCAGTCACATGGGCAGCCCGGGAGGCAGTACCCCGTTCCGTCACCCTCGGGATCCTCCATATCACGTGCGTTAGTTAGTGAGGTCTGTAGATAACGCATCAATACCACCGTAACAAACTGCAAACGTTGATCAGGGCGACAGATTTAATTGTCATCAAGAACCATATCGGACAGATGAACGAAATATAGACATATATAACGCTACCTAAAACGGAATACTTTTCAAACATTTCACGCAGAATATTTCACAATACAAGTAGATATTAACTCCTGTAGGCAAAATAAGATATTTATATATGTATTTATGGTAATTTTTATCAGCATATGTCTTTTATGTTGTTAATTATTTCTGTTTTAAAAAGTAAATTTTAAAAAGGTTCCGGGAAATTATGGAATGTGAACACATATACTCTATTACGTTCTTAAGCAAAGAAAATAATTATAGAAACAAATATCTTATCGACAAGTGAGTAAGATTAATGAGAAAGTAAGTGAACTTTTTACGAAGTTATGAAAAATAATCAAGGTATGTCAATTAGTTCTATGAAACTGGCATGCCTTCTGCTGACATATGACCAAAGCATGAAATGAAAGCAGAAGATATATGTGAAATATGAAGTAGGATACAGGATTAAAACACCCAGTTAAAACATTTTTACAATTTTCTTCAAAAAATTTTCCAATTTAGATACATAAAATAGAGTTATACATTACAAATGTAAGAATGAGAAAACTAAGTCAAGGTTTCAAACCTGTACACCGAAAGCAGCTAACACGGACCACCCTGTTGGTACAAGGATTTTATTTTCAAAGAAGTCCATCAGAACATTGGAACATCCTGATTTGTACAAGGTTACGCTTCCGTAATGTACGTGCATTGATTTATCCTTGACGGCATGATGAACACATGGACGAGGGGACGAAACATCACAACAACTGTAGGGAACATCGTCCGAGTAGAATAAACCACCTTTCAGTTTCCTACAGACAAAACAACAATTGATCTAGTCGTTGAAGAAAATGCTTTTTTGTATCAAATTCTATAGACTATACTTGCATATAACATTCATAGACTGAATTACCTGCCTTAGTTACAACTTTTCTCCGCTAGACAGCGCTCGTGAAATAAAGCCTGAACACTAAATGCAACCTATGACGTTAAAATTTCAAGTTTTATTCGGACTGTCGACAGCGACTATGTCAAAATATAAATCGTGGATACAATCAGAACATTTCGGACAAATGGACTATCTACAGTTAATTATAAATATGTACGACAAAATAACATCTCACAGATCGTTATTGATGAAACACAGACCAATAATCTTTGTTATTTGCCAGTCATGGACGAATCATTAACTAACCAACAAATTTACCTGATAATGTCCGGATGTTTGGTGTTCAAGAATTCCTCGTTGACCCAGTTGATATCAAACCAGTCGCTGTAGCCATTACTGCCACAGCAGAAATATTCCTGCTGTAGTTGATCTAAAGTCACCTTCACGAACATGTCCGTTTTGTACCGTTTCATCACAGAGCTGAGGCCGCTTTGTAAGGATTCTTCGATGACTGAACGATGAGTGAAACACATCAGACCCCCAGCCAGCAGGAACCAGACGAGAATAAATGATAATAAAACGGCAAAAAAGAGAAAGTTCACACATCGCCCACTTATCTCAGAAGACGAACAATCATACACAATCTTAAACGTCATAGCATGAAAAATAACTACTTTGATTCCAACAGCAAGGAGAAAATGCGGCAGAACTCCTGTATCATATCCGTCCAGCAGCATCATTCTGGATTCAATGCTTATCTTCATGTATAATGCCATGCCGATTAGTGCTATTCCAAACAAAGCGATACAACAATTAAACACACCGATCGTTATCGCAAGCTTCTCTCTTGCTTTCGACGATACGTTACAAGCGATGCACATGTTTTCTATTAAAAGGATGAAAATATAAGGAAAATCTCACCATTGATACAAAATAGTCGATTTACCACACGGAAGTGACGTCATAGTAGAAATAATGACGTGATGTTCGAAAACATTTGGCGCGAAATAGGAGGTGCATCAACAATATATACATGGTATACTGTCTAACATCAGCTATCCAGTGACTGTGTTAAACTACTCAATTGATGGGCGCCATAAAATATAGCAGGCCATCGTGTTTGTTATTTGCTTTTAATATTCTTAAAAACAACATAATTTAGACATTTATGTTCCTTTCTGTGTTGATACATCACAATCAAAATATGTACAAAAAATGTACATGTTTTGATTGCGATGTATCAACAAATGACAATTGTATTATTTCACTCAATATTAAGTTTAATTATATATATATAATATATATATATATACAACAGCATGAATATGTACATATATACGTGGTACTAGCTTCGAAACATCATCTTTAAAATTCCCGACTTTGTATTAGAAAGCTTCTTTTTACAGTTAGTTCACACGTATTAGTCGTTTATTCTACAAGACTTCCCCCGAAAGAAAATTCTATTAAGATTGCTTACATTAAAATCGGTTCAGTACGTCCATTTAAATTCCAAAGCTGGTATTGTGCCTTTGATTCTGAGTAAAGAATGTCTCTCAAACGTGACTGATAAACTTACACCATGTTGTAATAAACATACTATGGTCACATTAAATGAAACTACGTTGACTTTCCCGTAGATTTGAATTCGGCTGACATCTTGGAAATAATAGGGTTCTAGATACAGAGTGTCACCAAAGTAGGATGGGATCCTCGACGAGCGTCAGGAAAGTTGCGCAGCCTTTGAAAGAGAACAATGAACCTGTGAGCAGTCAAAGACCTGTTCGGATCGAAGAGGTTGAGGAAAGGTCTTCACGTGACACTAATAATAGTGACAAGAAACGTATGATAGAGGATGATGTGAATTCAGCTAAGGACCAGTCTCGACATAGTATACTAGCAAAGGACGACACAAAATATACTCCACTAACAAAACACGATACGAAATACACACAAAATGATAGCCAGTATAGCAGACACTCTAAGGATGACACTGCACGTGTGGAAGGTGGACGAAGACACGAAGCAGGCAGAAGGTATAGTCATTATGACACGAGGAACACTATGTACAGAACCTCGAAAGATTACCAATTGTATGAGGAAGATGACCGAGACCTTATGTACGAAAAACGATACGGAAAATTTTCACATAAAACGGACGCATTAAGAAATATTGGTAATAACAGCCCGGATGTTGGAGAAGATAGTGACGATACTGATGAGTTAAGGAGGCTGATAGAGAAGAGACACCAAAACCTAAGGTATTCCACTCCTACAAGGCATCGGCAACCTCCAGTAGGAGCCCCAATGCATCGAACACGCCCCGAAAGGATAGTTGGTAGGGAACCACGCGGTTTAAACTTTCAATTTTGGGGAACGGATGGGGTTACATTTTAAAATCTCGATAACATTGGAGTCATTATTTTGACGTTGGCTTGTTCATATCATTGTGACGTAACAGGTGCAATAACGTCACTAGACTTTGTTTCCTAGTGACGGTAATTAGTAGCAGGCACAGTGGATGAGATTGTGTTGGATTAAATACACGTAAGTTTGTAAAACTTTGATCATTTCATATAAATAATTCTGGACTGTCGATCTTGAAATCTATACAGACGTACATAGTGGATACATGTAGAAATGAAACAATGACGACATTGGTGCGCTTCTACCGGCACATATAAGTTTAACTTGATCCATACCATTGTATAAGTGGTATCAACACAGGAACACACAAGTGACTGACTTGACTGTATAGAGAGTCATTTGAATATATTTGAATATAAACAGATCTATACTCCGGAGAATCAAAGGCAGAGTAAACATGTAAGACGAGACCACGGGAGACATACTATGTTTCTTCAGAACACGAAATGTTCTTTAGAAAACCTCTGCCAATATAGATACTGTCCGAAGGTATTTAAAACGAAATGTGTATTTAATAAAAAGGAGCGCCCCGTGTGTGTCGAGCTTACTATGATGAACTCTCGCAGTTCTGAAGCAAACAGTTGAGTATACATGTACACTTTTTGTACATAAAGCTTTGACATCGAATCATCGCCGCTACATGTAGGACGAAATATTGGTCGTATGTACATACCCGTGGATCTATAGTGCATTGATGTGATTGACAAAACCACCACGGTATGTATGATTGTATCCTTAGTGACTAGAGTCGCTGTTTGACACATACATTTTACAACCTTCATTGTGTATACATTTTCACGCTGAGGTTTTGTGTAGTAGTTTCATTAACTGTTTGAAAATATAAAAAATATCCTATTCACGTAGGCCGAATTTTTCACTTCGTGATCATAAACAATGATTCGATTTATTTTTGGAGATTTTTGTCAGTACTATATAAAAAATGGTAATACGCATCACAACCCTTCAGTATAAGTTTTGATTGTCGTAGTTTTAGTCTCCAATTATTATACATGTATTCTTAATATATACTTATTTTACGGGGTTTACGTCCACTATCACGACCATTTGGCTTTTCAGCGAACGGGGAAAGATAGGAAAATAAATAGAGAGGAAGTAGTATTGAGTGATGGAAGAGAGTAGGGTACAGAGATGAGGTAGAGAGGGGCCGTCTGTACTATCAGACCTGTCCTTATACCATAATTTGAAGACGTCCTCTTTGGCCTAATCAAAGCTCTCAAACTAACTAGACGTGTCGCAGTCAGAGGACCAGTTAGGAAGTAGATCCTACACTTTATAAATTTCGATATGTATGTAATATTTTGTATGATATTAAGTCCGTCAAAATTACTTAATAAATAGTCCCTACTGCTTATCTAACCATAATATGTGGGCCAGCGTTATCACGCCTGCTCTTTTTCAAAGAACCTTCCTCGTGCGAGTTGGACACACGGGCCACCATTTAAAGTCCAATCCGATGGTCTGTATGCTAGAAGTGAATTGTTAGTAAAGTACAGGTACTGATAATTTTTGGTGTCCATGTATAAGTCTTCTTTCTATTGCTGTCTGCCACTCTGTAAACTATTAGCTTTGTCCATACTTTCTGTAATTCCACACTGTTCCTGACTCACGTAAATTGTTCGCCTTTCGATGCTAGGTTAATGTTAGGAGGGGTTGGAAGTATTAACATGGTTACTTGGTAGTTAATGGAAATAAGCTTGTCAAGATGTTTATTGTTCACCAGGGGAGTGTCCCTACGCTTATCATTCATATAATGTGCAAGTCCTAACTTAATCTTATGGCGTTTGTTGTATGTGTTTTATGGGATATTATATATCTTATGAAGAGGTGACGAAACCGTTAAATGCACACAAAGTCACGTTTTGTTTGAGTGTTAAGTTTAGTTTTCTTGTAACTTTTGTTTTCAAGTTTGTATGGTGTGTATGATTTACGTGATAATACAGTTCTTCACTTAAGATCTTAAATAAATGCATATGGAAAAATGTTTGTTAAAATGCGCACAAAGCCATGTTTGGACCTGTGTGGGTTTTTGATTGCTAGTTTCCCGGTTAAAAGACTGCTTTAAACTCTACAGTACCCCATGTTAAGGGCATGGTGTCCCGCCTGATGCCGTATTGGTGGTGTACAAAATACGTATGTAGATGTGCAAGTATTATGTCTAACTCCGATAATCAGAAATGGAGTCCTACTGCATCCCTTACAGCGCCTTAGGTATGAGTCCGAGTCTCCATCCTGTTATCCTTACCCGTGTTTGTATGTGATGTGGAATTTAATTGATAATTAATTCATGTATACAGTTTCAGTAGCGAGCATTCCGCTCGGAACCCCTGGGGGTATAACAGTTGCGTCCCCAAAGACAAGACATTTTAAAAGATGACTCTGTTTTACTGTTTAAATCTTGTCCCGTTGACCCCAGAAGGTGAGGATAACAAATTCGACAATTTAGATGCCCCTTTATGTATAGATAATAGTGACCAAATTTGGTTTGAATCGACCAAGAAGCTACAAATGCGAAAAGTTAACGAAAGGCGATAGCAAATAGGTCACAATGATTGTTTCGATATGATAAAGGTACTAACTCGTGCATGTTACATGTCTCTGATCAGTTTAACCAAGAATTTTCAGCGTACAAAATGTATCCCTGCTATCTTTACAGACTGAATGCACGATCATTTAAACACTGGTCGTTAAAAATGATTTTGTATTTTACAGGTGGATGATGGTATAGATATACTTCAATGGGGAAGTAACTCATGGGAAATGAACAGACCAAGGAAAAGAGAAAGTCCAATAACGGTGGAGCGCGTGGTGGAGCGCGTGTTACCATAGTTTCTCCGTCAGCTTCAGAGAATCTGGACCCTAATGGTAACACTCGCATAAAATTCAAAACAGACAAGCGCCATCATGTTACCTTCACCCAAAGACCCCAAATGGTTGAGATAGGACAGCTGCCGAAAGACCTCGCACATAACGGCAGAATTAAGTTCCAGCGAAGTCAAACCAGATCCGTGGGAATCTCAGACACTGGAGAGGACAAAGTAGACTCGATGACATCAGTAAATACCGTGACGTCATCGGCGCCAGGTGCTCCTATTATTGAAACTTATCGAAAACCAGAAGATGATTTCCAATGGGAAGAAAGACCTACACAACAAAAAGCGCTCACGGAAGTCCAGGATATATGAAAACGGCTTTATGGAATCTCGAGACAACTACTAACTGTGAAGTTAGAAAAAGACCAAACGTCAACATTTCATAGCTATACCTCAATTCATTATTGTCTGAAGTAATATCATCTCCTGATGTACTTATGCGTATTTAATTAAATTTCTTAATTTTGAAAAGTTTTCTCAGTTTCCTATGGAGTATTACTATTTTTCTCTACAAGATGATATTGACACATTCGTTAACAGGTAAGAAACATGATACGATGACCAAGTTTAACGTATCTACCAGACATAGTCCCTTTGAGATTTGGGGTAGAGAACCTGCTTTAGTAACATTTAGTACTAATATTGACAACAGTTCTGTTGTATGTAGTTTCATAAACATTCGCTTTAACTTTCTATAATATTAGTTTAACAGAAAAAACGTGTAAAACGATCCAGATTTCCCGAAGATTGACAAACCAATGTTGAGTTTAAGTAAATATTTTATAATATCGCAGCAGTATTTAAATGTTTAACATTACAATGTTCGAGTTCCGAGCCAGTGTAAAGCTTCAAATGAACAAAATCATGTTCTATCAATAAGACCCCTGCGTCTTAATTGCTGCGCCAAACGTGCCATACACAATGCCTCCTGTCCCTGATATATTAAAACCCAGTCGGTCTTCAGATAAGACCTGTGATATTTAACTTAATATAATTGTGGAAATCATCAACGGATTCATCTAGTATATCTCATGTACCAGTAAAAGTCTATTTATATATCGACGAATCTCCAGGATGTACAAATTGAATATATAATTGTAACCAAGTTCTCTTTTGGTTTATCGCCCCGTCAACAACCAGGGTCATCATCTTGTTTGGTGTCCTGTATAGTAAACTTACACTACGTGTAGGGCGTGTTACCATGTCATCAAGAAACCCTTCAAAACAGAGATCTTTATATATAGCTCTTACGTCGTGTACACAGATAAAATATACAATGTACATATATAATTCACTGTAGTTTAAATCTCAGCATAGCATTATTCAACCCATATATAACCTTCACAGCGTACGATGAGTACCAGGTCCTAAACGTTATATCTATTGTAACTACATACCTGACAAATCAGTCTTATATTGTACCTTTATCATATTTACCAACGAATTAGAAATTGTCGGCTTAAGCGCATCGTAACACAAGGAAAACGTTTCGATAATTCATTAGCCTATAACGTACATGTATAGTATGTTATCACCACTATAATCTGAAGACATGTAGACAGGTGTGCTGTAGTTATCGCCACTATAATCTGAAGACATGTCGACAGGTGTGTTGCAGTTATCGCCACTATAATCCGAAGACATGACGACAGATGTGTTTCAGTTATCGCCACTATAATCCGAAGACATGTCGACAGGTGTGTTGCAGTTATCGCCACTAAAATCCGAAGACATGTCGACAGGTGTGCTGCAGTTATCGCCACTACAATCTGAAGACATGTCGACAGGTGTGCTTTTGCTGTCCACAATGTTATAATTTGTAGACATATTGACAAGCGAACTGTTGTTGTCCTCACTGTTTGGACAAGCTGACATGTTGACAGATAGGGGAAAGTAGTGGTTATGGTTGGTTAAGGAGTTGTTGAATTTCTTGTCAAGGTGATTTGGCGCCGTAGATCGAGAGTTCGAGGCGCGGTAGGACGCGAGTTCAATATTGTTTTCCATCGTCAGCTGTGTCACAAAAATACTAGTCAATCAACAGAATGCATAATATACAGTAATGTATGTTAATCCGAAGGTTTCACATTTGAATTTCGCAACCGGTGAGCTGTCTGTAAAATATCTTGTCCCAAATCATAAAATGTAACAATATGATAAACTGTAATGATTATGTATCTCACCTTAAACCACCAGAATATCAAAGAATGTCAATTAGGACCACGCCATACTGTATCTTCATTGACCTCATTCACAGCTATTTGAAAAAAAAACCAAACTTAATGTGTTCTTATTCTCTTACTTTTTTATTATTGATAGGCATGGACATACCTAGGTACTTGAAAAACCATGGCCTGATGTTTCCTGCGACGAATTCACTATTTTCTACTTAAACATACAGAGTCTTAGAAATAAGTTTGATTCACTTTGAAAACATTGCAGACGAATTTCATCTAGTATGTATTACGGAATCTCACCTAGACAGCAGTATCTCTGATGACGAAAAATCACTTTGTGGTTTTATAAGTAATACTTTCGGGAAAGATCGTGAACACGTACAGGATGGAGGTCTTGTTGTTTATATATCAAATCTAATTGCCTCTCAGCGTCGTTTTGACTTAGAACTTCCGTCTGGTGAGGCGGTTTGGATTGAAATTCTTTCAATACCTGATACTTTGTACAGTATTTAGACCTAACGATTGCGTGTAAATACATTTTGGAGGTATTTCGGACCAAGACACGAGTATTGTTGAAATCAAATTAAATATATTCTTACTAACAAATTTAAACACATGATCTGGTGTTAGAAAGATGCTGATTATGACGAATGTATAAGTTTATAACTATGAAACCAAATGAAAAACCGTCGCTTGAATCAGAACGGGGGCGTGAAATTATAATCTAAAATAGGTTGTAGCAAAAAAAAAAAAAAAAAAAAAAAACAAAAAAAGAACCCCCCCCCCCCCCCCCCCCCCCCCCCCCCCCCCCCCAAAAAAAAAAAAAAAAAAACCAAAAAAAAACACCAAAAAAAAAAAAAAAAAAAAAAAAAAAAAAAAACAAAAAAAAAAAAAATAAATAAAAAAAATGACTGATGGTTGTAACTTTAAAAGGCAACGAAATCATGTCAACAACATCAATTGTTATACCTTACTATTTAATCTCTTTACGTTTTTATAGTGAATAAAATCTGAAATTCCAGATATTTGCCCCAGAACAATAGTTACCGATCAACGTCTTGATGTTTGACTTCTTACGTCACAACTCATTTCTGTTCGGTATTTCCCGGTTTTTACTCAACAACTTCCGCCATTAAGCAATTGTGACTACCCTCTTTCTAGGAAACGTTGCTGACTTCAGCTTCCGGACCGATGGCTACATGTCGTCTGCCATGATAGACAGATTTGCTGAATATACCTCTGAAGGCACATGAGACAGTGCAAACACCAAAATTACATCCGTGTCTTTAATTATTTGTTTTCTTAGATATAAACGGAAGAAAGTGTATCAAAACAGTTGTAGACTGGATTTTCGGTCAACATGAGTTATGTTGAACCTTCAGACGCAACAGTTTAGTACTCTGGTTTAACACATGTTGATATCAAACTCACTCAACAAAGGTATAATGTAAGACAAAAACCATTTTTGCTGATGTGAACGGACTTTTTAAGCAACTATGCTTATACTAACTAAAAGGATTTCTGGAAACTCGTTCGCAGATAAATAAAATCTTAAGATGTATCCAACATTGTATCTCCATTAACAGATTCGTATACCATTGCTCTAGATTACGAACAGAAATCTAATATTTTTAATGATTATTTCGTGTCTATCTCTACTATAGATGACACGGGTGTACCTCTACCATGTATCGATATAAGATCCCAAAGTCGTATCGATAATATGTATCTCACTCAGTCAGACATTGTTGAGATTCATTTATCCCTAAATCTCGGGAAAGCAGTAGGGCCTGGTAAAGTAAGTCACCAACAGCTTATAAACTGCTCATTCTGTCTCAGCTCTGTTATTTCTCATGCTTACAATGTTATCTTGACCAGGGAATGTATCCGAAGTCTGGGAGAAAAAGGCTTTAGTAATGTCTATCTTCAAGAAAAGTGATAAAGAGTGTCTAAATTATTACAGACCAATAGCTCCATTAAGTATAGCAGGAAATTGTTTTGAGAAAGCAGTTACCAGATATTACCAAAATGATCTACTAGATAATTCCTTGTTATACCAATCTGGGTTTCAGCCAGGTCACTCTACAGTGCATCAGTTCATTAAAATTTATCACAATGTATGTTCATGTAACAATCCAGAAAATCGAAATTACTATTGTCCTATCTTTTTGATCCAGTTTGGCATGCAGGTCTAGAACACAAACTGAAAAGTTGTGGAATTCATTGAAATATCTTAAGATAACTTTCTAATTATGTACGGAATCGCCATCTAGAAGTTTTCATACACAAAGTTACTTCAAGTAGTAAAACAACTAATGCTGGTGTACCCCAAGGTACTGTCCTAGGTTATCTTCTTTTTCTCTTGTACATTAATAATGTAACGGATATAATTGACAGCCTCTCACATTTATTTGCTGACGATACTTTCCTAACAACCTATTCTCCTTCTACTCATAAAAATATTACTAACAGAGATCTTGAAAAAAATAACAATTTGGCCAAGAACAGGCTTGTCAAGTTTAATCCCAATAAAACTGAGGTTTTATTGACCTCAAATACCAATTATGAACTGGTGTTAATATAGTTTTTAATAATGCTGATATTGATTTTGGTGAATAACACAAACATTTTGGTATTTTCCTGGATGCAAACTGTAGATGGGCTTATCATGTTGATAACATTTGTAAAATTGTCAATTACATGAGTCTGCTGGACAAAGCTTTATCATGAAAAGAACGTTAAGCAATTAAGTGATGTTTTAATTAGTGTTTGTTAATCAGTGTCTTATTTAGTAAAGGCTGGTTTGAATCTGGTATATCTATAAGAGTTAAGTTGTATACTTCCGTGTCACACAACACAGGTTGATAGATCGGGACCCCGAGCAGGATACTGGTCAGAACGCATTTATATATAAAGTACCTGTTGCATTCCGATCTTTTTGATAAATTGTTAATCGGAAGATGATAAAAGAATGTAATTAAAATGGTATAAAGGTTTGGAATATGAATTCAGACGTGATGTACTTAAATATTGGTATTTGGATCAAAACGTCGACTAGTTTACAGAAAGTTACTATACTTTCTTAGATTGAGTATTTCTAAACCCGTGATTGATGTAGGTAATCAAAGTAGATGAAAACACTATTCAGTGATGTCGACAATAAAATATTTGAATATACACGTATATCAATTAACGTAATGATACATATTGTTTTCGTTATATTTCATCATTATCTATAAATAATTAAAAACACAACTTAAAAATATGTTAAAAACTTCCTATGTGAACCAACTGTAAGTCAGATAATGAGGCCGGTGTATTACCTTGTGGCGATCTCAGTATACCCGTTTCTCGAAGCATTGTAGGTGTTGGCGCATTTACGCCGGTCGCTGCCTATGTTGTTTGCGCTGATTTGTGAACCTGGTGTTGATCACCAGGTTTTTGTGCCTGTATTTTCCGGTCTTTGATAGATTTGCATGTTGTATCCCGATCTATTAAGGAGTTATTTCATTGCAGAGTAAAGGCAGATATATGGTAAATGAGAACATAATTTTAATTAGTGACACGAGTTTAGACTTATAGGGCCCCTGTAATAATCTGACATACAAGTAAATACATGTAAAATGCTTAAACCTCAAGCGCAAAAAGCAAATAAAGGAAAATAACATAACTCATGAATCTTTATGTACGCGGAAATTGATGGAATTGATTTTTTAAAGATGTATTTATGTCCCCATCTTCAGTCTCATGACACACGATAAATAAAACACTCGGATGAGAATTGTTTGGTTAAGAATCAAATTTATTTTCATGTTCATGTTGTCAGAGATTTTACACATTATTGAAATGAGAAATACTGTCACAGTTCTAACACTGGTAGAGGTAGTTACGTAATAACTCTACCAGGGATTTTCTAAAGTAGGCGTGTAAACGACAATTATTTCCAGAGAGAGAAAAATAATGGCAATGTCCGGTTACGTTATATAAACAATTCGTTGATCTATTTCCAAATTAACAAGTACTGTCATTGTCCCCACTGTTATATTCTGATTGTTCCAACTATGATAACCTGTAGACATGTTGACAGGTGTACTGTTGCTGACCCCACTGTTATAATCTGTAGACATGTTGACAGGTGTACTGTTGCTGACCCCACTGTTATAATCTGTAGACATGTTGACAGGTGTACTGTTGCTGTCTTTATTGTTATAACATGTAGACATGTTGACAGGTGTACTGTTGCTGACCACACTGTTATAATCTGTAGACATGTTGACAGGTGTACTGTTGTTGTCCCCACTTTTATAATATGTAGAAATGTTGACAGGAGTACTTTTGTCGTCCCCACTGTTATATTCTGTAGATATGTTGACATGGGTACTTTTGTTGTCCCTACTGTTATAATCGGTAGACATATTGACAGGTGTACTGTTTTTGTCACCACTGTTATAATATGTATATATGTTGACAGGTGTACTTTTGTTGTCCCTACTGTTATAATCGGTAGACATATTGACAGGTGTACTGTTTTTGTCACCACTGTTATAATCTGTAGACATGTTGATAGATGTACTGTTGCTGTCCCTACTGTTATAATCTGTAGATATGTTGACAGGTGTACTTTTGTTGTCCCCATTGTTATATTCTGTAAACATGTTGACAGGTGTACGGTTGCTATCCACACTGTTATAATCTGTAGACATGATGACAGGTGTACTTTTGTTGTCCCCATTGTTATATTCTCTAGACATGTTGACAGTTGTACTGTTGTTGTCACCACTGTTATATTCTGTAGACATGGTGGCAGTTGTACTGTTGTTGTCACCACTGTTATAATCTGTAGACATGTTGACAAATGTACTGTTGTTGTCACCACTGTTATATTCTGTATATATGTTGACAGGTGTACTGTTGGTGTCCCTACTGTTATATTCTGTAAACATGTTGACAGGTGTACGGTTGCTATCCACACTGTTATAATCTGTAGACATGATGGCAGGTGTACTTTTGTTGTCCAAATTGTTATATTCTGTAGACATGTTGACAGATGTACTGTTGTTGTCACCACTGTTATATTCTGTATATATGTTGACAGGTGTACTGTTGTTGTCCCCACTGTTATAATCTGTAGACATGTTGACAGGTGTACTGATGCTGTCCCCACTGTTATAATCTGTAGACATGTTGACAGATGTACGGTTGCTGTCCCCACTGTTATAATCTGTAGATATGTTGACAGGTGTACTTTTGTTGTCACTACTGTAATAATATGTAGACATGTTGACAGGTGTACTGTTTTTGTCACCACTGTTATAATCGGTAGACATGTTGACAGGTGTACTGTTGTTGTCCCCACTGTTGTACTGATGCAGTCCCCACTGTTATAATCTGTAGACATGTTGACAGGTGTACTGTTGTTGTCACCACTGTTATAATCTGTAGACATGTTGACAGGTGTACTGCTGCTGTCCCCACTGTTATAATATGTAGACATGTTGACAGGTGTACTGTTGCTGCCCCCACTGTTATAATCTGTAGACATGTTGACAGGTGTACTGTTTTTGTCACCACTGTTATAATCTGTAGACATGATGACAGGTGTACTGATACTATTTCCTGCATTATTATCTGTATTGTGAGTTATCGCTGTAATCCTTTATTACTCCTTAGCAGCCTCGTTTCTGTCATTGGTAGTAATCCAATGCAAACACAAAGAGATGCACCTAAACTGGTCGTCTATCAAACTTGAGCTGATATTTAACTAAAACTACTATAATTCAGAAGATTCAAAGAATTCCTTTTGGAAGATACAGTTCATAAAACCCAAGCAGATAGATGATGAGGTTGGTAAGCAAACCTGAGGCTTTGCAAATGAGAACAAACGTTTTATTAAAATAGTACCAATGTATTTGCAATACCGTCTTCAACTTTTATCTTAAAGTGTACCCTGAAAGGTCAGCTATGTTGACCTTGAAAAATAGTTCTGCACATAAAATACACTATGCCGAAAACGCGAATGCCGTGGAATGTTCCGTTACTGAGAAATTGCGACTTTTCTGAAAAACACACCTTTGGCTGAGAGGCATTGACCTCGTTTTCGGACACCCAAACCTGTGACGTCATAAGTTCAACGCTTTTGTTGATGCAGCTATATTGTCTTTACTGTGCTACATGTGATTGTGATCTATTTTGGGATTTTCCGTTGTAATTTCTTTGTTTATTTACGTGAAAGTACTTCACATCTTCGCAATATCTAAGGTAGTGAACGAGGGGTCGGTGAATAAGCGCTTAAATCCGCTAAAATTGCTTCCTATCGAGGAGGGAAGCGGTGTGTATGGATGTCCTAACACTAACACGGATGGGGTGTCGATGCGTGACGTCGATAAATAAAACTGATTGTTGATTAAATAAAAGTATATTTGTTAGGTTGATATTTTGTTATTAATTCTACAACTAAACATTTTAAATTGATAGACTAGCCTATGACTTAGGCGGTCATAGGAATATTATTCCTTCGTAATCGTGAATGCCTAATACTCGGAAAAGGCCTAGTCGTGAATGGGTCACGGGAATTTTCACCCCGAGAATTTTCATACTACTATTATATAGTATAGAAAAGAATTATTAGAATTTATAGAATAGGTTATGTGTGTATGTTGTTTGTATAAGGTGTATTTGGTTTTTAGATCTTCCAGCAGACGATGTTGTTTAGTTATTAATTTTGCGATCGTAAAAATAACAATAAGATCACCAATCTTGATTTGAAAACACAGTTCACAGTGTAGAGATGTCATCTAAACTCATAATCACACCTGTGCCAGGTTAGGTAATTAGCACCTCTGTGGCTGGAAAAAACAATTGACACCTGTGAGGCGACACGCCTGTCGGCTAACAACAGACGCGTACCAGTGCTAGGGTAAAAACCAGTCAAATAATTGTTTAAACTTCTAAAACATCAAATTTTTATTATTAACACAGCGGAGGGTGTTATAATTGGTTGTTGACACCCTATCTATATATATATCCACAGTGCTACGAAAATTCCCTGGAAAGAAAAAATTCCCCTCGGACGAAACTTCTTCGGTAAGAAAATTCCCGACACCTCGTGAATGTATGCATAGTCTTGCACAAACGCGATTTCCCGACGTCAGAAATTGTTGATCGAGACTTGAAGATAGTAAAATTAGTCCAAAACCACACCCAATTTTATTTTGTTTCTTTGAAACGACGATTCACTGTTCGACTACTTTCACGACTACTGGTGAGACCCAGTGAAGTACGTGCCAATCTATGTTGCCCAAGCGATCGTCACTTTTCGAAGGGTCATTTTCCTCCTCACTGGATACATCGTCTTGTAATTCCAGTTCAAATTGGTAGGGCTGGGTTCCGTCTTCAGACATATCATTCACACCATAATCAGACTCCTCAAAACTCATGCTCAAATCGCTCTCAGTTGCCACTCTAAGTCATGTTGACTGCCATTTTTGTTGAACTTATGACGTCACGAGTAGAAGAGCCTCGATTCCGCGGAAATGACGATTCGGCTGATTAGGTCTGGGCGGACAGGTGAAAATCGACAACTTTGAGTTTTATTAACTCGACACTGAGGCGACGGATTTTGACGGGGTTTTCATTATTATTATTTTTACGGCATTCGTAACATTATATCTAAATATAAAATTACTCTCAGGGTACACTTTAATCAGGCAAATGCCTCATTTTTGACCAACCATGAGCCTCCATTATATTTCTGTAGTGAAATTATTGGAAAACCATTTTTTGTCAAATTATAGGCTTTGATAGACTACACAATCCATCAAAGTTGGAAGATTAGCTATTTGATATTACACAAGTACATGTGTATAGTGACCAGATCACCAAGGCAATAAAAAAAGGAAAGGAAAATACAAGTTTATTTACAAATATGGTCCATAATTTCTCTGTTGAGTTGAACTAAAATTGATTCTTAAGCTAAGGACGAGTCTGGAAAGGATCCCTCTAATCATAGGACTTATTGGATTACCATGGTAAGCAAATGACGTTGGATGCCTTGGAAAATAGTACCATAGTAGTAATTTATACAGATAAATTTTCTGCATGTTCAGACAATATCCTAAAGTTCATAGACTTCGATTAGTCACACCATATTACAAAGTTTTATAGAAATTGATCACAAGACTGAAGAGTATGGGTCATTAAACAAAAACACATAAAGTGACAATGGTACAACTATATGCAAATCAACACATCTTCCTTTGCAGTACTTGTCCACACAAGAGCCTGACCTGACACAGACAGATTGGCAAACAGGTGTTGGAAAACTAATACCATTAAAATCACCAAATTTTGTTATGGGGGTGGGGTGCTTTTGTTGGGACAAAAAAAAAACCTGGAGCTGGAGAAAAGATTGAAGAAATGAAAAGACTGGGTTTGTGGAAACAATGAGACTGAGGTTGCAGTGTACTTAGACAGGTGTTGTAGAGACAGTCAGACTGGTGTTGTAGAGACAGTACGACTGGTGTTATAGAGACAACAAGACTGGTGTTATAGAGACCGTACGACTGGTGTTGTAGAGACAATAAGACTGGTGTTGTAGAGACAATAAGACTGGTGTTATAGAGACAACAAGACTGGAGTTGTAGAGACAATACAACTGTTGTAGTTGAGACAGTAAGACTGGTGTTGTAGAGACAATAAGACTGGCGTTGTAGAGACAATAAGACTGGTGTTATAGAGACAACAAGACTGGAGTTGTAGAGACAGTACACTGGTGTTGTAGAGACAATAAGACTGGTGTTATAGAGACAACAAGACTGGAGTTGTAGAGACAGTACACTGGTGTTGTAGAGACAATAAGACCAGTGTTGTAGAGACAATACAATTGGTGTTGTAGAGACAATACAATTGGTGTAGTAGAGACAGTCAGACTGGTAATGTAGAGACAACAAGACTGGTGTTGTAGAGACAATAAGACTGGTGTTGTAGAGACAGTCAGACTGGTGTTGTAGAGACAATAAGACAGGTGTTGTAGAGACAATAAGACTGGTGTTGTAGAGGCAATAAGACTGGTGTTGTAGAGACAATAAGACTGGTGTTGTAGAGACAATAAGACTGGTGTTGTAGAGACAATAAGACTGGTGTTGTAGAGACAATAAGACTGGTGTTGTAGAGACAATAAGACTGGTGTTGCAGATACAATCATATTCTGGTGTTGTGGTTACAGTAGTACTTGTGTTGTGGTGACAGTAGTACTGGTGTTGTGGTGACAGTAGTACTTGTGTTGTGGTGACAGTAGTACTGGTGTTGTGGTGACAGTAGACTGGTTTTGTGGAGACAATGAGACTGGTGTTGTGGAATCCTTGATAGTCCAGTGATTGCCATCACTTTTGCTCTCTATACCTCTGGAACTCTGCAGTCTAGTGTTGGAGAGACAATAAGAGACTGGTAGATGCAATAATAGGGCAGATGTAGAAATAATATTGGGGTTTAATATAGAGACAACAAGAAGTACAAGAATTCCTCGGAACTGTATGTGTCGCCTGCATAAAGTGTCACAGTCACCCAGAAATTGAACTGGATGTGCAACGATCAACCATGAAGTTGTAATACCAAATTTCATTTCTATAACTTGGAGCATAAAGGGAAAACTGTGCAAAGCAATATTCCTGAGAAATTTTCCAAGTTCAAAGGGGCGAACCTTATGTGTAATGTTTGACCATGAAGCCATTTGTCATATTTCATTTCAAAAACTCAAAGCATAATCAAGCAAAAGTATGAAAAACAATATTCTAAAAGAGTTTTCTAAGAGGCATAACTCTGCAAAGAAGGGTCACAGACAGCCAAGAATCAAAACCAATCTGTACCCTTCCAACAAGAAGCCATATAGCAAATGTCATTTCTATAACTCAAAGCATAACCAAAGAAAGTCAAGAAAACAATATTCCCAGAGAATTTTCTAAGTTCAAAGTGGCATAACTCAGCCAAGAAGGGTCACAGACAGCCGGGAATCAAACTTAATCTGTACCCTTGCAACAAGGAGCCATATACCAAATGTCATTTTGATAACTCAAAGCATAAGCCAATAAAGTCCAGAAAACAATATTCAAAGGAAATTTTCTAAGTTGGAAGGGGCATAACTCTGCCAAAAAGGGTTGCAGACAGCCGGGAATCAAACTTAATCTGAACCCTTGCAACTAAAAGCTGTATGCCAAATTTCATTTTGATAACTCAAAGCATTATCGTAAAAAGTCTGGAAAACTTTTGTATGGACGACAACGATGACGGACAAAGTGATCCCTAAGTGTGCGCCAGCTCTGCAGGCAACACAATAAAACTGGTGTAATACATTTCAAATCATTCACAAAGTTCATATCAAATATGAACGGAAGTGAATATCAAAAAGTTCTTGCCTTTTCTGCACAATGCCTTATTTGCCAGATGGGACATACTTTTGCTTAAAAAATCTCAAAATTCTTTAATGCAAACTCATTCCAACTATTTTGATATGAAATGTTTGTAAGAAGTTTCATTTAAATCAGTCTATAAATAAAGGGAAGAGAGCACTAACAATGAAAAGTAAACAGACAGACAGCACAGGATACCCCAAAATATGACTTGTCATCGACAGGCATATGCAAATGTCTGAAACTTTCTACCCAAAAATAGAATTCATACATATGTACACTGGTTGTTGATTCCATTCTCCAGCTCCCCCACCCCCACCCCCCAGATTCCAGCAAATATGGCTAAAATTTATATACAATACATGTAATAAAATTGGAAACACTTTTCGATTTTGTTATTTTTCTGTATATGTACCAGATACTGCAAATTTAACATTCTAATATATATATATATCAAAATAATAAAAAAAAATCAAATTTTCCCCCAACAATTCGATATCACAGCATTAATGCAAAAACCTGAAAATTCTGCCTGAAAAGGAGTCAACAACATGTTCAAATAGCTATAACCAGTTTTCCATAAGATATACAAAAGAAATATATCACGAACAGAATTCAACAGGCACGTCTTAATAAAAAAGAAGTCCATTCCTAGATTTATACTGAATCATTCCACTATCTTTTTCTTTAAATGGCTATTAACAATTATCAATATTTCATCATTTCTTTTTGCAAATGGATGGCTTTCAAAAATTACCAATATATAAATATTGATATGATATCAATTCAAACAGAAAATACATAATAACCATGCAGGGTTTTCCACAAGAGCCGGTCGCCAGCCAATTTGACCGGCTACTTTGATCATTTGGCCGCCTACACCAATCCAGTTCCGTAATAATGTTCAATACACGACTACACGTACACGGCAGGCCAGTCTCTTACTTTCACTACACAGCCTACTACTAACAAAATTATGGAAAACCCTGACCATGTCTAGTACATAGTGACACAAACACATATATCCCTCACAAGATAATGTTTATTTTTGTTTAAATGACATTTCCATATTTCAATCTTGTACAAAAGTAAATTTGCAATGGATTCTACCTTTGTTCTTTATGAAAATGAATGTATATTTTCATAATTATGATGTACATATATGTTTTACATGTAATAAATATTAAAATCACAGCTCAATCAGTTATTTATATGATATAAAGCACTTTTCTCAACATATCATTCCAATTAGGTATATATAATGACATGTTATATATCAAAATGGACAGAGGTTAAACAACACTATATATATAATTCTTTAAATTTGAATTAACTCTGTATTTAATCCATTTTTCCTGGATAATTTTTCTTAAATGGTATCCATATCCATTGGCTGACACAGATCTAAATTCCTTGAGCACTTGAACATGTGTATTACATTTAACTCCTCATTCATGCCACTAGTACAGAAAACAGTATAATAAAAGTTCCAAATATAGCTTAACACTGATCCATCTATAATTTGACATTTTTTTTTTACTATCTACACAGCTAGAGGATATGTGCACTTTATTAAACACCATAAAAAGTTAACTACATTTAATTAAAATTTAAACTTTAGGGGGTCTACCAATACATAACAATAAACAGCCTTTTAATTCTATACCCAGCCAATAATAACTGATGACATCTTACAAGGTTAAAATATGTACATATTTTTTTCTGCATACAAATTGTGTTTTTCCCACTGATGTCCAGTATAGAGACATTAAATGTGGAAACTCTTCCCTCTACATTTTTTTTAGCACAACCCTTTTGTGTTACTGTAATTAAATAGTGCACAGAGCAGTTATCAGGTCAAATTTAGCACAACAGCTAGATGTCAATTTGTCAGGCAGTTCAACTTTGGAGATATAGAGAAACAAAAAAGAGAGAGCAATTTCAACAAATTTCATTTACACTTTCTAAGTGGCCATCCATTATCATTGGTAAATATGCCAATTATTAATCATTAAATGTATCAAACAGGTTGACAAACAGCTACAAAGTCCTCAGACTGGTTTTAAAACCTTTAAACTCATTAATTTTACCTTTCATGTAACGTTAAACCAACCTTTGAACAGGGGCCATAGTTAGAGCTATCCGATTTTTGTATTATATATCGGATAAAAATCTGATCTGAATCACTCTTAGTTATGTTATATCATTATGTAAAATCTAACAAAGATAAAAAAGTCTGAAAAAGATTATATAACCTTCAAACACAAATTATGACATACATGTAACTGAGCATATGATGTCTTTGATTTGAAGCTATTCTGCAAATACAAAATATCCACTGATTGGAAGATATATTTTATGCAAGACATATCTGAAAAGGTGTTAATGTACTTTAATCAACTAAAACACCAATCTATTTTTAATACCTTTTCTGTCTGCACATACCACGAGATAAATTCAGAATGTGAAACATATGTATTCTGAACATGCCCCATGTCAATACTTATGCTAAACAACACCATTTATTTTCTATGAAAAAATTAATGTTTTCTTTTTAATGTCTCATTCCTCCAAGAATTTCTTTCTTTTTTCCTCTTCCATGATAGCCCAGTTCGGGGAGCGCACATCACTGGCCAGCCAGTTGAAGTCATCCACATCATTCCAGTTATTACGGCTTTTATCAAGTCCTGATCTGTCAAAATGGTCATTTTGACCAGGGTAACTCAGACTGTACGGTGCAAAGTCCAGATTTTTACAGTCCTCAATAATGGCCCTACTTGTAACATGCAGGTATATACTGGAATTTTTGGTAGAGTGTGTTCTTAGCTGCTGACATGCTAGAACAAACACACATTCTTCACAGTCACTGATGAAGACTGAACTTGAAACTGGTCCACATAAAACAGTGCAATTTTTCAGATTTTTCATATGCACTGTAGATGGTGCCCCAAGTAACTTCAGCGTGCAGTCGTTGAGGTTGGTCACAGCTACATCTTTACCAGTAATGTCGTTGCTCTCTTTAACAAGAGTTGCCCCCTGGAATCCAACTATCTTGCATCCAGCAAGATCAATGCCTAGATTGTCGGTCTTTTCTATAATTTTATGGGCACCATTTGTCATAACGTGTGCGTCCTTGTCAACTTTCTTTCTAGAACTAAACGCGAACTTCTTCTTAGGTAACATTTGCTCCCTCTTTTCCTGGATTTGTGCTTGCATCTTGCTGAGCGTTTCTTGGGCCAACCGTAAATCGTAGGAAGGCAGAAACATAACAGAATCGGCAACAAATTTCTGTAGCTTCTGATACGATTGGGCAACGAAATCAAAACGCTCGCGCAATATGATTTTATCAGAACAATTCCCGTTACATGTTGCTAAGGCTCTTTCCACCGATTCTCTCTGAATGTTGAAATTATCGGAGAAGTACCTGGTGCTTTCCTTGGCATTAGATGAGTTATCCTTCTCTTCCTTTCGTTTTTGGATATCTTCTTGTCGTTCTAGCTCCCTTTTCTGAAGACGGTCAGTGACAATTGCCTTCTTATCTACCGAATTATCATGATGAAACCCGTTAACTTCCATCGTCGATTCTGGAATTAACTCTCTTATCGTAGCTGGTTTCTGTTATGTCGCTTAGAGCTGTAGAAAAATATTTTTTGCGCGGGCGTATTCTCAAACAATTCGATATACTGTCGTATGATATTGGATCTGATAATACAATAAATCATTCAGTTTACTGTATCGGCAACTTAAATGATGATATGCTTCAACAAGTTATCCGTAATATATTTTTAGAGATAGAAACGGCCTGTGACTCATGGAAGGGAAGCAACTCCTGTTGTCGGTATATGAGCAAACACTATTAATAGACAGACTAGAACAGTCTGTAGGTATATGTATCTGACTCACCTAAAAACAGATGAAAAAAATGTATAAAAATAAATTTGAATAGAAAATCAAATACTTAAATGTTCAAATATAATATTTAAATTAAATTGCATGCTTTATTAAATTAATATACGGTATTTTGTCGGGAAAGATGATACTGATAATCATAAAATTCATTCAAATGTGACGGATTGGGAAGCATTTCTGATCTAGGTTTTCTTTGTACATCGACAGCTCTGACGTCATTATCCTTGTTTGTTACACGTTCCCCACAAACCCCCTGTATATACTGTTGTTTTAATGTGTTGTCACGTGGGAAGTGGAGGGTAGGTCAGAAGTAGGGGGGTTTGAGGGCTAAGCGGATAGTTGGTTTGGGTGGAAAGTTGGTTAGAAGTCGGAGAGAGGGCTTAGCTGAGAGACGGAAAGATGTAAATATATTGGACGGATAAGCTGAGGATTGAATGGTTAGAACTGAGAGATTGTTCATCGGGACGTTTTACGGACTTTGAAAGTGAAAGTTTGATTAAATTGTTGTTTACATTTCTGGAGATGCATGTTGTCAATATGTGTCGATGGGAGACACATTAACCCCATAATTCAATAAACGTCTTATTTTTTTTATATTGGTTGGAAGTTGTAAGTGTCATTTACAATGTGTTTCTTGCATTATTTGCACAAGTAATATGCTGTAAATATCATGAAATACTCGGCTGTGTCATCGTACTGACATAGTAGTGACCCTGGGAGATCAGCATGGGTTTAAACAGGTCACCTATGGCTTTGCCGACTGATAGATGCTCCTCCCACCAGTCACACATGACTTTGTCAATGCACAGAAACGCCCTCCCTGATGTCCCTCCTTCTTGTCATCTTTGGCCTTGTCAACGCAGAGATGCCCCTTCCCTCGAGTCACCTATGACTCTGTCGACTTTGATGCCCCTCCCTCTGGTCACCTTTGGTTTATCGATGCACAACTGCTCCTTCTTCGAATCACTTACGTCTTTTTCAACGGAAAATGCCCCTTTCTCTTTTCACATCCGTCCACCTAATCACCTCTTGTGCCCGTCCATCTAGTCACCTATGGATTTGTCGACTCAGATGCCCGTCCATCTAATCACTTCTGGTTTTGTCGATCCAGATACCTGTCCATCTAGTCACCTTCGGGCTTTGTCGAGTCAGATGACCCTCCCTCTAAGTACCTCTGGCTTTGTCGACTCAAATGACCCTCCCTCTAGGTACCTATGGCTTTGTCGACTCAGATGCCCCTCTCTCTAGGTACCTATGGCTTTGTCGACTCAGATGACCCTCCCTCTAGGTACCTATGGCTTTGTCGACTCAGATGACCCTCCCTCTAGGTACCTATGGCTTTGTCGACTCAGATGACCCTCCCTCTAAGTACCTCTGGCTTTGTCGACTCAGATACCCATCCATCTAGTCACCTTCGGGCTTTGTCGACTCAGATGACCCTCCCTCTAGGTACCTCTGGCTTTGTCGACTCAGATGACCCTCCCTCTAGGTACCTCTGGCTTTGTCGACTCAGATGCCCCTCCCTCTAGGTACCTATGGCTTTGTCGACTCAGATGACCCTCCCTCTAAGTACCTCTGGCTTTGTCGACTCAGATGCCCCTCCCTCTAGGTACCTCTGGCTTTGTCGACTCAGATGTCCCTCCCTCTAGGTACCTATGGCTTTGTCGACTCAGATGACCCTCCCTCTAGGTACCTCTGGCTTTGTCGACTCAGATGACCCTCCCTCTAAGTACCTCTGGCTTTGTCTAGGTACCTCTGGCTTTGTCAGATACCCATCCATCTAGTCTCCCTCTAGGTACCTCTGGCTTTGTCGACTCAGATGACCCTCCCTCTAGGTACCTCTGGCTTTGTCGACTCAGATGACCCTCCCTCTAGGTACCTCTGGCTTTGTCGACTCAGATGCCCCTCCCTCTAGGTACTTATGGCTTTGTCGACTCAGATGTCTCTCCCTCTAAGTACCTCTGGCTTTGTCGACTCAGATACCCCTCCCTCTAGGTACCTCTGGCTTTGTCGACTCAGATGTCCCTCCCTCTAGGTACCTATGGCTTTGTCGACTCAGATGACCCTCCCTCTAAATACCTCTGGCTTTGTCGACTCAGATGACCCTCCCTCTAAGTACCTCTGGCTTTGTCGACTCAGATGCCCCTCCCTCTAGGTACCTATGGCTTTGTCGACTCAGATGCCCCTCCCTCTAGGTACCTCTGGCTTTGTCGACTCAGATGACCCTCCCTCTAGGTACCTCTGGCTTTGTCGACTCAGATGACCCTCCCTCTAGGTACCTCTGGCTTTGTCGACTCAGATGCTCCTACCTCTAGGTACCTCTAGATACATGCTATATGCAATCACTAGAACTTAATATTAAGGAGATTCCTTTGAACTTCTGAATCCTGTTTACGCCTTATTAAATTAGTGATATAAACATTTATACCACCAAATGTAATAAATAATGAAATACGGCACAAAACACAGTGTCACCAGTTTATGATGAAATGGCATCACTTACTTGTAAATATCCACTAAATCTATTTGCAATATTAGCACTAACACTTTTTTCTTATCAAACATGTGGGTCTGTCGAACATTCATTACTAGAATTAGTTCCTGCACAGAATTCGTGTCAATTTTCAAAGTATCTCCTAAAGAATGAGGGACTGCAGATCAAACTTGAGTAAATAAAATTGTATCTGAGTCAAACTCTTACGGATATGCATAAATGACAAATGGTCAAAAACAAATAAATAAACGTTTTGTTATCTTTATTTGCACTTTTTCCTCTATAAAATATAGATAAGATATATAAATAAAAGATTTTATAAGATAGAAGAACATAAGATTTCATATTTTTGAAACAGTTTTAGCCAATCCCGCTTATAAATATTGATAATGACTGTCTCCAATGATACTTATCAGAAAAAAAGAACACATATTGTTGTTCCCGTTTGAAACAAACATTAAGGAGGTTTGTTTTACCGATTCAATTGCAATCCATTAATTTATACTACACAGACAAAGATTGATGTAGTTACTTATTCCTGACTTACACTCGATAACTTTGCTCCTTATAGTACCACAAACTCAAACTCGATAACTATGTTTCTTTATAGCGACACTGATTCAAACTCGATTCACACTATTTCTTCATAGCTACACTGATTCAATTCACACTAGTTCTTTATAATGACACTGATTCAATCTCGATTCACACTATTTCTTCACAGCGACAGACTCAATATCATTTCACACTATTAATATTTCTTTTTAGCGACACTGATCAATTTCTGTTGTCTCTGTTTCTTTATATTACACTGTCCTTTATTTAACCAGCGGACGTCATTCTATCTATCTGTCACACATATTGCATCTATATTGACAAATTGTTTTTTTATTGTATGTTTACTTAACTGGAAAAGCTTTTTGAAATTCATAATCAGCTTAATGATTAACGTAAAGCTATAATACGTGTTATCTGAGGCGACGTGCAGAGCGTTAAAGTAACGTCGGTCAGAATGGCGCTAAAATGACGTCACGCTATTGTCATTTGATGCCGACTGTATCTATACACCTGTGAATACGATCCAGATGAACACCGAGTTAATGGGAGGACATCGTGCAAAAAAAAACTTAATAGCCACTGACTAACATCCGAGGACACTATTTCTTTACAGCGCCGCTGATTCAAACTAGATAACGTTATTTTATTTCATATCGGCACTGATTCAAATTCGAGTCACACTGTTTCTATAAAGCGCCTCTTTGTCTGCTTCTTTATAATATTGCTTCATAGTGCTACCGAATCAAGCTCAAAACCCACATTCATAAATGGCCTCTCTTTAAATTCCACACTAGGTTTTAACTTTCTGGCATCATAGGACAAACGACAGTATTTACTATGGTTTAAAAGCAGTTGATGCTAAACGTCTAATTATAGCCGTCATACATTTGTATGGATAGGGAAAGCAGGGTAAATACATGCATTATTCAAAATCGGAGGATACTTAAGTGAGATGATGTTTATCGGTACAGAGAGAGAATACCTGAAAAAAAAACGTCTAAAAAGCAGTATTTGGTAAAAATGGCTACCAGGAACTTGATAAATATCCTTCTGAATTCCCGTAAGTTGTCTTTCATGTATAATTATACAATCATAATGGACAGAGGGAATGACATTTACACATAGCACGGTGTATAGTGGGATAATAAACACCGTTCATTTATATATCACAAAATAATGCCCTGATGCACACCTGGCATATTTACAAACATTAAACACGCCACAAGCACAACTACATGGAATTACCATACGGAAGGAGGATCAAGATTTCTGTCACTGCATAAATTCTACATTAAACAATAGAACATATAGTTTGTAATTATAAAAAATATCTGTAATATACAGAGACTATGTTCATTGGTATAGGGAATGACATTTGTACTCATTTTAATGGTACTAAATGATGACGATAAAGTTTCATAATTACATTACTTTGTCCTGGCAAGTTTGTACTTTAAACCTTAAACAATGAACAAACAATTATCAGAAAATGCGGAATGTTCTAAGTTGTAAAAGATAAACGTTCAGCTGAAAGTTGTATTTATGTTTTGACACCCGAGCACCCCTGTGAAGACGTATTTCTACATACTTCTATATGTACGTTGCCATGAATCATTTTTTGAGAATATAAATTAAATTTTGATGTGATAAAAAAAACGTCTTAGTGTGATATTTTATGTTAAATACGATACCTCGCATGCTTATATATGATGATATGATAGTATCTTAGTCTTTAACAAGATACCTCGGGTAATATGGGAAATATGACACATGATTTCATTGAGAACAAGATTACCATTATTCCATGTATAAATCACAGTTACTCCTTTATCGATATCTCTAACGATTTATAATCGATCACAAGACGACGTAAGCATATTTTACATTCCATGTCAGGTGTAACTAAACCCAACAAAATATTTGTGATTCTCAATATATCTAAATATTCATGACATTCCTGAACAAAAAATGTTGATCATGTATTGGTCCCAATCAAATTGGATTAAACTGTGTATTGGTTGACTTCTTGAAAACATTTTATAGTATATTGTGTTATAAAATATTGGTTCAAACTAAGTAAATCTTGTGTAAGATCTCTATAGTAAACGAAAACATTAAGTCCTATGTAAGGCGCCACGGAATATTGTCTATACGACCAGCAGGCCGTATTATTACAAGAGAATCTTTATAGCCGATTGTATTTTCTCTCTCTGTCAGTCAGAGGTGGTTGATTCTAACTGTCAAAGTTATCACATACAACTGTTTGATCTGTTTTTCTTTAGTATTCAGATGGCACTGTGCTATGCTCTGAAGACATTGCTGACTTCCAAAATATGTAAATATGTTAGACTATTGAGAAGTGCCTATAAAGTGTTGGACTGTGAATGTAGATAAGACAAAGAACAGTGTAGTTAGTAACTGATCCTTACCAAATGTTTTACACGGAACAATATTATTGCACATAACGGAAACGCTTATTATCTTCTTAATTGTAAGGTCAAAATGATTATCCTGCATGGCAACACCATTTTTTTTTATCAAGAATTAAGAAATAGTTTTTTTTTTTTTTTTTTTCAAAGTGTATATCATATAAACAAATTATGCTGTGAAACCGTTTGGTACCCAATTCTAGTCATTGTTTTTAACAACCAAATAGTATTTCTATGCAAAGGTTGATCTATTATAATCTTACATGTTGTTGCATTCTGAATAAAATGAAATTGAAATTTATCACATTTTGTAAACAGAAAAGTAACTGAATGAATTAGAAAAAGTATTATATCTGAAATATCCTTCAAGCTATTTTCTAAAAGCATATAAAATATTTGCCTCTCAGAATTATGATTTTTACAATTAAAAACATACATGAACTGTACTGTTCATTTGCATTACAATAGATAATAAAACAACCAATAATAAAATTGTATAGCGTTAATATACAACCTTGGATTACAAAAGAAGCTTTGCGGGTTCGATATTTCCCCGAAACTAAGTGCACCTGAGAGTACATTGAGCTTAACGGAAAGATTACAAATTCTAACTGATTACATTACCAGCTTCCTTGCCCCAGATTTTTTAACAATAAATATAGTAACTTTCATTACTCGGTACTTTCTTTTTGCACTAGATCAACAGCTTGCATACATGTTCTGTAGCTTAGTACTTTTTCAGAATGGTTGCGAGCTTTTCCATAGCTGTGTCATTAAGTTTACACTCATAAAGTCCACTGTCGCTGCTGAACGCCATGTCAAGGATCCCGCCCAATTGCCGTAACTCACTTCCAGTCACGCGGAGACTGGTGGGAGTTAGCGAAGAGAGGTTATCTTTGCTGGTATGGTGCAGTACCAAGACGATCACGTCTTTGTTTGCTAAAATATACAGACAATATATATTTTCTCTGTATTATCAGTTTATGTAATTCATATTTATGTTTACCTCCTATATGAGCACTCTTAAAGCATGACGAGGCTCAGACAAAACGTATCGAATGTGTGGTTCTGTACCTTCGGTAAGAAGATATTTACACCTAGTTGTCTTGAACCCGATTGAAATACATTTAAGATTGCTGTAAACAGATCTCTACTTATAATATGATTTATATATTATATATGGTTTAAAACACGTGATTACATTTCCTGGAATCCACTTAATGATATTTGGATACACATTCGTTTAAAAAAACTAGTCACAGTTGTGTTTTACCTGTGATTCCCTTCAGTGCATCTTGGATATTAGTTCCAACCCTAGACATGTTGAGACACAGGACCACCACGGGTCCATACGGGGTACCTGCTGACGACTGGTAGGGTTGTATCGTTAAGTCCATACATGTTTTGTCCACTTTACCATCCAGACTCTTAGTTACTTCCCTGGTAACCATATCTACCATTGTTTTTCCCATTCCACTCCGCTCACTTCGTAGACTCAACACTGCAACATATCATACAAGGCTTTCTGTGGTATGTGTGGACCGATAAATAGATCAGATCACATAATTCATATTGGATATTATAAGAGAACATAGAATTAATTTGTATATTCTCAACTAAAAACAATATCCCGAACATTTTCTAGAGCGCTCGACACTTCATATTTTCCATGAAGAAAAAAAGTGTCGATACGAACTTAACCAACAATGAGTTCGTGTCGCTGCGCCATGTTAGCTTTCGCATTAGGGAATCTTGGATGCTATAACCTATCCATTTGCAATGTATATGTTACTTACAAGTGTGTATCTGGTAATGAGGATAGTTGTTGAAGAGAAACGAATTCGAGTTGATTGTTATAAGAAAACATTGTATTCCATAGACTTTTCATGTACATAGGCGTAGAGATACATAGTTGAAGATAAACATACCGATAGATTTCCTCTTCGCTCGTTCTGCTGCTTCTCTCATTTCTCGCTGGATGGTCTTCAGCTCATCGTCTTTTGCATCTGGTGAATAAACATGCCTTATTGAAATATTTCATACGGTGTACGCCAAGAACTATGTTACGTAGTGTTCGTTATATTTATAAATTAACAAGTTGTGTATCCTTACCAAATTTTTCCTGTATTGTTTCCTTTTCTTCTTTCAGCGCATCAATGTTTGATGTCAGTGTCGAATTCATGGCTCGAAGGTCATTTAGCTTGGCGCTCATATCACTATAGAGTTCTTGCTTCGCCTCACGTAATGTGGCAGCCTCTTTTTCAAGTGTCTCTTTCTCAACATTCAACACAAGGAGAGTGGCTTGAAGTGAACCTGTATATAGATACATGTCAGTATTAAATAATACATGTACGTGTTTTAATACATTGATGCGACCCATGCTCAATTAGTGTCCAGAAATTTCAATATTAAATCTTCAAACTGAAATTTACACCTTGTCAGAACTATCCTGGTCACACACTTAATTAACAGGTAAACCAGTCGCTACACTATCATAGTGTTTAACCATCATCAAAGACTGGTATGTTTCGGCCAGGGTTGAAATCTCCAGAAAGGTCAAAATCGAGACAGTGACGAGATAGATATTTGTAACAAGAAATAAATTTAGAAAAGAGAGTAAATATAAAGTTTCCAAGTTTAGTCAACTTTTATGATCATGCAATGGGAACAGGAAGTACAATTGATACACCCTACCAGCAGTGCAGTCACAAGTGCATATGGTGTGAAAATTACAGGAAACAGAAATCAATATCATGATTATCTGGACTGTATGTTTTATATTATATCTAATTTACTTTGACGCGTGTAGACTATTAACTGAACACGATAGGACAGTCGTTTTCCTTATGTCATAATGACGGACGTATATTTAAGTATGAAACACTACAATGCTTTGGCAAATCCGAACATATATATACATACAATTGTGTTACATACAGTGATCTGGTCAAGTTATACAACGTTGGTAGATGTATTCTAATCTATATGTACGGTACATGCAGTTTAATTAAATCTTACAAGACCATTACCAAAACACGTCATATTTAGTATGAGCTAAACAAGACGAGGAAATGCCATGTCCCTATGTTCTTACACTGAAGAATGTAGCTACTTAAAGTAACCTCGTGTACCTATGTACTGAAGTGTTTTGGTTTTGTTATTTTTGTTTATAACGAGTTTACTGTATCGCTTGATCAGACACATTCTACCATAAGTCTGATCGTACTCGAAAACGATAGAAGAAGCACAGACCTACTAGGCATGCTCTGTGCTCTAACGCCAGGTAGTTAGAAGGGAGTAATGCATGAAAATGATATTAATATAAATTTCTTGTTTTGACATATTTTATAATTTTAGTATTAATTCCTAATTCATTTACGATTAAGTAATACAGTTTTGTTTTTGATGTAAATTACATTTAGTATGTTCTATATAGAGTTATAATTATGTGCATCATTAACGTTTTGCTAGTTTTAATGCTAAACTGACCAATTTGTTTTTCCAGTGTTTGACGCTCTTTTTGTAATTCAGTAATTGTAGTGGACATTTTGCCTTTTTCTTCTGTGAGATTTTCGATCTGGCCTCTGCTGTGTTTTTCCATGTCTTCCTTTTCTCGTTGCAGACTTGTAGTCTGTGCTAATAACATGTCGGTATGTATTTCAGCATCTTGGAGTGCTGTACTTGTTTTGCCTGTAAAAGACGGATAGTGATGATACTTTATCCAAATCCTGGACGTATTAACGTTATATTTCGTAAAGAATCGTATTGGTCACATATCGAATAGGAGTATGTCAAAGTATCTAGATGTCATAAGTCATGTGTTATTGCCATGGTAATTATTTTGTCCTCGTCTTCGTTGCTTACAGAAAAAATGAAATAAACGCTGCACTGAGAGAGAATAGGTTAAAGTGGCTACATGGACATACTTTTACAATATGGTGGATTTTCAAATGAGCTTACTCAATTTCTCCTGCAATGTTTCCTTTTCCTTTTTCAGTACATCCATCTTCGAGACAAGATCAACATTTGCAGCTCTAAAGTCGTCCAGATTGGCTTGCATATCCTTCATAATTTTCTGTTTTTCATTTTGAAGAGCGCGGATTTCTTCCTCAAGTGACTCTTTCGTCCTAGTCAGTGTTTGTTGGGTTGCCCGCGCTGAACCTGTACATAAATATGCATGAAATAAGTCTTGGCGAAGTCGTCATTCAATCAGACGGATTTGACACAATTCAAGCAATTGGCTACTGTTTTTTACTTACCCATTTGTCTTTCTAGCTCGACGACATTCTGTTTTAAATTTTCAACAGTTGACGATATAGCAGTATTATCTTCCTTGAGTACCACAATCTGTTCCTCCAGGTCTGTACGAGTATTCAGATACTCCTGTCGTTCTGTTTCCAGGTCCTGTGTCAGTTGGTCTTTGTTTAACTGTACTGTCTTTAATTTGTTTTCATTGTCACCTGGTGATTATGGTTGACAGAAAAACAGATTCATCGGTTGTTAAATTATTTTAAATTGCGGTATTAATGTACGTATAGGTACACGTATCAATCAATTAAATTATTTTCGTTAAAACTATTCATTAAGATACTTTCAAAACAAAATTATCATTTTCTTAGAACGACACGTGTATTGTCTTTACTTCTACTTCTGACTTAAAATAAAAACTATACTTTATATTTCTATACAGATTCATATTCTATTGTTATCCACACTATAATAGCTCTAATGCTAAACTTACCCATTTGTTTTTCTAGTGTTTGGAGCTCTTTTCGTAATTCCGTAATTGTAAACGACATTTTTCTGGTTTCTTCCGTGAGTTTTTCAATCTGACCTCTCCTGATGTTTGCAATGTCTTCTTTTTCACTTTCCAGATTTGTCGTCTGTATTGATAACTTGTCTATGAGAGTTTCAGCATCTTGAATTGCTTTGCTCCTTTCGTCTGTAAAACATCGAGGTTTATAAGCCTGTACGTAATCAGAGGTCACGTGTCAATTTATTTCAGATGCTGTTCAGTATCAGATATCACCATTACCGGTAGACTATGAAGTAAATTTGGTCTCATAATAAGAGCAACACGATAGTTTCTTCCAAATTCTACACTAGAATTTCTCATCCCCTCCTCAGTTCCAAGTTTTTGATTGAAACTTACCAAGTTGTTGTGTTAACTGTTCCTTGTCTTCCAGCAGTGTCCCTATGGATGATGTTTTGCTGTTGTTGTCCTGTTGAAGTTTTAGGAGTTGACTATTGATATCCTCGTGCATCTGCTGATGACGTTCCAAATCCTTCATCATCTTTTCTTTCTCATAAACGAGTTCGCAGATCCTTTTCTCCTTATCATCTAAAAAACACCATTGTTATATATAAAATATCAATGTCATTATAGCATACCGGGTTTAGGTTATCCCTACTCAGAAGAGCGGAACCTTCATACAGAACCCGACATTTAGGTATGATGCATTTTATTGGTTTTAACACAATATCTATCAGTACAGATATCGGAGATAGAAACAAGGGTAATACGGAAGTGACCTGAACAGGTCAGCCAAGACGACACGGGCGTCTCACAAAGGTTAAACGAATGATTTAAGGTAAGCTTTGTTGACACTTTTTCTAACGATTATTTGTCTCTGAATTTATAGACAATAATGGTATTTTATCATTTTACATTCCCTATGGACATTGTGACACATTTATCGAAGGAAGGCAGTTTAGACTCGTGCCCTGTCCGGGCCTCGAACTCACGATCTACATTACCAAATCGCCTAGCAAACAAATTCCATACTGCCTAAACGTTACACCATCACGACATCTCCCCATATAATCAGTTATGATTAAACGGTTGCTATTCAATTTCAAATTACATAATTAAAACAGTGTATACAATTTCTAGCTATGTATTAATTACCTAGTTCTGACTGAAGTGCTTCCTCACGATTCTCGAGCGCTTTTATTTTTGAAGAAGCATTTTCAAGTTCTACGTTAAACAGCTCTTGTTGATGATTAAGGTTTGTTTGTGTGAGCTTGATCTCCTCTTGGAGTATTGGCAACTCTCCTTGGCCTGTGAAATGCATTTTGTCCTGTGATCTTGTGTCCTGTGGTACAGATCTTCTAAGTTTTTCGTGATCCCTTTGTTTGTCCTCTTGAAGTGTTTCCAAATCATGTTGTAGTTTCTGGACGTTGGCCTCATGAACTGTTCTTTCTTTAATGAGATTCTCCATTTCCTCTCGACTTTCTGTAAGCTGTCTCCGCAGTTTCTCATTATCTTGCTGTGTCGCTTGCCGAAGGTTAACCTCTTTATTCAATTTCTCACTGTCCAGTTGTCTTCCCTGTTGTAGTACAATAATTTTCTCTTTAAGTGTATCTATGCTACGTTGGGTTTCCTTTAACTTCTCAAGCTCTTTCTCTTGCGTTGACTGCTGTTGTTCGTCGTAGATTCCTAGTGTAAAGTAAGCACACATTTAAACTGATGTCCAACATATTTCCAAATAAATAGAATAAAAACAGCTTCACCCGAATTATTCAAACGTTTCGACTTCGAAATATCCCATGGAACACATTGGAGTTAAAACAAATACTAATATGATCGAGAATGCTTGCTGAATATAGCGAATAAATATATCATTAAAAATTCAGATGGAGATTAAGCTAGAATGCCTATGCTTTTCTTAAAGTAGTAACGATGTCCTACATCTTTACCCAACAACTCTGAAACTCAAACTTGTTGTATGATGCTTTGTAAGTGCAAGACTCTAATCGTAATCCCCGTCAGGAATGAAGCCGCCAGAGTGCTGAAAATCGTTGGTGTTACGTCTGTGTACTTACGTTCGGACGGATAAAATGGCATATTTTGGTGTTACGTCTTTATGCGTACCTATGGATAGACGCACTAAAAAGTGAGTGAATACTACCTAAATTGTGAAAATGCTAATTAACCTGTCAATGAGTTATAGGAATACTTTACTTCAAACACTTATGATAATTTTTAAGAAACTGATTCAATCACTTCGACGATATATTTCCTTCCGTAAGATATACATATTTACCACTTTGTTGTAAACCGCTCTTTGGCCTAGTTTCTTCTTCCAAAGTCCAGTTTTTAGTAAGGCTTTTCTGTTGATATTCCGTTTCTGGATCATGTTTGATGCTGTTTTCAATATCCCTAAGCTTCTTTTGTGTTGTTTTTAAATCCCATTCCAGATCTTCTATATTCTTCTCCCTTGTTTGTATGATTGAATGTAAACGCGTTACTTCATTCTTCCAGTAATCTTCCCCTGAACTGCTGGTAGAGTCTCTACTAATTGATTTAGGCTGACTCGTTATTGGCGCCAGTTGTTCGATTTCAAATATCCATGAATCCGGGAACATAGTTTTGTGATCACGAAATATATCCAAAAGAATCTGATAGTTCTCTTGTCCTACGTGATCTATATATTCCTGGAAGACCTCCTTTACAGCCTATAACGAAGATAAAATCAAACTGCTGTCAATGTTACTTTAATAAGATCGCGTTTGTTAATGATGTATATTGCAAATTCAGGATGCATTTCGTTTGATTTTTTCGAGTTACTTAGATTTCCTTAAAAATACTTTTAGGATGATATGAAATACGCTTTATAAGTGGATATATACAGATCAAAACATGGGTAACATGCATGTTCTTGTTTGTAAAGTGACATTACGCCTACTATTACAGTTAAGATCAGAATAAAAAATCCGAGGATCTTATCAGTAATGAAAGTACAGATATTTTAAAATTACCTAACTTCTAATACATATGGTAAGTAGGGTCAGTACACAGTAAATCTTCTACAGAAAGAAGACAGATCTAAATCTATCATATCATGTATCAACAGCAACAACAACAACAACAACCAACAAAAAAAAAAAAAAAAAACAATCTGTATGTTAGTATTTTAACCTACCTTTAGTTTCTGTTTCTTTTTTGATGAACACGAATTACCCATTCTGACCGAGTATTGTCGATCAGGAAACCACTAACCTGACAGTTGAAACGTTTTTTTAAACAGTATTCATGTTGTAATAATAATCCAAGGAAGTTATCTGACTGATAGACTGTTATCTTGTCCTAATAAGTCTTAATGGTGGCGAAAAGATTAACTTGTATCAAAACGTTCGATCATAAACAGTCGAGATACTGCAGAATGTAGAAAACGAAAGTAGGAAAATCCTTCTTTCGGTTTGCTGTAAGGAATCCATTATTATACTTTCGGTTCTGTTTATATGCGTTGTTCTTAAATCTACTTTCGGTTCTGCTTAAATCGTTACGCTACATCTACTGTATACACATAGGGATGATGAAAAGCCCGTCTAACTGTAAAGCCAACACTGCTTTGTATCTAAATTACTGTATTTCTGTTTTAATATTTTGTAGCTATTTATCATAGTTTGGAGTCTCTGTAGTATGTTTCATACTCTCGACATGGTCAAAGCTTCTGTTAGATCATCAGGATTAGGGTACACATGGCTATAAATCGTACAAAAAGTATTAGATATTAACAGCCGCAATCTCAGTCGTATGTAGGTTATCAGGTTTGTTTGCCGTTTTCTGCTTACATATCAATTTTACCCATTTACATTAAATTCCGTTGCAGTATGATTGAGCCGTGGCTATATTATGTCACACGGTATGACAAGCACAAGGATATTTATAACTTCTACCAGATGCTTATGATTTATGAGAACATATTCATTGATTCAATATACATTAAACAATAATCTCTTGTTATAAAACTGCTAGGGGTGATATCACGCCATTTCAATGACTTTATAAAAATTTTAGGTTAAGAATATGTTATCATGATATGACATTTTCACTTGTTTTGTGAGGAATAAATGTTAAACGGAATGTAAGCTTAAGGTGAATATTTATTAAAATCCTTTGTGTATATGACCCCAGACATTAAATTTAGCATGATTTAGCGTGGCTTTTATTTTGTTCTCCTTTATACCCCAGATACTTATGTTTATAGATATTCATTAATTCAATATACATTAAACAATAATCTATAAATATCTCAGTGATATCAACCATGATACCTGTATAAAAACTGTTGTAGGTTAAGATAGTACCATAATCTATGTTTACACCTGGTATTTGTGAATGTTGTTTTCTCGGAATGCATGATTTAGATAATTAAGAATCGTGTTTCAATCTTTTTTAATCTTGTTAAAACACGCAGTGTTTTAATAATGTGTCATGTTTGTTAGCGTTGTCATATTTTCAATTTTAAATACATCTTCTACTTAGTGTAGCCCCTATATTCAAGTATGAATTAATGATAAATATTTACTTCCAAGTGTAGCCCTTTTAACCGATTTTCAATTAATGACAAAATACAAACTATTAGGTGTAATCCCTATATTCGAGTATGCAGTCATGAAAAATATATACTACCGTATGTAGCCGTTGTATCTGAGTATCAATTCACGGAAAACATATACTTTGTGTAACTCCTATACCTGATTATCAATTCACGGAAAACATATACTTTGTGTAACTCCTATACCTGAGTATCAATTCACGGAAAACATATACTTTGTGTAACTCCTTTATCTGATTATCAATTCACGGAAAACATATACTTTGTGTAACTCCTATACCTGAGTATCAATTCACGGAAAACATATACTTTGTGTAACTCCTGATTATCAGTTAATGGAATTTGTGAGTGCCATCTAAAAGCAGGAGATCAGCTTTGTGCACCCCATCGCCATTAAGTTTTACTTTGAACATATCTGTTTGTTGGTGGCATTGCTAAATGGAGGATATTAGGAGTATAAGTATATTTAAGAAATAATAATAACACCCCCCCCCCCCCAAAAAAAAAAAAAAACCCACCTGAACTCTTGAAATCTGCATTCCTAAGATGCCCTAAGTTTTCAGCAACTATATTCCATTTCTTAAGCAATTGTATATTTGGTTAGAAAACCTACCTTTAATGGTTCCACAACAGGGTTACCTTCATTTCGTTTCGAGAGTGGACAGAGAAGCGCTCTCAAGGTACTTGTCATACCTGATCTGATGTATCCACACCGACCCCAAGTAAAACACCAGGTTAGTATACTTTACTAAGCAGATCTATGTTATATATTCAGTACTATAATAGCGATAACACGTCATTTCAGTCCATTTTAGTAGTTATGGTAATTCAAGTTTTCCAAAGATAAAACAGATTGAAATGTAGAGAACACAGGATCCTTAACATATCTACTTTCGTTTTAAAGGTGAAATTCCTTCTATCGGTTCACTATGGTGTGTATTATTTAGTGTTTTGTTGAGAAACAAAGAATACATACTTGCAATACACACACTCGTGTACATACCTATATATACGCATGACTACCCATGCTTCACTGTGCTGTCACGAATACAATTTACGTAAATCAGGACGATGTTTTCCAAGCCCACACATTGCCTTCTCGTTGCACTCGTGATTAGATAACAAGTTAATACAACATTTATACTATGCTATCGTAACTCATTTTATCTTATATTGACTAAATTATGTACAGACATGGCCATGGTTCAAAATCATCTTAATATAAATGTGACGCTGTCCAATGATCCCATTAAAGTACGAGGGAATACAGCAGCTGTACTTCGCTATTTTCCATGAACGTCTCTGTTGAACTGTATGTAGAGAGTAGGATACTGCAACGGACTCCACATTATCACTGGGGCTATCGACTACCACAAAACCAGTGCGAAATAATATCGCAAATATTTATTGAATATGTTCATCGTGTGTTTATATATATATACCAGAATTGGAAATCAATGACACAGGATAGATTCTTCGACATCAGCCGCCTATCTCATTTTTTCAACAACGAAACTAATATGCACATCTTTCCACAATGTTTTAGTATTATGATTCTGTCGATATGTTGGTCTAACAAGAACAAAAAATCATTTCAAAGTTATATTTCAAGTGATTTTTTATTCATAAACTTATTTTCTCATTTAATATTTTCTTTATTATAGATATGATATTTGTGGCATGAAAATATTACGTCCTACGATAACTATTGTGTCATAATGTTACAATCCTGAAAAAACTATTTGGATAACTATTGTGACATTACAATGTCACTTCCATGAATAACTATTGTTACATTACAATATCACTTCCGTGGATAACTATTTGACATTACAATGTCACTTCATTCGATAACTATTGTTACATTGCAATGTCACTTCCATGAATAACTATTGTGACATTACAATGTAACTTTAATGGATAACTATTGTGACATTACAATGTCACTTCCATGAATAACTATTGTTACATTACAATATCACTTCCGTGGATAACTATTTGACATTACAATGTCACTTCATTCGATAACTATTGTTACATTGCAATGTCACTTCCATGAATAACTATTGTGACATTACAATGTAACTTTAATGGATAACTATTGTGACATTACAATGTAACTTTAATGGATAACTATTGTGACATTACAATGTAACTTTAATGGATAACTATTGTTACAATCATTACAATGTCACTTCCTCGGAAAACAATTGTGACATGGTAATATTTTGTCCATGGATAACTTTTGTGAAATAATGTGACGTCCTTAGACAAGAGAAAACAAGATATCAACATACCAACATAATCATATGTTTTCATTAGCAGTATAAATAGTAGTGAACAATAATTAGATAGAGCCAAACAATAAAGGATTTGAAGGTTAAACCAATAACCACACAAAAACATATAGTTGTATTAAAGCATAAGTAGCCTAGCATCAAATATACTACTCTACACTGTTTCAGACCAACTAACACATCATGTTTTGTAAAGTGATCGATTCTTGTTAAATATTGTTACTTTTGGAGATGGAGATGTAAGAAACACTTATTAATGCAGAACGCCACAATCTTGATACGTAATTGGAGGTTTCCGTTTTCGTAGAATCACCCTATGCATGCTTCTCCTTGAGTTGATCGAGATGGTTGACACGGAGAAAAGAGTCGGCAGCTCTCAACATCTGGCGGATGTTATATAAGGCAAGAATGCTGATGTCATCCACGATAGACGTTTCCATAAAATAATTCTTCATTGGCAGCACTGTCATGGGAGGTACTCCGAGAAAACCAGCAGCATCTATACACCTTTGTCTGATAACGGGACTCCGGTATACCTGTGACGTACTATGTCTTGTCAATTCACAAACTGTGTCCACTTTGCTCAGTATAACCAGTTGAGGAATTCCTGCCATCAGTCAAGAACACAAATATTAGAAAAGAGACTGAACGAATACAAATGCAAAAAGAAAACCCACATAAATTCAAAGATAAAGTTCACTAAACAGAGGAACGATATGAAGAAAAGCAGGATTGACATGGACACCCTTGAACGTATAAAATGTTTTCGAAGCGTATGTGTCAATGATTCAAAACACCTATCATATAAACCTTGGTCAAACTAGGTATGTAATGTCTCAAGTGCGAAGCAGGTTTATAAAACACATGACATTAAAGAGAATTCAACAAATCTTTCCTCTTGTTGCACAAAGACATTTACTATTCCTAATAAGAACATGATGATACCTACAGATCCCATGTAGTCTTTATCAACCTACATCTCCTGAAACACGGAATTTTTAGACCATGTCCCATTTTTAACGTAAAATGGAAGTGAAATATATTAGTTTTTGGTTAGTGGTTTTGTACACCTCCCCCATTTGGAGTTTGTCATTTATTTCGAACAATTTTGATTTTTCCCCTTTCGCCTCTCAGATTGAAAAGCGTTATATTCACATATATATATACACACACGATACACAAAGTTTTTATCTTTTTAAATTATATATATATATTTAACTCAGATTTGAGAGTAGTATGGTATTAATTAACACATTTTAAAAGGGTTCCCAGGTCAATCCTTTGAATTGATATAAGATCAACCATTTTGTTATCTATACCTGCACGAAGGACACAATATCTTAAAACATTTGTTCTTGATGTAGCCACATTTAACATAAATGTCTGTCCGACTGCCTTATATTGTTACAATGTTTGTTGACGGCATTCTGTAAATTTACATATTTTCTTCATTTTACCTGATGAATTATACCAACTTTAATCTCAACCTCAAACAAACAGGTTATTCACCTTTCTTGTCAACAATATCTTGAATAGCCTTGATCGTCTCCTTAACAGGGTCCGTCATGAATGGTATACCAAGTTCTTGGGAGTATGAAGTGGCATCCAGCACATATACCACACAGTGGATTTCGTCCTCTAGTTTGGGATCGTGTTTGTATCCATACATTTGGGGTTTCATTGGGAACGAGGTATTGAACTGTCAGTAGATATCATACACAGTTACACATAGCAGCTTAAAAATTTAAAAAAAGTTAGTATGTTGAAGAAAGCAACTGATGATGCATTTTGAAAAAATAACTTTTGTCCAAAGCCGAATTGAGGATATTTTAAATAGTTATCGCAATATTTTGATTTGTTACATAACTGATTCAAAGGCAAGTATTGGTATGGTCTTACCCTGTAACTGTTAGGAATGTGTCCCTCTAAAATAGAACTGATATCTTTGCTGATGCTAGCTCTGTCCTCCAGACCTCTACAGTCACACAACCGGAACTTCATGGTGCGTTTGTTGTCTGTTGCTGACATTGCATACTCTTGATACTGTTGGATATTCCGTTATAGCAATTATCAGGACAATAACTCTACTCCTACTAAATGATATCATCTTTCATTACAATGTTGAGAATTGTTATCAAATGAACAAGATATGAACTAGGCATGGATGTTGTTGAGCAGGAAAACGACAATTACATTCCACTGCCATAGAGAATCAGCAGCTGTAATTATCAACTTCGTATTAACATTATGTTAAGAATATTGCTTTCCCTAAATTGATGCTGTTTAACATCTCATGAGATCTCCGATGCAGTGTTGTCAGTGTAACTTTCTTTGCTTACTTTATTGCCTAATTAACTGCCTGGATCACTTTGAGTCAGGGCCTCATTGTAATAGCAGGTGACTACCTCACTGAACATCATATGGCAGACATGTCGAATGTCCTCCATAGCAAATATTGCCTTGTTCAAACAGGCCACCTCGAAAGTTCAGGCTGCTTCATTTCCTAGCTCTCTGAGAAACACAACCTGCCACGAGTAGGCAGCGTCGAACTATGCAAATGGGACCATATCCCATTATATTTATTCGAATATGGGACAGAAAGTTGGTACCGAAGTTTCCATTGGATTTGTAATCGCTGGTCCACATATACGACAGTGAGTACTGGTTATTATGCCACCACAAGTTTTCATATATTGTTTATAATATCATGCTTTACTCTGTAATACTTACGGCTAAAATAAAGAACTTACCGCGGATGTTAAGCTCCTAGTTCTACTTCCGGCGCCAGCAGTCAATGTTACATAACCACGGAAAGCAGATTCTACTGAGTTGATAAAGCTCGACTTCCCGGCGCCAATGGGTCCAATGAAGAGGATATTAACTTGTTGTAGGGCTTCCTCGGACACACCCATGTTCCTCAGTGGCCAATAGTGTTCAATCTCATCCTTCAAGTTCTTTAGGTACTGCAACACACAAACTGAATCATGCATGTCTGTCATACTACAACATTATTATTTCTTCATTATTCATGTTGCTATATTTGAGCGACCGTGAAATCGGCAATATCCAATCTTCATCTCTTTGTGTACATGTGAAATTCAAGAAGATGCAATTAACTCTCACATAATCACGTTGTCTATACAATACTAATCAAGGTTAATTTGATCTTATCCTTTGATATTATCGTATACTGGAAATAGTTACAGGTTTCCATGACATTGTCGAATGTTTTTAGAGAATCGATTATTGATATTGATTATGTTGTTGTAGTGTTAAGGTGAATGTTGTTAGTGTTTCTGAGTGATGTATATCAGTGTTAGTGTAATCGACTGGTGTATGGCAATTGTAGTATGGCTAAGTCGTTTATGACAGTGTTGTGTCAATGAGTGTTATGTGGACAGACAAGTGTAAGTGGTATATGACAGCGGAAGTATAACTGAGTGGTATGTAACAGTGGTAGTGTAACTGAGTGATGTTAAAATGTGGAAATGTTAAAATAGTGAATTGTATGTGGTATTGGAAGTGTAGATGAGATTTATGATACAGTATTAGTGTCGCTGAGTGATGTTTGGATCGGTAAGTGTAGTTGAGTGTTATGTGTTAGGATAGCGGAGTGATGTTTGACAATAATAATGTAGATAAGTGATTTGTGAAAGGGCTTATGTGGCCGAGTGAGGTGAGGTGAGTGTTATGTGGGATGGTTAGTGTAACTGAGTGATGTGTTGGATGGTAGACACAATAAGTGTGCATTGCCACTCGATCAAAATTAAATTGATTTAAAAGAAATAATGATAGCTTAATTAACTTATACCAACCTGCTTATCGAATATAGGCTCGTTTCTCCAGTGTAGACCAATGGTATCTTGCAGGTTTATGAAAAGCAAGTTATATGTACATTTAAAATAATCCATCGGCAACTAACAAAAAAAAAAAAAAAAAAGGTCTCCAAACGTAAGAGAAAATTCGAAAATCTAAGTTTCGATAAGGAATGTTGTCAGGTGACATCTTTGTGATGACGACCGATAGTAAACTATGCATTATTAACGGAACTGCATTACTGTGCTTAAACATATATATAATAATAGCTGGACTTGAATATGTTTCCAGAGAGCGTAAGCATTTCACAGTAAGACAAGTGGCGAAGATAAAAAGTAAGAGTGTAGTAGGGTATAAATGTAATCTTACCGACAATCTGTCCATCTTCTGAATCAGACCTTTGGTAGTCTGCATCTGGTGCAAATGAGGTGTTATTAAAGTATCAGCAAGGGTAAGTAATTTTTGATACTCACGTAAATACAAATCGAATCTTCACATCGTTCACTCTTACTGAGTATAAAGGATCCAATTTTATGTCTATAGCAACATGTACTGGTTGAATTTCAGTGAGAATATTATGACATTTATCTGTTTTAATCTGCTTGTATTTTGTTGTTGTGTCGATGGTACTAAATACGGGCTATCAAACCTGATTGTGTTATACTAGTTAAGCTACTTACCGAGTTGCCTTTCCAGCATAGCAACATTTCGTTTTAAATTTCCGACTTCGGATGACATAGCAATCTTATCTCCCTTAAGAGACACAATCTGTTTCTCCAGTGAAGCACGGGTAATTTTATACTCCTGCCGTATTGTTTCTAGTTCATTAGCCAACTTTTCTTTGTCTGTCTGTATAGTGTTCAGGTTCCTTTTGCCGATATCTGAGGGTATATATCTTATCACAATTACCGTCATACAAATACATCTCGGTAAGCATACCGGTGTAAACTGTAAAACACATGATAGAACATTTCTATAGAAACGATCACATCATGCACAATAAGTTAAGAGCACCGTTTGTGGGTCTTACCTGATTTAACAAGTGATACTGCCGGCTATAATCAAGAACTGTGGATACCCAGCTTATTCAATGATACTGCTGGCTAATAAAGCCTTGATATCATTTAGTCAGTGATGTTGTTGGCTACAATAAGCAGCGTTAGATACACGCTTTTAAGTATTACTAACATTTAGTCTGTGATATTGCTGGCTGTAATAAGCGGCTTTGGAGCACGCTTGTAAGTGTAACTGCCATTTGGTCAGTGATATAACTGGCTTGGATTAGATGAAAGACTTACAAATCTTATCACCAAAAATTAGTGAAATTGTTGATTACAACAGTATTTTCATGGAAATAAGACTTCTTATCTGTCACCATTTTCATTATTACATACAACTTTCTAGATAATTTACAACACTATTATAACCTTTTAACGTAGGTGTCTTTTGTACAATATCGACTTGCCTTTCTTTTTTTTACGAGTAAAATAATTATACACCTCACCTAGTTGTGTTTCAAGCCCACCAATATGTTCCTTCAAGTCTGTACTAGTTTTGGAATATTCCTGTCGCACTGTTTCCAGGTTCTGTGTCAATTGTTCTTTGATTAAATGTAATGCCTGCTGATTGCCTTCACTCTCGCCTATTGAATAGTATCGAAGTTGTCGTATGTAATGAGTTATTATGAATGGTACGAAAATAGTTATATTGTGAACTCAAAACAACTTTGACATGTTAAAACATTACACAAGTTGACAACGATTTTTAAGATTGATATTTGTCCTTGAAAATAAATGTTCACTCCAATATGTTAGTAAAAGTAGCAGATTCTGAAATATGGCAAATTTATCCTTGAGCAAATGTTTATTCATAGACTGAACCACTGTCTTGGAGGATCATTCATTTGATAGTAACTACGGGTTGTGACCAACCAAGGAATGTCTGGACTCGTTTTTTCTATTTCCAACAAATGTTAATATGCTGTTTAATGATAAGTCATAATCGAAATAATAACCCCTGAGCATATTTTTTTCTGAATATATTTGAACTGAAAATCATTCATAATCATTCATTATGATGAAACCATTTATGGAGTTAGCTGTAAATATTGTCACCCACCATTTAATGAGTACTGCTTGTAATGTGCAGCTATAAGTACCGGCTTTTAAGGTTGCAATCGTTCGATTGGATATCACACATTGCGATCGGTATCCACTTAGCAATAGGTTCCTCCTGTGTGAAACCATATTTATACACCATACCAACATAACCGTGATCTAACCTAATGTAAAAAATATCATTTTAGAGAACCCTTTACATCCTTGAAAATAAAAAAAAAAAAAAATAGAAAATAAACAGTATTCCCTGGAATGCATTCTCCTTTCAATCACATTGTTTTGTTGATACACCTTACCTAGTTGTCTTTTCAGTTCAGAAACAGTTTGTTGTAATGTTTCAATTGTGGACGACAAAGCAGTCTTATCTCTCTCTCGAGACACATTCTGTTGCTCCAGGTTTGTATGTATTTTGTGATACTCCTGTCTTACTGTTTCCAGGTCCTGTGTCAGTTGGGTTTTGTTTATCTCCATACTCTTCACTTTTTCTTCACTGCGAGCTATTAAACAACATATATTGTACCTAGTGTCTTGTCACTTTGTAGGATAACAGAACATAAGTGATTATAATACATAGTCATAAACAACGCGTTCTAGTGACCCGTTGTTAATACTGTCAAGTTTACGTATTGTTGCTTTACGTTCAGCGTGCCAGGTTTGGATGGTGAAGGACAGTCAGACTGGAGAAAAACATCCTCACCGACTTTCAGCCAGTACAGGCCAACGTAGGCCTCGAACCCACGATTTAGAGGTGGAGGGCTAGTGAAAAAGGCGGGCAGACTCTCCTAAACAACTTTACCATCGAGGTCCCTGGTAAAATTTTAAACTTGTTAAGCAAGTATTAATGCTTTATTTGGTTACAAGTACAATAATTGTTTCATTTCGAATATTTCCTAAATGTCTTTGTTATAGATATAGTCAAATATTTGCAATGATGTGTGCTGCTATTGAGCGAAGTTTTCTATAAATGTCATTCTGTATGAAGTGAGGACTGTCAGTGGGTCATTCTGAAGAATGAGCGTAAGATAGAAAGAAATTAAAACAGATCAAGATTCGCTGTTATTCAAATGTGAGAAAAGATGGTTTATGATCTTTTATAAATTATTGAAACATAGATTTAAGATACTATTCACATAGTCTTTTTTCATTCTTTATAATGTAAACAATATATTGATATTATGTAATGTATTAAAAACAGCTCACCGAGTTGTTCTTTCAGAAAAGAATTCATTGTTTGGAAATGTTTGATTTTAGACGACATCATAGAGTTATCTCCCTTGAGTGACGCAATCTCCTCCTTCAGGTCTGTGCGAGTTTTTTGATACTCCTGTCGTACTGATCCAATGTCCTGCGTCAGTCGGTTTTTGTTCAAATCCACAGTCTTAAGCTCCTCTTCAGTATCACCTATTGATTATTTTAAACATGATGGTATTTAGTTAAAGTTTTGTTCTCCGCGGATATACGTAATAGCTAGAAAGTTGTTTTCCAATCATAAATCTTGAAATAAAATTAACATTCTCGTGGAAAATACCATCTGATCAGGAAATTCATCATAATTTCAGCAGGATCATATTTGTGATCGTGGGATGTAGACAGGAAAGTCTGATTTCATAAAAACGTTTGCATGTATTATCTAGATAATGCCAATGTTTTTAACAATGTACCCATATTTAATTTACCATCATTGTATCTTTCCTCCTAAATAGAAACGTGGAACTTTGAGTATGACAATATTGAATAAAGGTAGTATTTGAGAATGTATAAACAGTGCGTACTGCTGGTGCCATTGTCCTACTGTGAAGACATTACATGTTCGTGTGCTTATTCTGCTTTATTACCGGACAAATTGGTTTCAAACAAAATGGACAAAAGACATTCGATATGTGAGAGAATGGAAGACTGTCCCTATTAATTCTTTGTGGCTTGAGGTGAAATTTGGGTTATTTTCATTCATTCTTTTTCCTTTGAATCATACATCGTATATAAAATATGTCACTAAAAACCTCACCTAGTTTTCTTTTCAAAATAGAAGCATTTTGTTGTAATTTTTCGACTTTAGACGACAAAGCAGAGTTATCCCTCTTGAGTGAACCTATCTGTTCCTCCAGGTCAGAACAGGTTTCATGATACTCCTGCTGTGATGTTTCCAGGTCCAGCGACAGTTGATCTCTGCTTAACTTCATAGTCTTAAGTTCATCTTCACGTGCACCTGACGACCACGGAGAAAAATCGGAATTATTGCATCAGAAATTCATATACAGCCATAGGTCATTTGATCTAATCGAGCATTTAACACTCTATTTCATCGACTCTATATTCCTTAGTTATTTGTGTTTCGACTTTGTGATACTAAATAATCTTGAGTATTTGCTTGATGTCTTGTAGCTTTCTAAATCCGCATTAACGATACGTAATATCACTTTAAGTTCCGTAGCAATAAGCAGCTCGTACATCTAATTTAACATTGCACGAAAAATATTTCCCAACGAGATTATAACAGCGACTATAAGCAGCCCTAGTCCTCATCAATCTGCATCTCTAGAACCCATGTCATGTAAGTTTGTGTCAGTTGTCGACTTCTTTAACGGAAATCGTGAAACTGTCAATAATAAGGTCTACCTAGAAGTTGTAATTTGAACCAAATGGAATTCATCTGAAGTCCTGCTAATCAACCATAATTATAGAGAGCTGTTAAATTTCATTTACGGCTTAAAACGAGGTAAGTAGCTGATGTAGAACTCATTTTCAGTTCATTCTGATGGTTGTATCCGATTGATAAAATAAATAAATATCAATAAATCAATTTTATGAAAAGTTAATATCGTCAAGTTAGTCCGTTGAAGAATGAATTATCACAATAGTAATTCTTATGAGATTCTGATCTTAGACATCACGTACTCAGATGGCAAATATCTGGGCACGTAATTTATTAACAAATTCATGCTAAAGTAAATTCAATTATACGAATTTACACAAGAGAACCTCTACTCGAAAGACAAATGAAAAACTTACCATTTCTTAAAATCATGAATTCTATTTACTTTATCGAACCAAAGTTCATTTTAAAGTTCATCAAACGTTTCGTGATACTAATATTTCTCTAGTTATATTTCCTTGGAGGAAAGGTAATATTTTTACCAATTTCCTGTCTCAGTGCGTCATTTTCTTGCTGCATTTCCTTAAGTTTGGAAGAAATCTGAGCCATTTCCATCTCTCGAAACGTTGCCTGTTCCTCTGTGCCATGCAGAATGGATTGGTCCAGCTTATCTTTTGTGCCTATCAAGTGTTAATAAGTTTAAATCAATGCTTTGGATAAGATTTCAGGATATCTTTACACAAGGGACTACATTTGTATTAGCATTCCTATCATCAACATAAAGAATTGTTTTCTTAACACACACAAAAGCATACACACACATACACCATCACCTCCCCCACACATACACCCTCACCTCCCCCTACATACATCATACATCCACACCTCCCATACCAACCCCCACCCCAACACAAAATTTGTATTCTCACAGTAGTGTAGAAAAATGTACAATGAACTTTATTCTTGTACTAACATGTAAAGCGATTAACATCAAAACCTAATAATCTGCTTTCCACCTATACTATATATATATATTGTTACTTTATCATGGTTTTGTGCACATAGTGAGGGCCTGCTTCTGTTAATATAATTTGTCAATACTCAATTACCAATCGATTGTGACGTTCTACAATGTTTTGTATACCTACAATGAAACGAATGTGATAAAATAGTAAAGGAAGTGCATCACTCTTCCATACATCTTAAAATTTGTTTTGGCAGATTATTACATCGCTACAGAACTTCTCTTGTGGATTTCCACAATAAACCCATATAATCACTAATGCGGTATTGCCAAATACATACTTTATTGGTAATTGTTTGTGAGATTTCCCAAAAAAGACATCTTTTACATCGATTACGTTTTTTCCTTGGATCTCTTTTAACATGTTTTTCTACCTTACGCTGAACATACTTATGGTTGCTACTCTGTAATTTATCAGTTTCCTCAAAAGTTTTCGACAACAAACAGTTTCCCTTTCTATCGCATTCTGTTATTCCAGACATTGTATTTTTAAATGATTCTGAAACATTTTGCTTATTTTCTCTCTTTCTGACATCAGAAGTCTGTACTTGTGCACTTTCTTCTGCTGTGCTCTCGGAAGTCTGTGTCTGGACATTTTCTTTCCCCCTTTCTTCGAGTGTCAGGGTTTGCACACTTTTTGGTTTGAGACGGTAACAGTTCTCTGTTTGTATACTTCGCGAACACATAATTTTAACAAACATCTCATTCCGGAGACAATCAGTCCTGCTCTCAATTAGAGAATTATAAGAACTTGCTGACTGTTGTTCATGTCTCAAACGTTCTTCTGTGATACCTGTTGACTGAAGTTGGCTGCTTTTCTCTTCCATAATTTTTTTCGGGTGCTTTAAATGATCATCTTCAGGTAAATCTAATGTTGAAGGGACTAGCGCCATTTCTTGAAGTTGGATCCTCGAAGTTTGTTCCTCATTCTGTAATCGCCCTTTCTCGTCATCTCGATTGTTCTTCTGCTGCTGATGTCCTGTAGGAGACCTTTTACTCCCGTGTCTCTCATTATCTTTATTAACTTTATACCAATGCTCTACGTTTGAAACATATCGCACCCTCGGAGAAGAGGCCTTTGCCGTCCTCCTTTTCCATGAATCAGAAATGATTTCGTGGTGTTTTAAAAGATCGATTAAGGAAGAAAACACCTCTGGTTGTACAATATTGGAAATAGTGACGAGGATGTCCTGTAAAGAAAAGTGTTTTATCTGATTATGATTTCAGAAAACATATGATCGCTTTAATGACACAACGCCATCACGAAACGATTATATCAAAGTGGTGTAAAACAGAATAAACATCTAGACAAAAGCAGGAAGGTAATCGGGAGGGTGATATAGACAATGGCCATATACAAATGTCTATATCCCATAGGAATGTACCAGCTAGACGTCACTCACAGAAAATCTAACAGAAATTGGAATGAAATCTAGAAACACCACTGTCTTAACCTATCATAAATCTCCAAAATTAACAGAGTCGACACCTCATCTATTTCACTTAAAATGTTTTGTAAATATCATAAAATGACAATGATCCTAGAGAAATATGTCCAATCAACGGTTAAAGTAAGTTCAACTACTGAATATTTTGCAAATATAAACGTGACAAAAAGTTTCAAGCTTGGTATATCATAAAACTTTTTAAAACGAGAACATTCATTTCAGCATAAAAATTATATATTTTCATTGTATCTGCCTCCGCCTACATATACAAAACACATCAAAAGTTAAAATGTTTCGTTTCGTCATATTCGATAATTCAAATGTCATTGAAATCGATTAGACAGGTGTTAGATTTAAATGTTTTTATACAGTTACCAACCGGTTATCTTGTAGTTATTTCATAATATGGGTAATGACGCTTTGGGAAAAGTCTTTATTGAGATTATTGACCTACCGTAAGTTCGCTCTCTGGGGGTTCACGAACTCGTCCAGAGGAACAGGTCCCCATAACACCGTATCAGTTACTGTAACGCCTGGTATGATGGCAGTAGTTAAGTGTTTTGTTAGCTATTATTCGATATGGATATCATTTAGATTATTGTGATAGCTCACGTTCTTACAATGTAACACCTGATATTTCCTCCTTTCGGTTTAGACCGGATTTCCACTTTCTGTTTGGGTATACATGTGCATATCTGCCAAATGACCCGACCTGTCTGCAATAATACTAAACAACCGCGCGTTAAAACAGAGAGAGCTATCTATATATAGGGATTTTACCTGTTGATGAAATCTACCTATTTACATTTATGCAGATAAGGTGGACTCCATACCCTCGCCGTACAAAGTGATTATGCAGAGACAGTTTGAAATGGATATGGCATGTGTATCAAGCGTGTCAATAATGATTAAAGTTGGTAACTACACTAGGTATAGAAGCCATTATATAATTATTCATTCTAGTAAGTTGTTTGTATTTTTTGTTTTCTTAATTAGTATGATCATATGTAGATAATGAAATATTGACTCTGCATATCTCTGTTTTTGTGGCTTCTGCACCATCATCCGTTCATCGCCCGTGTCATGTTTCACAAGGTCGAGAAAGATAGACAGGACACGTTTTGAAACTATTTCACAAATGATGCTGGCGTAATGGAAAGTTTGCATAACAACTTGTACTCTGTTACTGTTTTTAAGTATGTGAGAATCAAAAATGGGTCTTTTCCGTGGACAAGACTATCTCGATCCTCGGCAAGCCTCGTGCTGACCAGACCTCTTTCGTTCTTACACATGCCCAGTTATCTGATTACAAAAGCAGTATACATAACAGGTCTTTGATAGAATGCTTTTCACCCATCTTAAACACTGAATAAAGAAATAAAGACATGCCAGTTGGCTCCATTTGAAGAGAAATACTAGCCATATGTAAAGTTATCTATTTAATGTACAGAGGTGATCACATGTATTGTTATCCATTATTGTAAAACCTGACCATATAACTTTACAATGTTTCCTAATAATCAAATAACTGAACAACATACAATGCTTTTCACCCATCTTAAACACTGAATAAAGAAATAAAGACATGCCAGTTGGCTCCATTTGAAGAGTACTAGCCGACGGTGATCACATGTATTGTTATCAATTATTGTAAAACCTGGTAGATGATCTAGCCAGTGTTGACACGCGTGACTGGGTTTTGTAATATAACAATCACAATAAACCACATAGTTTGTTCATAGATATATGGATGTATGTGATAATTTGATACATTTGTACCTACAACATATATAATATAAATCTGGAAGCTGGTCAAATGCTTTTCCCAAAAGTGGTTTCATATGCACGTATATAATTTTGAACTGACAGAACTCAACTAGTTGGATTCTCATCAAAAGAAATATATACATATAACAAAGGTAATGGTAGCCTTAAGTTTTCATTCTCATATAAACTTTATTTTATCTGTTAGCATGACTTTTCTATTGTAAAAGCAATTTCACAAAAGTTTTTCTCTTAGAAATAAAATAGATATGATTTAGTATGGACTTGTTTTATAGTTTCATTAGTTTCTTATCAATATAGTACATAGACAAATGCCTTAAGACTTGTTTGAAGCTAGTTGCGATTACATTGCCAATGTTTCCTTTTACAAACATGCACGTATGCATTAGTTATTTTTTTGTATGTAACAATTTCAGTATCAAGTTTTTAATCATGCGCACATACATAAGGTAATTGTACGTTCAGTTAAACTCGGTTTCGTATTTGCCCGCTCTAAGTTTGTCCAGACGGCTCCATGAAATAGTTTTTCATTTGCAGCACATTCAGTGGAGGAAAACCAAGGCAGTCAGCAGCATCTATACACCCTCTGTCTGATGACAGGACTATAGTACTGAATGCAACGTCTTGCTGATTCACTTACTCAATCCACTTTGTTCAGCAAATCAGCTGAGGAATACCTTCGAAAAACACATTTATATAAAGTACAGTGTAAACTTTGGATTCTTTTATGATTGTGTGTCTTTTCATTTTTAACTTTAATTAGCGAATACGTTACGATCAGGAGCATTGATAACAGTTCTAATATTTATGAATTAGTTGAGCGACAGACGGATAAATCAGAGGTCCAGGATACAATCGTTACTTGAGATAATGATACTTTATGGTCTTTTTCTACAGATTGTGTATCTTTCTGGCCTTTTCCATGATATTCATGATCTGGTTATGGACACTGTCTGTCATGAAGGGCTTATGGATGTCGGCCCTCTCGCTGTGTTTGTCAGCATCCATAACGTACACAGTGTATCTTGTCATCCAGTTTCGGCTGATGTTTGTATTCATGCATGTTAGATTTCAATGCAGAAGACGAGTTGATATAAAAATACCAAAATGGTGGAAAGAATTTAAGAACGTCACGCAATAATCTATACGTTTCCAATTTCTGAATGCATGTAGTGATTGAAACAAAAGACACATTCGTATGTACCATACCACCTAATTGTTCGACAGGTGTTCTTCTAAAATCGAGTCTTTGTCCTGTGAGATATCTACATCGTCTAGAAGTCCTCTACAATCGCACAGTTGGAACTTTACAAGCCGTTTGTTGTCTGAAGACGTAATAGGGTACCTCCGGAACTGTAAATAGAATAGATAATATCAAACTATCCATACACAAACTACAAGATTCATTCCTTTTTCTAGTATCTTATGCATGTTTTCTCTTTATGCCTGCCACATTCTGCTCCCGCTTCCAGCTGTCATTGTCACGTGACCACGGGAACTAGATTTTACCGAGTTTAGAAAGCTAGACTTCCCGACACCATTGGGTCCAACAAAAAAGATGTTTGCATATTGCAGTGCGTCCTCGACCACGCCCATGTCTCTCAGTGGCCAGTAGTGTTTAATCCAATCCTGCATGCTCTGTAGATACTGTCAACACAAGACAAGATGACACTTAGCTCTAGGTGTGTCGTCAGCCTAGGGAACGACGCATTGTTTTTAATACTTTTTCAAAGAAATGACGAAAAACAGTTGCGTCATATCCGTCATTCTTGGTACTGTACAGCTTGGTAAATGACTGTGGGCCATCGCCGGTCAGGTTCAAAAGAGTATGTTTATCTGTATCTGATAAATTCGTCATGATGCACTTACGCAGAAAAAATGAATTATGTATACAAAGTAATCACCTTTTGAGATTAAAATTAAAATTAATTAAAATATTGATTAGATAGATATGTTTTAATTCATTGGACTTTGATTTCTGGCTAGTGACGTGCACATGTACGTCAGTTAAACTTAGTTACATAAGTGGGTCAATAAATACACAATGCAGGCATCATAGCACTTTACGCGAACCGCCTGTTATTCCAATAGTCTTCAGGTAAACTACAGTTGTGGTATCGCATTATGTTACATGATGTACAATGTGCGCACGATGTATGCACGATTGGGAAATTGGACGAAATATGCTATCGCACATTGTGCGGTTCTATCGTGGTTTATATAAATTTAGAAATTACTTATAAATAAGTGTGCAATACGGTTTATTTATTTCTAAATATATAAGAATACAAGTAAGTATTTTCCGTAATTAAGCCATTAATATATAGGTTGGACAATTGTAGATGTATCAGATAAACACTAAATAGTTATATGCACTCATAATTTGCAGTGATTTGTTTACGATATCAAGGTTTTTTTTCTTTTATTGGCCAGATGTGTACTATGATCTATATGATATATCAAAGAGCCACACGTGACCAGCCTGAATGTGCGGACACACCGCCTTAGTTAGATCAAGGTTAGATTACGGGTGCCAGGTATATAATATAGCTAGTGACACAGTATTAAAACATCTAGATATAATACAACATATTAATATCAAAAACACCAACAGCAATAGTTTACTACATCGAAACAACATTAACACTTAGGTCGAGAAAACCTTAATATCACAGCCAAAATCATGGGGATTGTTAAACAAAGCAATACAAAATAGTGAAATACCTGTTACCAGCCGGTACGGATCCAGACCTGTCTTATATACACCCCTATACAGGTTAATTTTGTCGCTCGACCACTCGCCACTTTCTGAGGTGTGAAACTATATGTGATAAGACTAATTAATGCAGGTCCGTCCAGTGTTATTTAGAAAACTGTCGAATTAGAAATGACTTTTATAATTACCGCTCTGTTTTAAAGTTCATGCGATCGCTATTTAGCAATAACTAATAATGATAATGATGAATTTCCCTTTATTTTTCAATCCGTAATGTTAGATTTAAAAATGCGCCTGCATTTGTATTATTTTCAACAATTTTCGATTAAATCATGCCTAAAATTGCCCCACCTTCGGTATATTACACAAACTTCAAAAATGAAAGTAGGAAAATCCTATCTATCTTTAAGATTTCGCAATTTTCTTTGTTGAACCTTTTTATAGTCATTATAAACATTCCATCCTTTTATGGGAAACGAAAGTGAAAATCCGCTGTTGTAACACTTTACAAAAATGTATATGAGGTGGATTTTCTAACAAATACACTGATATCGTAGATAAAACACTTTAAAACGTCTTTGTCAATTATTACATGATATACAATACGATATGGTTTATTACAGTGTCATATATCACATTTAAATGTAAATACACGGTGTGTAAACTTTGTAACTTGGGTCAATGTTCGTAGAGCGTCATTATCAAGCGACGTGATTATGATAAAAACTAATCTTCATGGCAATCCAACATAAGATATTTATCTGAAAGATTCTATGCCTTTTTTTAAAAAACAATTTTCAAGTTTCTAGAATCAAGGTTTTTTTTCTTTATTTCTTTCTTTTTGGCCAGATGTGTACTATGATCTATATGATATAATTTTCAAAAATGATGATATTGTGTGAAATACACAAATTAATATTTAATCTTTCAGCTTTCAATTGATCACAATTTAAGGCAATACAAGTTGTGTACAAAGTAACATATACTTCTAGGTATATTTGTATATGTCTGTTTTACGACAGTCCTATTAACAAATTATATTTAGATGGTTTCTCTAGATGAGATAATGAGAATCATAAAAAATCCATTAAGTATGCAGAACATACCGTTGATAAAGTACAATACTTGTATAGCAGTGGTCTCCCCTCATAAGCGTTCACCTGGTGGCGTCACCTTTCAGCTAAACACACAACGACGATATCCTCTCTTCCCACGTAAACCAGGATATGCTGATCCAGTAAGTTAAGTATGCTATCTATAGCAGCAATGAAATAACGTACAGCTTGGATATAGTCACTTCTTTGTTTAATTACGCGTGACCTGTAAAAATCACACACGTACGTTGAAATAACTTAATTTAAGAAATATGCCAGTCTTTGTCATTAGATGTATTTACGGAATAACCTAATATGAACACCAATCAAATCACATTTTTTAATTGTTTATATGCATAGACCAAAGCAACACAGCGATAAACACATGGTATATAAAAAGAAACTATGATACGTGTTATTTCTTAATCTATAATCTATTGTATTAATCAATTTGCATGCAAGTCAGACGTACATGTTCTCGAACAATCTCCAGATATGTTTTTGCTTATTTCGATAAAGTAAGATGACACGTTCAGTATTTTTTTAAAATCATAACAAAAGCAATATTCCTGACTTATCAATGAGACGTTCTGGTCTTAATGTCTTACTGGGAAGCCATATTTTATTGAACAACAGTTGTGACACCACGACAGCGAAATGTGACACTCGGTTACTTGCCATTCAGTACGGGTTTAAACTTCAGTCTACTGTTGTCGTCTCTGTTATTAGTAACACTGTACGCCTTGGTACTGCTTTATGGTGCCATGCTCGAACGCACGCATTTATGATATATTGATTAGGGAACATTTGATAGAAAGATAGACTTTTTTTGTGCTGACAGGTCAAGGACGTTCTTGTCATTTTGTAATTCAATGATTCGTAGAATACTATACATAATTTAATAGTGTGTAGAGTTCATAGTATTGGTAAATGACTTGTATGAAAAGGATAGATGAATAATTCTGATACCACAAGAAAGTTACCTGTATTAATTAAATATTAATCTATATTTTGTACATATTATATCTAAACTCTAGATTTTAAGTCCAAACCTGAAGCCAGTGGCTACGTGTAAGTTTTGTTGTTGTGTACTGTACCAGAATGAACTTGTCGATGTTTGACACAGGGTTTCTGTAAACATGTAACCGATGTTGTATATATTCGTACAATATACATATGGCAGTTGCATGCGACATTTTAGAAAAGATATTGCGATAATAGATGCAACATGATTTTTACTTATTTGTAAACTTTTATTTCACGTATTTTTTAAGGTTAGTTCAATACTAACGTATACTGCGATATGTATCAGACCACATAGTCTACCAATGATAAAGCTGTTTTAGTCATCAGGTAACGTTAACGTATTATAGGCAATACTGCATTGGAAATAACATAATTCTGCACATATAAGTATCTCATAAATTATATTTATTTCATGTTCTAACATACAATTATAACAATATATATCCCTAATTAAAAGGTCGAACGTCAAACATGACAACTTTGAAAATTAAAGCTGATGATCCCCAAATAGAATCTTTTGTTAAGGCCAACTAGTCAAAGATCACACACATATTCCGGTTAAACGATTAAATGTATCATTTTCTGGCGGTTGAGGTTGTTAGTATAACTGAGACCTTTAAAATTAAGTTGATATTTACAACAGAGTTATCAACCTCATTAGAATTTGGTAGTCATACATAAGTTGAAATATAAAGCACTACACTTAGGAACTTTTGATAAGTGTACAAAAGACTCCATTACCCAACCGATAAAGTCTGGTAGATAATAATTTAAAAAATGGTAGTGAAAAAGTAATTTACGCACATACTTCAATGCTTGTTTGTATTCACTTGTAAAGTTTAAAGAGTCAGTGTCAGTAAAATGAAAAAAAAACTTCTTTTAACAAGACGGCTCTTTTAGTCTTCTACAGACTTGTTTGCTAGGGTCAACAAGTTAGGGGTTTAATGTTTTCGGAAAAGTATCATATGATCGTTTCATGAAAATTATTTTTGAACAGTTGTATATCGAATTGATAATGTATATTTTCTATGATAACCATAAACCACAACTATAAAGTTCAAACTTGTCATTTAAGATTCAAAATTGATTCTTTTTGTCCCAAAATTATCATATAATTGTATTATTATAGAATCCCATTTTGATTTTAAAGATTTATATAACATGTCCGGACTATTTCAGTACATAATCCAGAAGGCAAATTGTCTTGGAATCGGGAAAATGGATTTGTCTTGGTCGTCGGAACACAAAGCCGATGCTACCACCGTGTTACAGGTAATACAAACTTGTATACAAAAACTTTCTTCTTATAATCAATCGTTTTAATCATAGAATTTAAACAATTATTTAGATAACAGAAATGAACATGAGTGAAGTTCTATAACAAAAATATATTTGTTTTGATTGTTATGAAAAAACGGCTATATGTCAAAGGGTTGATGTCAATTAGGGCCGGTTTAAAGATACTTTAAGATCATTTGCATATATGCTTAACAAAATATCAGATTTTGTGTATGCTTTTAAAAACAATAATATAGCATAAACGTGGCCTGTGCGATTGACCTTAAATTATTTCCTGAAATTTGAAACTTATCCCTGAATAGATAAAGAAAGATCCAAATTGGCGCAATCCTCCTTTAACTATATAATTGTTTGTTTTATTCTACAGAACTTACAAAATGAAGTAAAGAAGAATATCAACGATTTGTCTACAAATGTACATCAACTTGACAGTGTCACTGCTGCATTAAATGAAGGCAAAACAACGTTTGAACAGATATTGTGTGATTCCTGCAAGACGGCTATAGATTCTAAATACAAAGAATTGCATTCAGGACAAGACGAATCTATCAAAAAGAAGAAATATTTGAAGTTACCACCAGAACGTCAGCGGATAGTGAATGAAATCACTAAAGTTTTCATGCAATTAGAACGCTCTCAAAATGCTAGCCAAGCCGATGAGGAGTACTGCACCCCGGAAGAATATCAAGCACAACAAAAGTTGGAATTGGAAAACACGCATAAAAAGGCATTACAGGAGAAACAAGCCGAAGTGCTTGATTTAAAGAAACAGATAAAGAAACTAACGACCGAAAGAGAGGAAAATATGAAAAAAATTAAATCATTGTCAAGCAAACTTTCATCAGCTGGAAAGTTCGAAAGCGAATTACGTAGATATGAAAATGAAACCAAACGACTACGAAACGATCTAGAATCAAGCGAGCGTCGCAACGAACAGCTGAGAAAAGACATTGATAGACACGAGGATGAAACTAGGAAACAACGTCAGTTATTAAATGAAGAGAGATCAAGAAGAGACACGACAGATTTAACAGACGGCAGTATAAGGCGTTTTCATGAAGATCCGTGTATGTGTCAACTCTATTCAATGCTGTCATCTATCTATACAAAAACCATAGTTATGTGAATTTCTTTTTGAGCCTTTAATAACAATTTGGTATCAATAAGCACATCAGAGTAATGTAAAAAATATATGTTTGTGATACCTTTACTCGAATTTTGTCATTGAGGAAAAATGTGTTACACTTTCCAGTTTTACTGTCTGACTTGCTGAATCAAAATTACTGATTTGAAATAATAGAAAGAGCTATATTGGAAAAATGAAATGTTATTCAATTTTGATCATATTAATCAATAATTAATGAAAAAACAGTAATTCATGTGTAATATAATGATAATATATTACTTATGCATATCTAACTTGACACAGACACAGCAAGTACCGAGGTACATGGGTCCGAAATTGAGAACGATGGTAACACTAGATCCCGGAAACAAATACAGATGACAGATCAGCAAACTGGACAGAACAAGACGGGACTAATACGTAGATCCAGTAGTGACATGGTATCGTCCAATCCAGGCCTTGAAAAGGAAACAGATTCAGGGAACATGGCAGGGAGTGTTGGTGAGATCTATTATTGTAATCATATCCGTATTATGAATAGCACGACAACAAAGAATCAGTTATATGTTCAGTGAAGTTATGTGACGAGAAGAAATTTTAAAGTATTATATCATTTGAGATATTCATATAAATTTGGACTTTAATTTAGTGGTATAGTTGTAGGTTGCATACCGTTATCGTGTTGTTTTCATTAAAATGAAGTTTTCTAGAATAATCATATATCGTAATAAATGCATTAATGTTTTTGATTTAAAGACCCAAATTCTGAAGAAACATTAGAAAGGTTTAAAAAGATAGAAAAAGGCGCTACCATTGTACAGAAGGAAAATGATGGGTATAGGAGAGATATAGCACAACTACATAGAGAGAGGAAATCACTTCAGGACAAGACAGATAATCTACAGAGGACCAACGAGGAGATGGCATCAGTCATGAGAGATCTACAACGGGACAACGAGAAACTGATACGAGAAATGGGTAAGATAGCAGGGCAAGGTGAGAATAATGCAAGAAATGGTAAGATAACGGGACTACGAGAGAGTGATTCGAGAATCGGGTTAGATAATCACACAAAGAGGAAGGTGATGAGGTAAATGGATAAAATAATGGGAAACGAGAAAGTACGAAAATTTAACTCTGGATCTGGTCAGAAAATGAAACAATGCGAATCTAATGAAAGAAAAAGTAAGATAACGGGACAATAAGAGAGTGAAGCAGGGTGGATACGATAAAAGAAAAGCGAAAAAGTGGTGCGATACAGTAAAGGATAACGAGAGGGTGATACGAGAAAGAGATAAGATAACGGGACGACCAAAGATTGATATAGGATGAATATGATAATCGAAAATCTAGAGAGTGATGTTGGAAATGGGTATGATAGTGGGGCAACAGAAAGTGATGAGAGAAATATGGCAACTGTAAGATTGAATGAAAATGAAACACAACACAAAACTACGAAAGATAACGAAACAGTGGTGAACTCATTAATTCAACAGATTAACTCTAGGAAACAATTGATGTTTGCTGACAGAGTACGCATTTCATCATTGTCGACGGGAAATATATCGTTGATACAATGTTTATTAATCTTCCGTCATAAGACAACTATAATTCGGATCTCGTCAAAGCACGTAAAGGAGAGAGATACGACAGTGACCAAAATGATGGCTACGAAAGAGAGATAGCACGGCTAAAAAGGGAGAGAAGAACACTCCGAGAAGAGATCGACTCTCTGCGGAGGAAACATCAGGATACGTCATCCGCCATGAGGGACCTACAACGAGATCATGATGGGCTGACAGAAGAATTTGGTAAGTGACGGTTATGCTCCGTGTGTTACATACATGACATCATAATGCAGCAGTAGAACTATAATGTTTTACGCTTTAGCAGAAAAGGTTCGTTTTTCTGCAAAAATGTATTAGAGAAATTATCACAGACCATCAACTAAATCTATTTCATATCAAACACTGAATTTTTACATCATTGTTGAAGGCATTAAAGAACAAGAAACTCACGAGATGAAAAAAGCCTTGGAAGAAGGTCAAAATCCGGAACGAAGATCATTAGGTATTTATCATCATATACTTATTGTTGTCTGAATGTCTTAACATAATTGAACAATAAAACTGACTTAAACAATACACGTAGTGTTTATAACGTATTTCTATTTAACAATATGAACATTTACTTTAATGTTGCCAACAGTTATGAGATTGCGACGCGGAAATCGTACAGGAATAGACAGAACTACGGGGGATATGTTTTTGAAGGATCTAACGAGGAACCTTAAAGAAAGATTAGATTCAGACAATATCGACTTTTCCATTAGTAATACGCCATCAAGCGCACGCAATGGACCTGTGTTTGTGCTGTGTTTAAATACAGACGTTCAGGTCGCCCAAGGAGGGATCAAAGGTAATCTCCATGCAGAGAAGGAATATGCTAATTAGAAAAATGTGTATCTATTGATGTACAGAAAGAGCATTCCCATATATATATACATTGAAATTCATGTGCCAATGACATGTATCTATTGCAGATTACACAGTCGGCATACATATGTCATAGATATGTAATATAATATAAACTTTATTTATTTTACAACAATTGCGAAACAAGTTATGTCAACTTATACTAATCACTCATAGATATGTAGAAATGTGTTCGATGTTGTAATCACTAAAAGGTGAAAGTAAACTCTTTTGTTTTATACCAACGCAAATAAATTGCAAATCAACAACGCACTACAATCATATGATATCATTGCTACTTAATCGCAGTATTGCCAAGAAAAATTATCAACTATTTTGCAATGAAATCCTTTTTGCAGGTAATAAAGACACGTACATCCTTGCACTTCATCACATCGACGAGGAAAATCTGTCGCTTCTTACACCAACGGGTGACAATATACCCGGAAATGATATAGAGAAGCTTGGTGGTATTCTGGATATGGCATTCAGCTGTGACAATATACTTTACGAGTGTGACCTCAATAACAGCGCTGCTGAGAAAATAATTACCATCCTGAAACAATACTGAATTGCTTACAAGCATACGACATCCTAAATAACGGTCTGTCAACAACCACAAAACATATCCGCGATATCTTTATTACCTATTAAATATGAAATGTCTTAGACAGCCCCAAGGTATGAGTGAAATAACTTCCACATAGGGAAGTCTCGTACACATTTACTCAATTGCAATAAAAACGTATATTTACAAGGATTTACACAAGTGGCGCTACACATTTAGCTGGTTACGACACCCAGTTCAGAGCAATCAGCTGTAGCTCCTATCTTATGAGATTTCATGTCTATGAATTCTGTGTTTGACGGGTTATCGTTAATATCGACTTTGTAAGAGAGAACGTAAATTCTTCTTTATCTACGGTTATCTTAAATGCTCATGGTCGTGATTCTCTATTTTTTGGTGCTTGTCAATGCTTACATGTATGTTTGGATGTCACCGAACTTTGACGATCATTTGTATTTTGGAATTCAGTTGACCCTTGGTTATGTAACGGATATGAGTTTAATGATTTTTACCTTATGTTCGTTTATGTTGCTGTTCGTTTATGCTTGAGGAGTGTGAGGTTTTAAATATGCTAGGGTCACTCTGCTGTGATGTTATGAATAACAACATTCTTCTATGATCTGATATGAATGTTGCTTTCCTTTGTGTGTTGGTCTGATGAATGATCATGTTAGCTTTCCACTGTGCTATGTTCTATGTTTTAGAAATATTCTTGGTAACATCTAACTATCCTATGTTTTGGTTTAAGGAATGTGCTTTTTAATGTTTATCTGTTAAATGACATGTTCATCTCTGCTTCATCATATGATTTGATCTTGCCATTCTTGTGAATCTGTACTATAAATTTCAATATTAACACTGCTTATGTTACAGCCATCTATGTAACACTCTAATGCCTGGAATATTCCTGTAAACGTCATTTATTCTATATTTTGAGGTTAGAAATGTTTATGTTAACCTCATTTAGTCTATATTCCGATTTAAGAAATGTTTATGTTAACGTCACCTTTGCTATGTTCTGATATAAGAAATGTTTATGTTAACGTCATTTATTCTATGTTCTAATGTAAGAAATGTTTATGTTAACGTCGCCTTGCTATGATCTGATGTAAGAAATGTTTATGTTAACGTCGCCTTGCTATGTTCTAATGTAAGAAATGTTTATGTTAACGTCGCCTTGCTACGTTCTGATGTAAGAAATGTTTATGTTAACGTCATTTATTCTATGTTATGTTAACGTCGCCTTGCTATGTTCTGATGTAAGAAATGTTTATGTTAACGTCATTTATTCTATTTTATGATGTAAGAAATGTTTTTATCAAATAGAAGACTAAATAAATAACCAAAACAGTTGATACAGATTATGTTCATATTTAGAGGGATGTAATATTTTATATAGATGACGAATATAGGCCAATGACTTCAACTGAATCAGCATAAGAATGGAGGAAACTGCGTACAGAAAATTCCTCCAAAAATAGCTGATGTTAGCTAGTAAGTGAGGCATTAATATTAAATTCAGGAAATAATAAGCAATCTGTTGTCAGAGTGAAAAAAACTGAGCCACTGCAAGGAGTGTAGTTGAAGTCTTGACAGATAGGTTCCTGATGTCCAGGTCACTGCAAGTCTTTACAGATAGGTTCCTGATGTCCAGGTCACTGCAAAGACACAAACAAAAAAGCACAGCAGAATTTGAAATGAAAACGGGAGGGGTGGGAGGGATATTTTTACACTAAAACGCCCACTGATCTCTTTGCTGCCTAAGCTTGACCTTGCAAAATGGCGAATGCACGGCTATGACGTAATGAACATCAAGGGAGTTAACTCTACAGATACAAGGGACATAACTCTAACGACTTTAACTTAAGTTGGAATAGCTGACCGTAAAGAGTGTGTGGTCTTCATATGATAAATTAAATTATTATAATGAAATAATTTTTAATGTTAACGTCTTTTAATCTATGTTCTGATGTAAGAAATGTTTATGTTAACGTCATTTATTCTATGTTCTGATGTAAGAAATGTGTATATTAACGTCGCCTTTGCTATGCTCTGATATAAGAAATGTTTATGTTAACGTCATTTATTCTATGTTATGATGTAAGAAATGTTTATGTTAACGTCGCCTTGCTATGTTCTGATGTAAGAAATGTTTATGTTAACGTCATTTATACTATGTTATGATGTAAGAAATGTTTATGTTAACGTCATTTATTCTATGTTATGAAGTAAGAAATGTTTATGTTAACGTCTTTTTTTCTATGTTCTGATGTAAGAAATGCTTATGTTAACGTCTTTTTTCTATGTTCTGATGTAAGAAATGTTTATGTTAACGTCATTTATTCTATGTTCTGTTGTAAAAAATGTTTATGTTAACGTCGCCTTGCTATGTTCTGATGTAAGAAATGTTTATGTTAACGTCATTTATTCTATGTTATGATGTAAGAAATGTTTATGTTAACGTCATTTATTCTATGTTATGATGTAAGAAATGTTTATGTTAACGTCATTTATTCTATGTTCTGATGTAAGAAATGTTTATGTTAACGTCATTTATTCTATGTTATGATGTAAGAAATGTTTATGTTAACGTCTTTTTTTCTTTTTTTCTATGTTCTGATGTAAGAAATGTTTATGTTAACGTCATTTATTTATTCTGATGTAAGAAATGTTTATGTTGTTATGTTCTGATGTAAGAAATGTTTATGTTAACGTCATTTATTCTATGTTATGATGTAAGAAATGTTTATGTTAACGTCATTTATTCTATGTTATGATGTAAGAAATGTTTATGTTTCATTTATTCTATGTTATGATGTAAGAAATGTTTATGTTAACGTCTTTTTTTCTATGTTCTGATGTAAGAAATGCTTATGTTAACGTCTTTTTTTCTATGTTCTGATGTAAGAAATGTTTATGTTAACGTCATTTATTCTATGTTCTGATGTAAGAAATGTTTATGTTAACGTCATTTATTCTATGTTCTGATGTAAGAAATGTTTATGTTAACGTCATTTATTCTATGTTATGATGTAAGAAATGTTTATGTTAACGTCATTTATTCTATGTTATGATGTAAGAAATGTTTATGTTAACGTCATTTATTCTATGTTATGATGTAAGAAATGTTTATGTTAACGTCATTTATTCTATGTTATGATGTAAGAAATGTTTATGTTAACGTCTTTTTTTCTATGTTCTGATGTAAGAAATGTTTATGTTAACGTCTTTTTTTCTATGTTCTGATGTAAGAAATGTTTATGTTAACGTCTTTTTTTCTATGTTCTGATGTAAGAAATGTTTATGTTAACGTCATTTATTCTATGTTCTGATGTAAAAAATGTTTATGTTAACGTCACCTTGCTATGTTCTGATGTAAGAAATGTTTATGTTAACGTCGCCTTTGCATAAGGCTGTACTTATCATCTCTAGATTGAGGATGTACTTTTGTTTCAATATCTACATCACTTTACTTTGCAGTGCATCACCTTAATATTTCGTCTTTATTTTTGAAGCTTTCGTTTGATTGTGTGTATTAAAAACAATGCCAGCTGTGAATTTCATGTAATTCCGGAAACATGACATGTGATGTTACAAACACATTTATAGATATTGAAAACAAGTATTATTGATGTATGTTATTGTAGGTAGTTAGATAAACTGATCGGTGTAATAGTATTATCAGAAGATGAGAGTGTTGTTTGGATTGTAAGGTCTCACTGAAACATTACCAATACATTAAGTACATTCCGAATGATTCACATGTAGAGGTATCAAATAGTGTTTCCAGAAATAACAAATATCCATAAGTGTGTCTAATATTTAATTATTTTTCACGCGTTCGCAGCAATCATGAAAGATAGACACACGAGTGAAATATATTTGTCATTACTTGAGACAATAAAATGTCCAATGTATTACATTTCCACCACCAAACTTTAGCCTGTATAAGGCAAAAATAAAAGCAAGAAGCTGACTATGCTTTTTGTGGACACTTTTCACCAAGTACAACTTTGTTTATATTTTGCCCTAGTTTAATTGGATTTGATATTATTTTATGATTACGTTCACTTGTTGATATTTTTGTTATTTCGCAGTAAGCGACAAACGGCATTTCATCAACGTGATATTTCTATATGTTTCACTGGCAAAAGTTTAAATAAGTACGTTGTTTGTTATTTCGCAGTAAGCGACAAACGGCATTTCATCAACGTGATATTTCTATATGTTTCACTGGCAAAAGTTTAAATAAGTACGTTGTTTGTTATTTCGCAGTAAGCGACAAACGGCATTTCATCAACGTGATATTTCTATATGTTTCATGGCAAAAGTTTACGTTGTTTGTTATTTCGCAGTAAGCGACAAACGGCATTTCATCAACGTGATAATATGTTTTGGCAAAAGTTTAAATAAGTACGTTGTTTGTTATTTCGCAGTAAGCGACAAACGGCATTTCATCAACGTGATATTTCTATATGTTTCACTGGCAAAAGTTTAAATAAGTACGTTGTCTACAATTGATATATATATATATATAACATAAATGTTTTCATTTATCTTTTAAATAATATCCGTCCTTATTGATGTATCCGCGTGACCGAAATAAATGTTTTTGAGAGGTTTGATATATTGTTTGTTATCAGGGTCTGTCCGAAACATCTTAGGTTAGAACACGAAGAATATCAAAAAGGAAAGTGAGATCTTAATAAAACAGCATTTCTATTATAAAAGAGTATGAATATGGACAAATGTAGAAGCTAAAAAATCACACAACTCCACACATGGTACATAGTATTTGATATCGAGTCTACGTTTTTATTACAATATCAATTCTGTATTTACAGTCTGAATTCACCGAAGATTTTATCACCTAACAAACGTACCCTTTATTTACAACACAAATTATTTGTTAAATCATTTTTAGAACTTTCTGTTTATATAAGCAACAGTCAAACTGAAAAAGCTTGATCAACTAAAGCAAGCAATGAAGAATTAAGATTCGGTTTATTACACGGCATTACTAGTGTGGTACAAAGCTGGGATTGTGACAGCATTGACAAGCCCATGAGAGTGAGATGCAGTGGTAACGCACTCGCCTTTTCCCTCCACGTCAGGGGTTCGACTCCCCAAACAGGCACCAGCCCAACAAAGTGTTTTTTCCTCACATAGAGATTAAGAATTCATTAGAGAGCAACATACCCGCAATCTCTAATTGCTCTAAACCGGCGATGAAACTATGGACTACTATTTGTTGACTACTGTAGATGCTAAAAGTAAAATCTATAACAAAAACGAACGCAACTGTTCCGATCAAAAAAAGAAAATACGTATTGAAGATGTTCGTTTGGCACTGTTGCTCCAGGTAGCACAGGAACGAGGCTTCGACCCTTGTACAAAAATGTAAATCATTTGTAACGAATCCAATTGATCCAGGCCAACACGAGTGAACAAAGTCGATATCATTTGTTTCCCAATTATTGTAAGATAAATGCTATTGGATTTTTCCACACATGTCCAAAGAGAAGTGAGATTATGATGTATTATACTTTTCATGGAATATAATGAAAAGAGAAGCCCCATATACACATATAATGTTGCACTATTACAATTGTAAATATCACTATGGATTTCCCAATGTGTCTATTTTTAGCGTCAGGTTAGACCAATATATCTATTTTTAGCGCCTGGCAAGTTGCCTGCTTAATCACGAGAACACGTCAGTCTTCACGGAAAAGAAAACGAAAGTAGGGTTTTCCGTGGGCATGAACGATATTTAGTCACAGAGGACGTGTTTCAAGACGTCAGGTATGTTTAATGAGTTTAATTTTATAAATGATCTGCAATTTAATTATGCTTGAAAGTATCAGCATCGGTAAAGCTTTCCTCCTCATATCATGCACAAACGGGTGAGCGTTGACGTACGTAACTAGTCCTGTTTGGTAGCCTTCGACACACATAAAATTTGAACATCGGCGTCTATCGTTATATATGTACGTATCTCATTCCAAATTATCTCCGAATATCAACAAACCGAAAATAATTCATGGAGGAATATCCGGTTTCTGAGCAGAAACGAAAATAAAACGGTCTACGATAGCGGAAACGAGGGAAGATCTGCCCTGCCATTCCCAGAGGTAACTTTTGAATTATTTAGCTAATCTCTAACTTGATAAAAATTCCATATTAAGCTGTGTGAATGTTTGGGCAGGTCTGAAGTAAAATAGATTCTATATAGTTTCATATTTATGAATAAATAATAAACAAGCGGAAAACGAAAGCAAACAAAAATAGTCAGTCTATACATAATAAATATATCTGGTATCTGCTTTATGACGGGCAATCTAATCCCAATTTACTTTCATTTGACATTGAATATTGCTATGAGAGTCTTATTTGCTAATATTCATTTGAGGTATACTAGTGACACTGCTTTATAATTGAAAATCAACGCTAGTGCATACTTTAATAAACAGTATGTTAAGATTTCGAGCTAGCATAAACTCCATTAATACAGTTTTTACATGGTACATGAAGTATGTTTTTGGCAGCCAAATGCACAACGATTTCTTAATTTTAAAACAGCAATATACATGAGTTTTCGGAATTTCACAAAACCATTCATGTGATTTCCGTTCTGAATCACCTATGAATGTTTGCACTTTTTTGGTGCGTAAAATATTTGATCTATCTTTAAAAATCCTCACGTTTTGACCTTGATCTTCTTACGAAATATAGAAAACAACCCGCATCGTTTATCACGCACTGCTACATTATGTTTTAATAGATGTAAAAAATCATGTACATACAATATAACTATTAAGCTAGGTACATTAACTAGAGTTACACATTACCGGGTTAGTATGAAGGTTTCTAGGTGCAAGGTACATCCATAATTCGTTATCATTGAGATAACCTGTTATTAATCGGTTATAAAGCATTTCATGATAGCTCTATATAATTTTTAAAAGAATGATAGCGAAGTGGAAAGGACGATTTTTGTTTACTTAAAACAAAGTGAAATAGGTTATATGATTTTAATCAACATAGTATTGCAATTTTTCAAACTCCATATTTCTTAATATAGGTTTTCAGAGAAAATAAAAAAAAAAAATACTCATTGCTGCCTAGAGTTTATGTTGCTGAAGACAATTTCTAGTTATCATTTAGATGATTTAGATCGATCCAAAATATTTTACAGTTTTGCTATATAATAATAAGCTGTATATATCCATAATTCAGGTATTTGTAATTGTAAGGAGAAGGAGAGATAACACAAGAAAAACAAATGCTCTATGATATATGGTCATGAAATGTATCAAGCGTAGCCATTGTTGATTGTCTTTCAGTGTGTGCAATATACATGATGGATTTGTCGTGGTCACGCAGTGAGAAGGCAGATGCGCCAGCATTAGTGCGGGTAAGGCGAATTGAGTTATGACTTATTTCGAAACAATGTTATAAGATTTATAATAATAAGTTTTTTTTACCGATAGGATTTATCATTTCCTAGTAAATCTTTTACCTGTGAATCATCAGTCACAAACTACAGATAAAAGGAACTATAAGATACCCATTCATTGTACATCTTTTTCACGCATATTAGACATTGATATATATTAAAACAAAATGCTTTGTTTTCAGAATCTACAAAGTGAGCTTAATAAATATATCAGGTTGATGAAAGCAGATGTCGGTAAACTCGAAAATGTAAATTTTGCGATAAACGAAGGCACCAGAACGCTTCGAGGTATTTTATGCAAACAATGTTGGAAAGCCGTGAATTCAAAGCACAGTGAGCTACATTCCAATTCCGAATCATCAAACAAGAGAAAGAAAGTAAAAAAGTTGTCACCGGAACACCAGCAGCTTGTTGATGATTTAACTGACAAGTTCTTTAAGCTAGAACGTCATCAAGAGGAAGTCAGTGACGACGAGGATTATTGTACACTACAGGAATACCATGCCCAACAAATGTTGGAACTTGAAAAAAATTATTATAAGGAGTTGAAAGATCTACAGAACGAAATGATTGAAATGCAAGATGGATATGAAAAGAAGATACAGGATAAAGACAACAGAATTCAGAATTTACAGAAACAGCTTGAAAGCGAGATGCGTGGATATAAAAACGAACGCGTTCACCTTGAGTCCGATCTAAATACATCGAAGCGCACCATTGATAGTTTGAAGAGAGATTTAAAAAGGATGCAGGAACAACCAGGAAGCAATAATTCATCCTCATTTTTTCAAAGATCTTTTTCAAACAATAAAGATGCTGAAATCAAAAGATTAAAAGAAGATTTGTGTACGTACGTTTTTAGATGTATCAATATCGTATTGTTTCCATTGTATCTATCTATTAAAGCAGAAGATTAAAATTTAGTGCGATTTAGAAGAGTATTAGATATTCAAGTAACATTGACTTCGTAAAGTTATTTCCGCAACTGTTTTATGAGTTCCTTATTTCGTAGATTTCAGTGAGACAACTTTTATCCAATTCCATTTTTAGACAACATGATCGATACTGCTTTTGTTCTAAATGATTGTATTATTGTCTTACATTTCAGGTTCAAAGGAAACAGCAAATAAACAGCTTCAGTCCCGAATCGATGAATTGTTACGAAAAGAAGGAAATTTAAAAGAGAGGACGGATGATCAGGAAAAAGAATTATGTTCTTTAAAAGAATCACTGAGTGAGTAAACACTGTCTTGTTCGCTCGGTCCTGATGAGTCGAATATATATCTTGGTACATCTTTTAGCCATACAGCTCTTGTATGTCTTTCTTAAAGTTTATTAAAATTGTGTTGGAAATATATGTCTGCTCATACCCTGCAAAATGATGTTTTTTGTCGAGGTAATATACGTATTTATCTATCTATTTTTAAATCATTCTTTCGTCGACAATTAATTTCATGGGTAATCACAGCTCAATAAATGCACTTTGACTTATTGTAATATTTCATAGACATATGAATTTATGGATGTTGATGATTTTACAGACGGTTATTAATTATATAATCCTTAACGTATATATGATTAAGGTTTGAAAGACGCTGAGCTGCAATCGACGAAGTCGAAACTCAAAGAACTGGAGAAAGCAAAGAAAAAAGAATTAGGTACATATTTGATTTAGCATTATTGTTGATCTGTCTTCCTTTGAAATATTCATAACTTCTTTGCTCATTTGTTATTAGAAACCGTCTTGCCTTTTACAAATACTTCATATTAGTTTCTTTCAGTATTATTAAGTGCGTTCCTCTATTCAAAACACCATATATCTTTGGCACATTTTCATCTACCACATAAGCTTCACTAGCATGTATTCCAGTAAGACTTCTTATTTTTCAGCTCTTGATTTTCTGGTGCCTCTTCTTTTTTTAATACAACCGAAAATTGGCACCGTTCAAAATATGCACGTGTTTCTGACATAAATCTAAGATTAAAATATGAAAAAATAGGGAATTTATTGGGGCTAGTGTACCTACCTTTCTAGAATTTGATATTTCTGTTTCGATAACAACAATTATATCAATTGTATTAAAATCTGTCGTTCGTTTGTGTGTCTTTTTAAAAAGCTTCTTTGGTATTCAGCATTTCACCATACCTTTATTTCAGTAATGGGATTGTGTAAAGAACGAAGCGGAATAGGAAAAACTATGGTAGACATGGTAACAAGGGAGTTGAAGAGAAGCGTCGGCGGACTGCTTGATAGAGACAATATTGATCTCTCTATAAAACCGTGCAAAGGACCTACCGATAACCCTAACGGACCGCTTTTCGTTTTGTGTCTTCACATGTCCAGAATAGGTACAAACATACAAGATGCTATGGAGGGAATTCAGGGTACGTTTGTTACTACCATAGAACAGTAATTCAACGTTTTATTTAACGTATTGTTCTGGATTGTTAGTGCTGTACTTTGATTTATTTCTTCTTCTAAGTGCAGTTCATCTGTCTTTCAAAATCACATTGTTAAGGCGGCAATAAATAATACGTTTCATGAATAGTAGCGGATATCTGGGTATCCTCATATGTAATTGCTCAATTGCGAATTTAACGTCCCTGTCAAGACATGCATCTGTTTCGTATTTATCTGCAAATTGTCATTACTTTTGTATTCCACAGCTGCCAAAGGTGTTTTTGTCCTTGTGCTACATCACACAAGTAAAGACAATCTCTCTTCATTGACTCCAACAAGTCTCCGAGTAAGCGGAAGTGAGTACCGACAAATGGGCGGGATTATTGACATGGCGTTCAGTAGTGACGGTGGATTGTATGAGTGTGAGCTCAATGACAACGCTGTTGAAAAGATCGCGTCCATTATGAAGAAGTACTAGACGCGAAGGAACATTAACTGTTTGATGAATATTTATGTTATAATCTGTCATGTACAGCATTTAGACAGGTATAGGTCAATCGAAAATTGGAACCATAGCCAGTAATTTGATGACCATCAGATAAAATATCAACATAAAAGCAAAACTTAGTCGACCTACAAACTTAAAATTTATCCACTTTACGATATTAGAATGACAGATTCATTTTCATATGACTGTATAGATTTACAAATAATTCATAATCATCTTCCAACACAAAAATATATAGTGTATATATGATAAGTAGCGGAGGGTATTTGCGTTTTAAAGTTTTCAAAATTCCTTTGAGTAGAAAAAACGGAAGTGGTGTTCGTATAATCATAGCTACATCCATATAACATCATCGACACCTTTAAAGCTCATGTAATATGAACAAACAATATGCCCAATCAGAAAAAGCATTAACGTTATTTTCCTGATACAGTTATCGAGCCATGCGCTAAAGGGATATTCCACCAATGTTGCAAAGATGTTTTGTTGCACCTTTCGATTATTCAGTTATTGTAAGCGTTAAAATATCCTTCATGTAGTCACGTCGAAACGGCAGAAATGGTGGAAACACCCTTGACTAGTTATAAATTAGAATGTGCAAATATAGCGGTTTGTCATGTGATCATTTTAGAAGCGAGGCTGCAAAAACAAAACTGTAATGTCGGATGATTAGTTGTCCAACAATATAAGCGCTGCATCTTTGTTCCTTTTGCACTTGCTGTTTTCTTCCATTAACTGCAGCCATCTCTCGTACTGTTCCCCAATTATGGTGGGTAGGTTTTGTCTCACCCATTCCGACTTTGTCCTCATTTTCTCTGACGATAAAAAAAGAAAGTTTTCTTTAGTCATAAACGTGTCTCCGTGGTAGTCACCATTTTCGTGTATAAGTGTATTACGCAGCCGCAAACCTGTTGCGATGTCATCAGGGCAGCGTGAACATTTATAAACAGATCTAAAAGGAATCTGCGCAAATAAATAGCGAAAGTTGATAGTATTGGTGAAGTCGAGTCGTGTGATTTCCATATAAGTAGAATATAAGTAGATGGTTTTTGTAAAATTTTCTCAAAGCATTTTATGAAATCCTACCTTGGTCGGAATATCCCTTTAGATATTAAGACAAAGAAGACATTTTGATGGAAATAATATTTATCTTGGCTTTATTTTCAAGTTTCCAGTTATTTATTCGAGTTGATTCAGCAGATGTCTTTTTGACATTATTACCTGTATGGATAATTGTCCAATTGCAATTATATTGCCATCATTGTATTGTATTGTTATCACTTACCAAACTGCATTATCTTGATTTGATCGCTGTTTTTAGCAAAAATAGCCGATTGCATTGTAATTTTTATAAAATGCCCCTTGCTTGTCATTGTTTAAAGTTTCTTGGCAATACAAAAGGAACAATTAGTGAGGTTATACCCGACAGAGTTATCTTCAAGAACTAGTAAAACATATCTATTAACTTTTGTAGAGTGAGGTTTAAGTGATAACGTTTCATTTGACCGATTGAACATTTTCACTAGTGTCAACATATCGTGTTGAAATTTCAGGTACAGAATGGCAAAAACGCTATATATGTTTTGGTTTTGTACAATATGCGATGTACGCTTGAAGTGCACTCAGTGGGGAAGAAGAAACTTGGTCGATTAAGGCAATCGCATTATGGACGAGCCATATGAGAGCAATCCGATCGGAATTGATCCCAGAATATGTGTGAAATGTAATTTCCTTTTCTTAAAGCATAACCATGTATTATTGTGTTCTGCCTAATGAAGCCAGATTTTCATATATCAGATTCATGTACTAGGTATACAATCAAAAGTATATACACGTTTGTTTAGCTTCAGTGTCCTCTTATCGGTATGATTGTAAACGTTTCATCAACTTGTCTTTAAACACGAAGGCCACAAACATCATGGATAATCCTACAGGAATCTTCATTTTTTAATATTTTTCCATTAATGCTGACGCAATGTAACCACATAAATGAGCACTGCATGAAATATTCATTGCTTTGGTCACAATGCCTTCGTTGGAAATTTTAAAGCTTCAGAAATCCAGACAGCCTATATTAAAATGGTGTTTAAAGTAAAATCGTTGTTCTTGTTAGGAGATCAGATATTAGTTATCAATGTACGATTGCCGACGAGTTATTTCTATTATTAGAATATCGCGCACCAGATTAAAAAAGACTTTCGTTAATATGTGACTGGATTTGGAGAGTAAAATACATGTTACTGAAAAAGAGATCCTTATAAAGAAAGAATATCCCATCGCAGTGAGACGAAAAAGATGAAGTGATCAATGCCAAACTAAACTAAAATATGATAGAATATATTGCACTTCTATTTCATTTTAACAATTTAGACACAGCAGCAGCAACTAGTAGGAGTTTGATATTTGCCCCCAAGTTTGTTTCAATGGAGTTGTCCGAAAGAAACCGCCTAAATTGTCTTTATTTCAGTATCTCAGTATACTGTATGTACTTAAGAAGGACGTGTTGCATACCGTCCAAAGTTCAATTTGATTTTTTTTACTCTACATGTGACGCGTCTTTAATGTAAACTGCAGACAGGCACTTGTGTGTCTTTCATTGAAAACTAAACGGATTTATGCTGTCTGTTAATAATTTTTCTCTTTTCAAAAAAAATGCTGAGGGATTAAATGAGCTGACGTAGATGATCACATGACTTCACATGTGAGTGTATAAAAATCCTTATATTAATTAAAAATCCTTTCCAAATATGAGAGGGGATATGTGAGCGATCAAAATTAGCAGTACTTGTAATGACGTAAAAATCGACCCGAAACTCGGTCCGACATCAATACCACTTTTTATTGATAATGAATAAAATCTTTTAAATCGAAGAAACTAACGACGACAACGGCGACTAATACTTATAGTATATCATGTATAGTACACTTTTCGACTGATAGGAACTACTTGACCAATCTGCTATAAGTATTTGTCTTAATTCACTTCTGATAGATAATTAGTTCCGAACTTGATACATGTTCAGTGAAATGCAGTTAATTCTAAGTCTTTCAATTTTGCGATAAAGGGTGACAAGACAAACCCTGACAATGTTTTCTAATAGGTATGTGGTGTTAGACATTCTCTCTAACGTCATTGTGTTGGCGATTCATTCATGTACTCTAACGCGTTATAGATTATGAATATTTTCACAGTAGCTATGGACCACTTAAAAATAATTATAATAATTCAATACATTGTTGTAATGAATCATTTCCCGCAGGTGACAAGTACATTATGAGAATAGTTTTTCGTATGACAAAACCGGTTGATAAAAGGTGTTTTAGGTTCCAATGCCTACACAAATGAATCATATGTGTACTGAGAGCTAATTTGTAGTGATGGAGATCAAATGTGTAGGATTTTTTGGCAACACTAATGCAATAAGGCAAATAACGATGTAGGCGACGGCGAAAAAGTGATTGTGAATGTCGAGATATGTAACGTGTGTATATTGAAAGACTTCGTTCTAACGCGTTTCAAGATACCTTACTTGACCTAAGGCTAGAAAAATGTTTCCCCTCTGTGGAATCCTAACAATAACGAAAAATAACATTCTTTAACTTCCAGATGACAATGTATTATTACGGCCCTTGTTCTGGTTATACTAAAATATTTTGTCTATACAACATAGATTATTTCATCTCTGTTATCATACTAGCAAAAAACAGTTTACTCTCCCATAAGTTTCTTTTACGTACAGACTCTCATGGAATGGAATGTTGCCTTTTGGAAATCTTCCGATCTATCATTGAGCAAAGGTGAAAATTGAGTTCCGAACGATGTTCCTTGTAAAGGCAGTAAAATGTTTTTTATTCGCAACCTTTTGTTTTCCATTTTGAATTATAATCTATCAAAATCATCAAGGTGATAACATTATAGGTTATAGGCGTTACCTTCGCATTTATCTTTTATCAAAGGTGTCTTCAGCTGTTTGTTATACATTTCGCTCCATTAAAATGATTTACAATGGAAAAACATCATCGTCAGCTTATTTTCATCTTATTTGCAACACCTGGCTTGTATTTGAGTGTTATTATCGACTTATTTTATGATCAGACCTTTGATAAGCATGCTTGATTATTGTGATTAATAAAATATTGCTAGAAATGAAGCTTGAATTGTCTTGCATTAAGATTTGTAATAGAACTGAAAGCAAAAAACCATCTATTGTACACATAATCTTTGTAATTCACATTTCTTAGTAACATACATGTCGAATATTTGTTTAAAGTGATAAGCAACGGATTCAAATACACATATTATAAAGCAAACTACTGTATGGTACGTTTGTGAATGAATGTATTTACTTTTTTGATAGATGCCTTAAATATTTTTTAAATGTTTAAAAAACGAATGGATAATTGCTTAGTATCATTAATGAGAAACTAACGAATTTCACATGTGAATAATTGTTCAGTCGAGAACGAAAATGACTATTTATACAGTAGAAAAAAAATTGCTTATTCTCTGCAGGAATGAGGTAATAAAAAGTGATAATTTAAATAGTCAGCAGACAAAACTCAATAACTGATACAATGATACTGAAATTCGGTAAACTCTACTTAAGATACTTTAACATTTAATATGATATACAAGTGTTATGTATCAAACTTTCATAAACCAAAATCATGTTTAATTCTCAAAACAGGAAACAGGTCCACTCAGATATAAAATCAGATGCGCAACTATCTTTAAATGGAAGATTTCTTTTCATTTTAGAAAGACATGTTTTGTTCAATACATGTGAAATGCAATTACAATTTATTTGAATAAGTTTTAGTTTCTTGTTAATCTTCTTGCGCATGTTGACTTCTTATAAATGTCCCGTTACGGTACCTCGTAAGGAGACAAGAGGTCTTACGGAATGGATGACATGTGAGATTGCCCTTCTCGCGAGCTTCAAAATGTCTACCTGTTATAATGTTATTGAGATTGAAAATTGGTCGCCTTAGAATCTTTAGCTCGTGATTTGAGGATTTCGTATTCGATGAACCAGGTATTTTTACTTTTTTTCCCCTTCAACGATATAGGATTTGTTAAAGTATGTTATATCCTGACAGCCAATGTACATCTATATATGTGTCCTCTATTCAAAATAGATTGATGAGGATTTCAGAAATGACTTTCTCATTCTAGCAACTTTTAATGGGCACTTTTAATTTTCATGTAGACCTGGCACATACGGAACGAGGGGACGGAGAACACGCGAGATATCACAAAAATATCTTTATATATAGATTATTGATTCATCAGGTATCACACTACTTATACACATTTATGTACACAAAATTGAAGTAAAAATAATCTCTTTCACAAAAAGTCACGGCAGGCTCACAGCAAATCTATCATGGAAATGTAACATTTTGAACACATGGGTCTGAGAACATGTTAAAAGTGTAACTAAATATTTCTCGACGGGTTCATACTAAATTAATACCATTTTACCTATTGTTGACCTAGCCTCCTCGTATAAATAATTGCAAATTATGGGAGATAAATCTTAATTAAACTGTATTTCGTTTTGAGGTCTCTTTGTTCAACGTGAATGTTCACTGGTGTCAAGGTATTTTATTAGTTGATCTGTTGAAGAGTGTCCTATCGAAAAGTATCATAGTCACTATTGAAATAATAACTATATTATATTATATAACATAATCATAACTTTAATGAGTAAGAATCGAGGCGTTACAGTACCCAGGTTACCAACTCGCGCGCGCCGCGCGCGCGCGCGCGCGCGCGCGCGCGCGCGCGCGCGCGCGCGCGCGCGCGCGCGCGCGCGCGCGCGCGCGCGCGCGCGCGCGCGCGCGCGCGCGCGCGCGCGCGCGCGCGCGCGCGCGCGCGCGCGCGCGCGCGCGCGCGCGCGCGCGCGCGCGCGCGCGCGCGCGCGCGCGCGCGCGCGCGCGCGCGCATTATTGCATTCGCCTGTGCTCATTGTGATACTTTAAACGTTCGGTTTTCAAACATTCTTATGAGTATATTTGTAACAAAACGCTATTGTATACTTTAAAAGAAACAAAATTTGCTGAATATGTTCGGCGGCATCACTTCATTTAAAATACATCCTGTAAACCAAACATTCCATGCTCCAAATGGTGACAACTTGTATTGATTATTTTCTTACTTGGATTTGTATTGGATGCTTAGTATCCTAATCTTTAATCGCTGGGACGGAGTCTTATAGATTTATGCTTTCTGGGATAATTCACACAAATATCTGTTTTAGTCAAACAGGCGGTTTGGAAACAGATACAACGATGGCTGGTATAGGCTCTTCCAACGGTGACAAATTCGACGAGATAACGGTGAAGGTTTGTTTTAAAAAAGATATCCATTATTATATTGATGACTAGTTGATCTACAAATAATGTCATTGTTTTAAACTAAATGCTGTTGGTGATAAACAAAATGCAGAAATGATTTTACCCATATTACTTATGTACCCTCTTCTACTGCTGTCAGGTTTTATAACGTTTCAGCATTGCAAATACGATGAAAATAATTCGCATATGTTTGTGCAATTGCCAAGGTAAAATATGATTTTTTTTGTCTTAAAATTATTTTAGGCCATACGAAACGAAATGACCAAATATATACGACATCTTGAAGCAACCGTCGGAAAGCTGAAACGACTACCTAATCTCGAGGATAAGTACAATGAATTAAAAAACGAGATATGGCATATGGTGTGCAAACAATGCAGATCGAAAACGCTTTATTTATCAAGTGAAAAATTGAATAAGATTGGAACGGCAATATCACATCCGCTAAATGAAACAGATACAGACAGAGTTGATGAGCTCAACCATGAAATAAAGATATTAAGGGAGAGAATAAAGAAGAAAGACGAGAAAATTGAAGAAATGGAGGAAGAAAAGAAAGCCACTTACAAAACTTGCAAAAGGGATTACACTAAAGCCACAAAAAAGAAATACGACAACGGTAATTTTACTAGAGAGAATGTTTCCAACACCACCACCACCACCACCACCACCACCAAATATACAAACCACCACCACCACCACCTTCCACCATGTCTTTGAGTTTATCATATCTGTTTCATCCTATTGAGAATCAATGTTTTCGTTTAAGCTACAGTTTTCCCCATCTCGAATGTGGATTCTAAGGTCACCGTAGTCATAGAAAGTCATTATCCAATTAGCAGTTTCACCGATCAAATGTTTTACAAAATGAATTACAACGTTATTGAAATAGCTAAATTCGGTTTCTGACAAATAGCCAACCATTGATGTATGTTTTAAAACGAAGGGGAGCGAGAACATTCTTGTCTTACATACATTTTCATATATTTACATACATTAAGAAGTCTGTACAAAAGACACACAAGAAAACAGCGCATTTCAATACAAATTAAGAACAAGATATAGCATAGCCAAATAATGAGTTAAATTGCTTCATACATCTGTGAACTCCTCCAGGCTTCGGTAGTGATGCCAAAGGCCCACGTTTTTTTAATCTTAGGAGGTCACAAGGATCATTCAAAACTGATTGACAGAAATAACACAATTTAGATCGGTAGTGCACCTGCCCGATAATTAAACAAATTTCGTAATTTTCATATCTCTGATAATTTAAAACCAACTTCAACACTTATCTCTGATTTCTAGAGGAGACGCAGGATGAATTTCAAGTTCAAGAGGATAGGAAGGAAGCCCTCAACGAATTTAATGAGGAAAATGAGGAGCATAGCAGCAATATATCTGAAATGTCCCAACTTCAAACGGAGAAACAGGCATCACAGAACGAGAAAGACTCCCTCAACAGGACCAACGAGGAGATGGCATCCATAGAGGAAGGCCTACAGCGCGAAATTGACAATCTTACACGACAACTCGGTAAGACTTGTTTTTGTTGATTGTGGAACCGATATTGTTGACCAATGCTTTTTATCATACGTTTATATGATTGTAATGTCCGCAACAAAGGAGACAATATTCTTTTAATAATTGTCACTTTATATTCTAGTACTCGTTTTATAATTATAAAAATATCTCCTACGCAAAAGAGGAAATAATACAGTTTCATATGCTGGAAAAAGGGAAGAATCTGTCAGTATTGTATAAGCTCTCTAGAAAAGGCTAAAAATATAACAGTCTCGGGTTAAATTTCTCACCAGGAACAAAGAGGAGATTTCCTTCTCCATGGTGGGTCTACAGAGAAACATAGGTACAGTAATTAGCGAGTGTAATTACACACTTGTGTACTTCCCTTAGTGAGCTGTAATACAGGTTTGTTTTGAAAATTAATTTTACTGGTAGATTTGATCTTTAGTTAAGTGTTGATCTTAAAACATTCGGGAGATATAGGTTGTTCTTAACTGGTATATAACATTCACGCTTTTCTTACATGTCACAAGATGACACCAAGGCTGAGCTAAATACCATTAAAAAGAAAAACGAAGAATATGTTAGAGACATATCACAACTACAGACGGAGAGACAGACATTACAGGACCAGACAAACTCCCTCAGAACGACCAACGAGGAAAATTCATCCGTAATGCGGGATTTGCGGTTGGACATTGAAAGATTGACAACACAATTCGGTAATACTCATTTATTATGTATTGTTCTGGAGTGAGATGTGTAATGCTGTATGTTTTTAAGGTGAAAATGCATTTTATCCGTTTAAGTGATGAAGGTTTCAGAATTGTTCTTGAAAGAAAAAAGTTCTCCGGGTATATCACCTTTCTTAATTTGGTTTATGTCAAAAGATCAAGCACAGACTGAGCTGGCTAACGTTAAAAACGAAAATGAGGATAAGTTATCTACTATGGAGGGTCTACAGCTGGACCTAGTGAAGCTGACGAGAAAACTCGGTAAGGTTTTTCTTCATGGTCAAGTTGGTCTTTTATACCGATCAATATTTTTTGTTACTTATTTATAACATATTTTATGTGGCATGAGCCGAAGAGTTAATTAAGGAGACATCAAGCCGTGAATACTTTCTCTTGATATCCGTGGACTCGTTCCATGATGCGTAAAGGTATTTTTAATGCAACAGATGAAAATGATGCTGTTTCATGAGCTGTAAAATTAAAGAAAGAAATCTCAGTATTATAAGATCTGATGACGAGGATATTGATACAAAAGATCTTAAAATTTCCCCATCAGAACAAAAAGGAGATGTACTTTTCAATGGAGTCTCTACAGCGAAACTTTATCACAATACTTAGAGAATTAAATTACACAGTTGTATTCTTAACATAGTGAGTTGTAAGGTATATTTTTGTTTTAAAAATTACTTTAACTGGTAGATTTGATCCTTGGTTGGGTATTGGTCTTAAAACAGTTATTCGGGAGCTATTGGTTGTTATAGGTTGGTATATAACATTCTGGGTTTACTTACATGTCTCAAGATGAAACCCAGGCTGAACTAACTACTATTAAAAAGAAAAACGATGAATATGTTAGAGACATATCACAACTACAGACGGAGAAACAGACATTACAGGACCAGACAAACTCCCTCAGAACGACCAACGAGGAGAACTCATCCGTAATGCGGGATTTGCAGTTGGACATTGAAAGATTGACAACTCAATTCGGTAATACTCATTTATTATGTATTGTTCTGGAGTGAGATGTGTAATGCTGTATGTTTTTAAGGTGAAAATGCATTTTATCCGTTTAAGTGATGAAGGTTTCAGAATTGTTCTTGAAAGAAAAAAGTTCTCCGGGTATATCACCTTTCTTAATTTGGTTTATGTCAATAGATCAAGCACAGACTGAGCTGGCTAACGTTAAAAACGAAAATGAGGATAAGTTATCTACTATGGAGGGTCTACAGCTGGACCTAGTGAAGCTGACGAGAAAACTCGGTAAGGTTTTTCTTCATGGTCAAGTTGGTCTTTTATACCGATCAATACTTTTTGTTACTTATTTATAACATATTTTATGTGGCATGAGCGAAGAGAAGAGTTAATTAAGGAGACATCAAGCCGTTAGTACTTTCTCTTGATATGAAGACGAGGGTAATTATTTAAAAGGATCAGACCAACTTCCTCACCAGGACCAAACAGGGACGTCCTTCACCATGGAGAGTGAAACAGTCACAGTAATTAGAGAACTAAGTGATACAATTGTGTTCTTAACGTAGTGAGCTGTAATGTTCAAGCATGTTTTAAAATGTATATCTAATTTTTGGAATTGATAAAGGGTTTGGTATTGATCTTAAAACAGTTATTCGGGTGTCCTTCATCTCAGTATATGACCTTCATAATTATTTTACATGTCAAAAGATGAAAACGAGGCTGAACTATCTACCGTTATAAAGGATAGCGAGGAGAAGTCAACCACCATTGATGGTCTACACCGTGACATGGAGAGGTTAAGAGGAGAACTAGGTGAGATTTTTGTTAGAAATTTGAATGACTGGATTAACAAAGTCATCTTGACAAGTTGTACATTAAAGAAAGAAGGGTACTGTTTACTTATTATTACTGGCGGCAGCCGCTACCCTCCATTTATATATATTTTAAAGTTCTGATAACTTAAAGCGAGAAAATTAACAGCGAAAACAACCCAGTTCCAAAGTAAGAAAGTAAGAAATAGAGAAAATGAATACCTGCAGTGTCAGCGTCTTCAGCTTCACAGACAACACCCATCATATAAATCTTGGTCAATCCAAGTAAGTAATGTAACGATATCAAATTAGAAAAAATAGTATACAATACCAGAACAAACAAATAGGAATGCGTCGGAAAATGATTGCTGGACAGGTAAGGATTTGATTTTTGTGATGTAAATGTCTTTTGAGTTCTAGTTTTGATTACATCACTCAACCTACCTGATAAGAAAACTACAAAACTGAAGCTGTAGGTTGACATTTCGTCAATGTTAAGATTATTTGTAGATAACACTCGTTATCAATTGTTCATAGATGCAATGCAGACAACGCTAGCTGCCGTTCAAATGAAAAACATGGAATATGGAAGTGACATATCAGAACTAGAGACGGAGAAACAAACATTACAGGGTCAGATAAACTCCCTCAATAAGACTAAGGAGGAAATGTCATTTACTATGGATGGTCTTCATAAGGACATCGAAAGGTTGAAAGGGAACTTAGGTGAGGACTGTGTCGAACTTAATATGCATGTATAAGAATTTTTTTTCAAGTTTTTCTCCATAATCACATACAACTATACAATCTCACCTCACAATAATCCAAATTTGTATACACACATACATTTCAGTAGCATATTGCACTGTACAACTTACACCTAATGATATAAATTTGTATACACACACATTTTTAATAGTATACTGTAATATACAACTTACACACCATGGTATAAATCTGTATACACACATACTTTTGAATAGCATACTATCCAACTTACACCAATGATATACTTTGTATATGTACTATCCAACTTACACATAATGATATAAATTTGTATGTACATGTGTTTATGATATTACTTTGTATATACAGGTACTTTAGAGGTACACATATAAAGTATATTGTATCTTACATCTTACACATAATGATATAAATTTGATATATAATTATATATTGTACATGTGTTTAGATAGTATAGCGACACTGTATATTTTCATAAAAACATGTGTTCACATATATCTGTATGTCAAGTTGATCAGCACACAATTTAAAGTATAGTTGATATAACTTTTATTTTAATCAGCAGAAAAAAAACGTTCTTTTATCTTGACTTACTACAAACAGAAAAAAACTGAAAATTAACGTTTTTATTTTTTTAAATATCCATTTGTCTAATTTGTAGAAACAACGAAAATTGAACCCAACGAAAATAAATGAATCCACAGTAGTTGTATAATTTTTATTTTAATCAGCAGATTATCTTGTTTTTAAATATCCATGTATTTTTTCTTGTTTTTTATATGTATTTTCATATAACACCATATCTTCTATTTTATCATAATAGTTAATGTATTTTTCCCTTCAGAAATTGTAGGTACTGTATTTTTCAACTTACAATAGTAAATACAGTATCTCATGAGAATTAGTAATACATGTATAAGTTACTGATTGTCATTCCAATGTTGATATGTTATATATTGACTGGTGAAGGGGTCGCGGTGGCCTAGTTGTTAAGGCGCTTGGCCGTCTTTATCACTAGCCTTCCGGGTCGCGAGTTCATGATCTACGATTGGCACTCGCCAGGTACTTGTCGCATGTTATCGGGTGTTTCCCTGGAGAACTTAGGCTTTCCTCTACCACCCAATCTTGACAAGTCCTTAAATGACCCTCTCCGTTGATAGGACGTAAAGTAGCAATGAACAATGTGAAACGTTGACACCACTTCTCTCTGAAAGATTTGTTCCAGATATGATTCTTAGTTTGGTTAACAATGTATATATGAGTAACTAAACCATTTTATGTGCTTAAAGAGAAAACGATTGCTGTGCTTGCTAACGTCCAAAAAGAAAATGACAACTACGCTAGAGATTTAGTTCAGCTTCAAACAGAGAAACAGACTTTACAGGATCATGTGTTAATAACGATGTAAAGAATTTAGTGGATAAATTTCATGCGTCAAATTCAAGAAAAACTGTTCAACACAATCATAATCCAAACTCGAATTCAATGAAACGAGGAAACAGCACACTCCTGAAACAGAACAAGGATATTAAGACCATGTGTTTCGGAAGAAAACGCGTCTTCTGTTTCATCGACAACAACAGCCATATTAATCTTGGTCATCTCAAGTAACTTATTTCACGTTCTTGAAAACAACAATGAAACCAGCAGGGAAACTAATGATCATCAAACACGTCCAGCTTTATATGACACAGAAACAAAACTAAACGTGAAGTGAAACGACTTTGCAAAGTCCTTGTGATCTGTTTTGATAAGCTCTTCTACAAAATTCATATGAAAACAACACGGGTGCACATCTATTATGTCAACATATATAACATTCCGTATAAAGGAAAAGCAATTTGCACATGCAATAAAGGTATCCGATACAAAATGTGTTTTTTTATAGATGTTTATGTAAAAAAAAATTACATATATATGACAAGCTGTGTACACTACCTCGGTAAAAATAATAAAATAAACATCATTCATCGACTACAAAGGAAAAGCAATTTAAGAACAAGTTTGTAACAACGAAACCACCAGGTATACATGACATCAAATATACGTTTATATCATACATATTTTTGACTTGTATTTTAGAAATGTAATAACAGAAAATTGGATTATACAGCTTAATGGAAAATTGTAAAAAAAAAAAGAATTGAAATGTGTGGCTATTACCATGCAAAATTTATCAAATATTAGATGTTTATTTGTAGTTGAAAAAAAATGCAAAATATCTGCTATTACAACATTATTACAATGACAAGCTGTGTACACATTTATATACCTCAAGGTAAAAATAATAAAATAAACAGGTGTTCTTGAATATTGAGCAAGGCTTTTTATATTTTGTGTTTGATATGACAAAGTTATTAGGTGCCTCATCCGTGTTACTAAGTATACAATTGCTGCTGATGTCATCATGGTATATATGTATGTTTTCTGGTTAAAACAAGAAAAAAAATAAATACATATAAATTCTTCAAGAAATACATCTGAAATTTCAATGTGATATGATAAAGCGGTCAGTGAAAATATTATAGCAAATGTTTTATTATTGTCAACATCATGGGTGTACATATGCTTTTTACATGAGGCATCTGATAACAAGGTTACACCTTTATATAAAGAAATATTCAGATATATGTAAAGAGAATAATTTATGTTTGATTAGATCGATTTGTGATTCCTTGATATTTCTTTTATACTACATTTTCCGTTGTGTATTAATTAAATGATATGACGATGGCATATACCTTTTGTTGCCGCATATGTATATAGTTGTGAACCTTTTATGAATACTTCAACCGTACTTTAGATGCCTCACGTACTAGTATTTATGTTTCCAAAGCGAAAAAGGATGAAGAATTCCACAAAATCAAAATGGAGTTGGAAGAATGTCAGCGCGTTAAAAGGAAAGCAGTTGGTAAGTGGCCTTCTTGTATATTGTGCTATATCCACAGTAATATGTAAGTGCAGATATTTGAAAAGGAATCGTAATTCAGACACAAAATTGATAAATCAGTTGCGATATAGTCACCACACAAGGCTTTTTGATAAAAAGACAGCTAAGCATAATAGAATTATGCAACAGGCAGTGATCTATACAAATGCTTTCCTTGTAGTAATACTATAAATCAGGTGCACAACAGACATATAATACATAATACACACACCACCACCATCACCACCTCTCTCTTTCTCACCAAACACACACACACCACCAACACCACCACCATAACCACACACCCACCCACACACACACACACACAAACACACACCACCACCATCACCATAACCAGACTTCCTTCGTCACACACTTATTTATGAATATGGCTTGGCATGTGCGTTGTTTTTCGAAAAAAGTTATCAACCATAGGCGCTTAATTATGATTAATCATGTAACTAATAATTAATGAATATGTGCTGATAGTCGTGGTCATGTACAAGGAAGGAAAATCCTATGTCCTATTGGTCACTTGCAAATCGAAGGAGGGTCAGCAAAACAGACAGAAGTCTCAATACACCAGCACTCTAGAATTTTTTTCGATTTGCTAATTGTTAGGGTATGATATATCAATTGTAACTAAAATAAAATGTTCCTGATTATTCTTGAATCGAAGCTGTATTTCAAAACACTGGTTTAAATACGATCAAAGTGAATAGGTATTCATGTCAAAATAAGTGCAATAATATAAAATTTAATTGTTATATTCATAGCAATATATGAAATAAAATAAAAAATAAAGAGTCTCCTTTTTCTGATGGATACAAGTATGTTGCTATCCATAAAAGGAAAATGTTCAATAGGAAAATTATCACGCTGATGCATTTGGTTGAAAGTTCATGTTGGAAAAGGTCGGGATAAGTGGCAGCTGTAGAAGAGTCTTTCGTGTCCTCGATTTTGATATACGCCTTATCTATATCCATTTAGTGATGACATTATTGCGGAGCAGCCGCAGTGGTTTGGGCAAAACCATGGTAGACATGGTTATCAAGGAGTTGACAAGATACCTAGAGGGACGATTCGACTCAAACAGCACTGATATTTCTATTGTACTCTGTGAAACATCAACGAATGCATCGAAAGGACCTTTGTTCGTGCTATGCCTGAATATGTCGAGAGTCGGTACAAATATACAAGACGCCCTGGAAGGTACAAAAAGTAAGCCTTTGAAAATTACCTTCTCATTGTAACACGGAACACAGAGATTACAAGCTCAATTAAAAGTCATCTGTATATATAAGATGTATATCAAGGGTTAATGATATAACCAGCGCTGAAACCAAATAAATATCACAGATATATTGTTCATATTTTATATAGTCACTCTAGCAAATCATATGCTTACATCTTGACCTGAAAGCTTTAGTTTCGATGAGAAGAAAATATGTGCAACTACAATTGTAAAACGCATACATGTTCGTCGTTGGTTACTACACTACCTACATGACTTAAAATATATGTTTTATCAACATTTTGAAGTGACATATCTACATGTATTTCCTTGTTTATCAGAAAGAAAGGTATTACATTTTCCCCTTTATTTTATGTCTTCATATATGCATCTTGTAATTTGTTCTCGTAACCACGATTAGAATGTAGACATTGCAACAATATTATTGGTTTGAATTAGTTTGACTATGTAAATAGCAAACATGTTCACAATCAAAATTACCTTTGCAGGTCATAGAGACGTATATGTCCTCGTACTTCATCATACCAACAAGGACAATTTGTCTGAGATGACACCAACGAGTCTGCGTGTGACCGGAAGTGAATTACGTCAATTAGGTGGGATCATTGACATGGCGTTCACCAGTGAAAACGGGTTGTACGAATGCGGGCTCAATAATACTGCTGTCGACAAAATAGTAACTGCTCTGAAGAGATATTGAAAGTTTAACAAAAAGATGTTTTTTATTTACTTGGTGGGCGATAGCTTCATCTAGAAACAACGCAACACAAATGTAAATAGAAACATATATGACGATTGTTTTCGCTACATCAAATACGATGTTTGTCGATCGTTTTAATCTTTGAATAAAAAAAACAAAGTGCAATATGCCTATCAGAATATGGGAAATACAATAACATTTAAGCTATACCGATTTCCCTGCAAATATGCATTGAGATTATGAGGTGTATGTGATTTCTCTAGAGGTCGTAAGTGAAAAATATATTCTTTTGGACATTGAGGGCACTAACCAAGGCAAACATTATATTTCAAGAATTTGGAGATCATTTAACTCATACGATTGAATGCAGAGATCGAGAAAGTAAATATTCCCACAAGTATGCAAGTACACAAACTTAGGTTGTTAAAACGGTAAATTGATTTTAAAAGTATTGTTTTGCTCTGCATGTGACAATACATTCCTACAAGTGGTATTGAAATGTATTTTCGTATTAAAAGTTACCATACTGTCCACGCAGAGAGCATTATAGCTGTTAATGTCCGGTTGCCAAAACACGTCTATTTTAACCAATTACCTTGATAACCGCATATTTCCAGCTTCTTGATTGTGAGATCACAGAGTTGATAACGAGACACCGTCAATAAAAGTGCAAGTGATAGACAATGTGTTGTTATCAATCTCATTAAGCAACTCGATATATTCAGTCCGATATGAAAAGAACTTGTAAGTCAAGAGAGTGGCATCATTTTGGCACGGGTATGACAATACAGAGGATGTTTAAGGGAATACGACAGGTTTTTATAAACATTAAGGTGTCTTTTGTACAAGATTTCAGATAACTTATGGCATACACTGCTGGTGGACTGTTGGTCTCCTCGGTTTGCCGTAACCTGCACGCCAATGTTAATTTATTCGAATGGTGACACGGTTCAGAACATAGACATGTACCTAACGTTGCTCTCAACACTGATATGTAAACATTGCGAAATTTACTTAATCATAGGGCCAGTGTACCTCACCGTTTAGAATTTGATTTTTCTTTCGATCATATCGGCTAGGCTTTGATATTCAGGTCTTTAGCGTCACTGACGGGTCCTAAAAGTACGAAACAGCTGTATGATGCCCTGTAACTCATTCTTTGGCTCTACAGTACCTAACTTTATATTTGTATTATATGCGTGTCTTTGTACTTTGATGCCGCCTTTATCTGTCATTTGTCTTTCGAGTCCTTCGTGTATCCGAGCTTTCAACACAAGAAATGAAGATTCTTTCGATGACGATGAGAAAGAAGCTTTATCATAACAAGAAAGAAGAATAACCATTTCAAGATTTTAGAATGAATGAATTTTGTCAGTCAGATATAACCACAATAATAACGACAAGGTGGTACTTTTGTAGAAATATGTTTATTTTTACAGTGAATGACATTATACAAAACTAGTAAATTTGATTAAATTTGATCTAATGAAAAAAATATCTATGTAACAATTTGATCGCATGTTGCAGAGCTTTCAAAATCATTCATCACCATTGACATTGACAGTAGGATTAACTAGATTCTCGCATTATTATTGTTAGCTCCGTACTTTATTCCATATATGTACCTGTAAGTGGTGTTTCCCACAATCATAGCAAGGAAATAATTTACTTTTTTGCATTATATGTATAGATTCCCTTATCAAACGCTGACACATTTAGCCGAACTGCAATCCAATCGTTGAAAGGTTAAGTATTTACATATCAAGCGCCGATGTCTACTTTGTTATTGCAACAAACAACTGGGTCTCTTTCGATATAGGAAATTCTGCAAGGCAAATTTATCTGTCAGTGCCCTGTCTTTGATCTGATCTTTAAGATCGTTATTATTGTTAATTGAACAAAGGATTATTTCAATTTCAAGATCATAATCTTAACCCTGTTTGATTGGCACAGAAAACCACTGTTAACAAAATAAGAACTATTTTAGAAGGTGATTGTGCAAATAAACTTTGAGAGAGGTCACGCGAATCCATCAAAAACAATACAACTATCCTAACAAATTTCTAGCATATTGTTAAGAAAAGGGGAGTGTGTGCTTCAAGGAATTGATGAAAGAAAACATCCAGGTTTCTCTGCCAATTTGATCCTATCGCCCATGGGCATATATGGAAAAAATGAAAATGTCATTCAATGTTAACAATTCTAACCAATCTTTATGTGGGTACTATAGCAAATTTACCTCCCCACCGAGGGAGAAATTAGACCCTGGGGAAATTCATAATTTGATTAAGATATTCTAGGATTACCACCCATGGTTTCAATGTGAAAAAAATCACTTTTGTATCACCTCTCTTTGATTAAATTGAACTTTCACTGAAGATCTTTTAGCAAAGGTGGGTTTACTCAAGTATCATTTAATTTGTAAATCGACAAACGTTTCTTTCCGCTGATGGCTGTATTTATATCCACTATCTGCAAAATCATTTAGTTACATGCGAAAAGGCAGATCACATATTTTAGATAATAATTGTTATAATGATAATACTGCTGAATGATGTCTTGAACTGCTGTGTGTCTGACTTGATTTGACAAAATCAGTTTAAAGAACGCTGAAAAGATCTATACAGTTGACAATGAATAATAGATCGCAAAGTTTGGGCTTTGTTTACATTGACTACTTTTCACAGTCCTGTCAATATATCTATGAAACCAACAGGTTATACAAGAACGATAAAGAGCAAAACTATGTAATTATGAAGGTTACAAAGGACTTTCCATCTTGCACATGAACAAATTGTTTTAATGAAACTGTTAAAAACTCTTTTGGAATAAGAAATAAGGATTTGTTTGATATCATCAATGAAATGTGGGTAACTTCTCTAAAGCAGATTGATTGTAGGGCCGTAATCTGCAGTTATGATAAAATGAAAGTATAGCAGACTCCTCTTGTAAAAACAGAAAGATGGCAATTGTAAATTTTGGACCCTGAAGTTTCATCTCGTAATTTTCATAACACCTCTGACGGAAATGCAAATGACGACGGATGTAATCTCTGCTTTTTTTTAAAAACAAAAATCATTCAGAGATGATAACATTTTATCATATTTTTTATGACGAAAAAGAAATTGCGTTAAATGACTTAAAAACGATATTGTTAACACTTTCCTTCGGAGGACTCCAAAGACTTCCTGCAATGGCCTATATTTCATGTAGTGAAAATAGTCATTGTAATAATGTTTTAATCCTCAGTCCCTCAAACGGTACCTGTCATATGATAGTCACAGTTATTAAGTGTAAATGTAGTTGACATGTAGTCGCTTCTTTTTTTCATGCATTTCTTTAATTGTAACTTGATTCATATTTATCCGACCGAAGTTCGTCCAGATGGTTGACGCGAAGGAAGGTATCGGCAGCTCGCAGCATCTGGCGAATGTTGTATAAGGCAAGTATGCTGATATCATCTGTAGTAGATGGCTCCATGTAGTAGTTCTTCATTGGCATCACCGTCATTGGTGGTAGGCCTAGACAATTGCCGGCGTCCTTGCACTTCATCAGGATTTTTTCACTCTTATAGACGTTAGCTGCGTTTTGTTTGGTCAATGTACAGGCGTTGTCCACTTTGTTAAGCAGAATCAGTTGTGGGATTCCTTCACAAATGGAAATGTGTTTGTAATGAAATAATTCACTGACAATAAATACAATACAACATTGTAATATATATATATGAAATAATCTTAACTCGTTACTCTCTCTTTGATTATATAAAAGACAGTCAAAGTCACAGTCGATGACGCATTTCAATACAGGTTTGAGTAGAGCGCCAAACAAGTAATTAAAATGCACCATACAGCTGTTTCGTCTTTCTTGACTATCTCTTAACCATATCGCTTAAACTATTATTACAGAAATGTTAATTTATTCATGTACTCATTAAGATGTCTAATGCTTTTTATATTATACCTTTTTGGTCAACCATGTCTTGAATATCCTTTATTTGGTCCCTAACATCAGCAGTTACAAAGGAAATGTCTAAGTCGGCAGAATATTTCTCTGCATCAAGAACGTACACCACACAATGAATCTTGTCCTTCAGCTTAGGATCTTTCCTGAAGCCATGAGTTGTACTCGTCAGCGGATTGGAAATATTGAACTGGCATAAAAAAAGTAAAACGAAATAAGCGGATACTGTCCTGTACTAGATAAAAGACTGATACAATAAATAGTAAATCAGCACAACAAATACCGCGTGGGCGCTAAATAAAAGGAAAGAAAACCTGACCCAGATAAAACTGGGTTGAAAAAAAGAATTAATTATGTGTTTTGATAGTTAGATAACCAATGTTATATTGATATATAATTTAGCCTATTTGGGGATGTTTCATGAAATTATATTTCTCAAATACTGTTTATTATAATTTCTTTTAATTGTGTTCATGCACTTCATTTGGTGAATTATCAAACCAAGTAATTAATTGAACATGCTGTTTACATAAAATCGATCACAACGAACCAATACCTACCGTATAATTGTCAGGCATATGCCCCTCCAGAATAGCTTCGATGTCCTTGGTGATGTTGTTGCCGTCATCCAGACCTCTACAATCACACAGCTGGAATCTTAAGTACTGCCTGTTATCGGACGCTGTGATAGGGTACTGACGGTACTGTTAACAAATATCGAAACATGTACTTATTCTATGACTTATCCAACTCAAAATGGGAATTCTTGAATGTTGTATCAAACATGATTCTTTATCAATAATGGAAAACAGCTTTTAACAAATCGGGTTTGTACTTACTGCTGAAGTCACACTTTTTGTTCGGCTTCCAGCACTGGCGGACATAGTTACATGACCACGGAACACAGATTCAACTGAGTTGAGAAAACTCGATTTGCCTGCACCGATAGGTCCGATAAAAAGAATGTTGACGTTTTGTAACGCATTTTCGTTCACACCCATATCCTTAAGAGGCCAGTAGCCTTCAACTTCATCCATCAAGTCGTTTAGATACTGCAAAGGAATGTTATATACGATCACAAATATAACAAATATTCATCTGTTAAAAAAAGACTTTTAGCATTGACATAGATTAGAATTATATTTTAAAAAATTTAACCGCCATGGTTATGATAGATTCGTCTGCGTTCAACAACCCTACTTACCTCCTTGTCAAACCTCGGTTCTGGTCTCCAGGGAATTTCCATCAGTTGTTCAGAAGCGTCTAGAAACAAATATAAGTAATTAAATCCGCTGTGGTGCATACTCATACTTTATCTCAAGCAATAATCTATTGGTATTCACCAGAAAATGTGATTGCAGTTGAAATATATCGTATAAGTATCACTTTTTATTAGTTGAACTTCTTACCTTTAACGCTATAAACCATTATGTCACTAACACTCGCGTCTCCTGTTATCTCATCAGCAAGGGACTTCGGCAAGCTTACATAACTAGTAGGTACCATGCTTGAGTTAAGGATAAACATCCCATCTGCTTCCGGCGAAATTTTCCCTCTGAATAACTGTAGATCCGGCCCGCTACCAAAAGCTGGTCCACTTTCTTCGTCTAACATTATAGCTGAAGGAGGCAGCTTTATTGAGAATTTGATGGCTTCAGTATTACCTTCCCTCCGTAGTAAACAGAGAAACGCGCTGGTGTCGTATACCATATGATTGGTGACTGACTGCCAGCTAGCCGTAGTAAATCCACCGTAAACATCACCAACCGAGTTGTAAACCAGCGTCAACGTCGCTCCTCTGTTGTCACAGTGTTTGTGGAAAGCAACTGCATCACATCCGTTTTCCTTGGCACTGTAGAGCTTTTCAAATGCCTTTGGACCGTCACCAATTAAATTCTGGAGTTTATATTTATCTTCCTTTGTCAGTTTTGCCATAGTTCTTGATAATGAATCTATTACAGAAAGTACAAACAAAACGAAATTAGTACTACCAATTAGGTATCTTTATATGTGGAAAAAATATTGCACAACTTTGGCATTGCACACGCTTGAAACGTTATCAAAGGAAAATGTACCCTTCATTTTATTTTCTTGTCAGGTTCCTTTGGTGAAGTTACAGATACTTTAACGAATTCCTTAAATTTAACACCTTTTCATGTTATAACTCATTTCAGGATGATTTTTCTAACATTATAAAAGATTGAAATTTACCAACAAAAGTTGTAATTTAAATGCATGTGAACTTTGGGTAAATAAATATTCATAGTTTCACAACGAATGGAGAAGAAATTGTGAAGGTAGGTTTTTGCACATAGGCAAAATGAAAGTAGGTTTACTTAAGGTGTGATATACTCGTTTATCAACCAAAACGAAAGTAGGAATGCTTCATTCATATTTCAATTATGAAACGAACGATGGCTGACCAAACGTAATTTGCAGTATTCGAATTAATAGCCATGTTACACTTTACTGTGTTTCAAATGTATCCCACTGTATGACTCCACGAAGGTAAAGAATTATCAATATAAGATAACAGACAATGTATATTTTTGTAACTAAGATATCTATGAACATTTATTCATCTAAATACACCTAAATGTTTTTGGCTTAAGCTGACAAACCTGCTGATACCAATTATCAACAATATAATTACATGTAATTTATAAGTTACTGTCAATCATGTTATGGCAGTGTAATATCGCAGTAGTTACTACCTATTTGTGTATATGTGTATGTTTTAAAATTTTATATTGTTCTCATACAGATGTATGTAACACGATATTAGGATATGTTTGTATGTTTTCTCTCCCTCTCTAGAATTGACGTTAGTACCTATTTTTTGTTAGGGACGTATTAAAGAGGAGCGTTAGGAAAAGTTCAGCTATTAAGCTTCTGTCATTGAATTCAATGATCGTCCCATATAGCCATATATAAGTGATTTCTTAACTGACCATGTCTTGTATATTGTGTATTGGGTTACTCTTGGTACACCGTACATACGAGGATAAGTACATAAAAGAGGAATTGTGTATCAACACATACCACCGACTTTTACATGTGTGTTTATTTTACACCCTAGAAGATAGCGTCGCTACACTACACAACTGATATATCAATATAAGGTGTACTAGCCTTATTTGCATTCCAGTCAAAACACCAATGCGGAGAGAATACTACACAAATATTGTCCATATAGATGGTCCATGTGATTAAAACTGATCAGTCTGTACGTAATACTTCTATAGTAACGAAATGATAATCACAATCCAATTTCACACGTGTAATGTCGCATTAACAATTTATTCCATTCGGTAGTGACGTTTTTGACAGATAAATTGTGCTTCTCTACACTACAGTTGATAAATAAATGTATAATAAAAATAAGCTCCTTTGATGTCGAGCTTTCTTTTACATTGAAGGCTGTCTCGACACGTTTCTTTGATGTCGTGCTAACTTTATCTGTTGATCTGTTATTGTTATGCGAAGGTCAATTAAGGTCACTATCGCTATACTTTGATTTTAAAATATCACAAAATATAACATATATTCGATCACTTTATGATATTGAGAATCCATTACCTAGATATTTTTTTATACGGAAGTAGTACGCATGTATGTCAAGTTATAAACAAACATTTAAATATGTAACGCCGTTGGTTATACAATGTACCTCTACAAATCGAAAGAAGAATGTCGGGTTTTCCGTTAACCAATATATGAAACGAAAGTAGACCCCAAAGTCCCCCAATTCTGACAATCAGTACAAATAACAATGAACAAATAAAGCAAAAATATTTAAATTTTTCAAAACTCAAACTTCAGTCATTGCTATTATAGTTTCGAAGATAATGTTGACAGGCGTCACATGACTATTAGGGAACGTCCAAACTGAAATGCCGTTGTATTATACAATTCACTTTTGTTAAAACAGAATAAAACTAGATATTAAATAAATGCAGCTGTCTAAATTAGCATAATTTCTTGAAAAGACAATTGTTTCACTCTGGTCACTTTAGTAATGGAACACTATTTAATGTAATGGCATTGATATGTCAATTAATGTGGAGAAATGCCTAAAGAATATCATGGAACCAAATATACACCAAGAATACGCTTCTTACTGTTTGGAAATGTATCAATTATAATTGCGCTGACGGTATCATTAATTAAGGGTATTTTTTAAAGCTTTTTTTTTGCAATTGATATCGTGCCTTTCAATTAAATTAATAGGATATGATTGTTATGAAATAAAATATCTTCATTTTTGTACTATTTTTACACAGGCAGACAACAACAGACAACAACAATGTACTTACATGTGCTCGAGACAAGGTTTGATTTGGTAATGACTGTCAGTTTAGGAGCTAATTCTTATTATATCTATTGGAAATCGAAAGAGGACTTCCCAATCTTGATATAAATAGATCCACGACACTTTAGAGTGTTTTATTCAGATTAAAATGAAAGTAGGTTTTCCCGGTGACTGTCATTAACACTATTTGAACTACATGTATTACCTAAACAGAAAGTAGACTTACCGCATTGATAATCCAATACGTGAAACATGTGCTCGAGACAAGGTTTGATTTGGTAATGACTGTCAGTTTAGGAGCTAATTCTTATTATATCTATTGGAAATCGAAAGAGGACTTCCCAATCTTGATATAAATAGATCCACGACACTTTAGAATGTTTTATTCAGATTAAAATGAAAGTAGGTTTTCCCGGTGACTGTCATTAACACTATTTGAACTACATGTATTACCTAAACAGAAAGTAGACTTACCGCATTGATAATCCAATACGTGAAACAAAACGAAAGTGGTTTTACCATGTGCGAAGTATTTGATTTATTGGGCCTGAAAATAACGTAAGATGTTTCAAATGTATCATTAGCCAGCGATGACAGTTCACTGCATGAAATAAACTTAAGTCAACGTGTTTACCGTTTTCGAACTGAAGTAGTTTTACACAAATCATACAAATGATTATTCAAATACGCTTCCATATTTAATATTACTATATGTTTGGTGAAAGAAAAAATAGAATGTCATGATTATTTCATCCATATTCGACCACTGAGAATATATAATCTAGCAACCTTTCAATAGTTATATTAACATTTCAGTTATTGTCTAAAATCAGCAGTATGTCTAGTGTATCAAGTAACAGAAAGTTTCCCCTGTTTGTTTTTGTTCTGAGCCTCTTGAAAATCATTATTATCTAAATGTTTTATGTAAAGCTGTATACAGAGCGTTGACACAACGAAGGTCAACATAGGTATTGGGAGACCATATGCAACATTTGAATATATTTAAATAACCTACCTGATCAAGATTATAAGGTTGGAAAAATACTTAATCGGAATTCTGATTCTTCATTTCAAACTAACTTGCACTGTATGTAAAGATCGTGTAACATATGATGAGCAAGAGATTAATAATTACTAGTTAAGGACTGATTCAGGGGCTAAACTAGATAGTAAATATGCCAACTAATAGATTGATGGCTTATCTATCACATAGCCATCAACCGTTTTGGATAATACTTCGTTTATGTGTTTAGATAAACGAATTAGATGTTCTGGAGATACTACTACGTTTCAAACAACATTCGCTTCACTACATCAACAAACGTGAAAAAGAAACAATAACAGATACGTCTGTGAATTGTGTGGTTCGTTGGTATATGAATTAATTGAACTGATAAAATGTGATGCATACTGTTATAGAAATGCCTTATGTAGCTGTCTAAGTCAATATTGTATCAAGATTATAGGCGTATACTGTAATATTCTAAGGTATTCTATTTCATGGTTGACTACCTTATTGTATTACCTGTGACACGACACGGAAATGACGTGTAGGCTTATAGAACAGCATTGAAACGAAAGTAGAAAAACCCTCTCAGAAAGCGAAAGACAATACAAATCAGGTAAGATACAGATTGTTTTGCTTCAATCACAACCTCTCTAAACGTAAAAGCCAGATTAGGATATATATCCATTTGTATATCATGACACATTTCAAGCATGGAAAATTGTGTTAGATTTAAATGAACTAGAGCAGATTTTATTTGTCTTAGAAGAGTGCTATAAGACGTCTGAGAGTGTAAGTGGTGAACAAATGAGAAAAATGTACAAAACACTCACAGCACCTTTAGAAAATGAATTTTCTGTTTGATATAACATTGACAGCGACATTTTAAACGTGTATGTATTTACATACCTATGCAATACTGTGATAGTGTCTCACATAACCGTACACATATGTATATTATACCACCAAAAAACCCAAACATACTATTTTCTTTCAATGTCACGTTCAGCAGTATCTAACTTTTAATATATATATGTACCTTGGTAAAACATACTATTAATAGAGTGAACATGTCGTTATTGTTAAGAATAATGACATCTTGTAAAGCAGGTCAATCTTGTTTTCCATTACGAGTGTTTGCTATGATCGCTATTATTATGAGTTTTCATAATGGATTCTTACTATAAACAAGTCAAATCTAGTAGATAACTAAGATACATATCTGTGTACGTACTAGGTTAAGAATGTCAAAGTAGGTAGGACTACAACAAATGAAATATATTTCGTTTTCCACAACAAACACTATGCTCTTAATGCAATTACCATGTCAAATGTCAAAGTAAGAAGGCTACATCATATTATTTTTATATTACTACTTTAGCGATCATTTAGAGACATTATATTTTATTAGAGTACATATCAACGAAATTCTTGATATATGTTTGATAGCTTAATGCAGTCGAAATAACTCTCATAACGCATTGTTTTGACCAATTATGATGAATCTAGACACTCTCTGTAGTTAGCATGCGCATTACACTTCCGTCGCTGATTTCATGTTTCATGATATTATTGCATGATTACCCTATTTGTGAACCCGTGGATTAGTCTCCAGCCATTCTAACAACAGCATTGCATCATGGGATTTGAACAGCTATTTTGGTCTCAGTATTACAAGACGGATGCATCGCTTTTGGTACAAGTATGTACTTTAAATAAATCTATAGCATTACTTATTTGCATTTTGTGGACATAATACGTATGCTGTATTTGTCGTTTAGAAGAAAAGATGGTAAGCTCAGCCTTTTTTATATTAGCTACGGTATCGAAACAAGTAATTATGTTTCATGCAAATAAGGAAATCAATTAAAATTGTCTGTTGATGATTGATATCCTGTTTGTCTAATGATCTTGCTGTAAATCTTAACATCAATTTAGATACGTTTAATAGCATTCATCCTGATACAACTTCGATAAACGTAATGATTTCAATTTCTCTATGGTGAATTTTTTCTATTTCCGGACAGCAACATCACTATATCCCACATCTATGGTGTTTACATGTCGCAGTTGATTCGGTTTTCAAAGATCTGTTCCTATTGTCATGATTGTAGTGCAAGAAGTCGTTGATAGACATTCGTAACAGAGTGTTTGAAAAGGTTGAAGGTTTATGAAAAATGGGGGAGTTATATGGTCATCATAATGAGCTCGTTGAGAAATATTATATTTCTTTTTGCGATATAAAGCTAGATGTGTTTGATGCTCGTTAGTTTGCATGTTGTTTTTGACCTCAAAGGTCATTGCGTTAATTACAATATATTCACAAAATAATGTTTCTTTACAGCAAATACAATTTGCATCACAAAAACATATTAAATGTGTTGAAGAGGAGATGAAGAAGTATAAAAAGGTGCAGGAGGCGATAAATAAGGGCGCCACAACACTGAAAAAAACTTTATGTCGTGATTGCAATAATAAGCTTCAACATGAAATGTCCTCGGCACAAAAATCAGCAACAACACAGAATTTTCAAAAGAAGTTGAAACGTCTCCCAGCAGAAACCCGACGTTGCCTTCAGGAATTAGAGCGTATTCTTATTCAGAAAGAAAAGTTGATAAATGGACGTGAAGAAGACGAACAATATTGTACAAGTGATGAATGGTGCGATCAAGAAGTAGCCGAACTGTCCGCACGCCACGATAAAGCGACGGAGGAATTCCAGAGGGACAAACAGAAGCTAAATAAAGAGATTTGTGAATATAAGACCGTAATTGAAGACTATAATGTAAGAATTAAAACAAAAGATCGCACCATTGAAAATAAAGAAGCTGACATAAAAGCTTTAAAAGACAGAATACAAAGACTGGAAGAAGACATTAAAATGCAAGACAAACGAATCCGTGATCAAACTGGACTTACTCTGTCTGAAAAGCCGTCACAGGAAGGAAAACGAGACACTGAAAAGAGATATGGAAGTACCGGTAATGTTCTTTAATCTTGTGGAGCTATTTATCATTATACCAAAATAGTAATTATGACTTTATAACTTTCATGATAAAAGTCTAGCATTGAGCTGCATCATTATAGCATTCATGGTTTTGAAAATGACAAAGCCTTTGTAGCCCATCACTATGTTGGTCCATACACTGCAATATATTTGTGACTTCAAAGCTTCTACAATTCATAGTGTCTGTTTAGTTAATGTAGTTTCTACATTGACCAACAATGTATTCTGCTATGGTACAGTATTAAGTCATAGACATGTAGGTAAATACGGCTTTGCACACTTTTAATAAAATCTTTTATTTTATTGACATTACCAACCCGAAGCAAATCTTGTCGTAGGTTTACAAAAAGAAGAATTGAATAGAATACGCGAGGAAATGGCAAAATTTCGCTCTGACTCTATGGTAGCAATACAAGAGAAAGTCGACATCGAAAAAATTTTACACCAAAAGGAAACTGAGCTCAAAAATGCACATTCCCAAATACTCCAAATGCGCGAGGAAAATGAAAGCCTGAAAAAGAGTTTTGGTAAGTAACATTTATAAACAAAAATTGTTTCCTAGTATCCTGCAGTGCGTACGATGTAGACATTAGTTGCTCTTAACTCTAAACATAGGTTAATATACATGGCCATTAATATTGTATCAAGGCATACAGAAATGTTTACTAATCGTGAGATTTTAAATGATTGCATATAAACACAGTGTATTGTCTTTGAGAATCGGAAGTGTATTTATACAGTTTAGATTATCATTCTAACAAGATAACGCAATTTTGCAAATTGAAAAGATCTCGAAAATACATCGCAATCAGATTGTAGTTCAAAGCATCTTGCATATAGTAAGGTTTTATAAAAAAAATCGCTCTTGAAAAAAAAAGCGATATAGAATAATTACTAAAATCAATATAATTGTAGCAATAATGCACCACCATAAGATATTGTTCAATGATATACAGAACATTGTTGTCCATTTGCCAGAGAAGAAGACAGTGGAACTACAGGGAAACGAACAACGACTTGAGAATAATCTTCAGGAATTAAAACAAACAAGAAACGATCTAGGTAACCTGAGTATAATTACTTGATCTCTCAATTTTTCACACGGGAACATTGAGCTGTATTAGACTATTGCACCAGAGTAAATCTAATCAGTTTTTGTCTGTCATGCTCATTTTAAGGTTTGAAAATTTGTATTTATGTCCTGAGTAGGGAATGTCTTCGAGGATTGGGACAAAATGTCTCAGTGTATCTCGTTCTCTTTAAAGATTTAAGTTATTAAATTGGATTATTTTGTTTAACATTTGGCATAAATCTAAATATAAACAAAAGGTTCACGGTTCAGGGCTTATGACTCTTTTTCCACAGGAATGATGCAAATGTCTAACAATGTCAACGATATGCTGACATATAAATATCCATCTAAGCTGATTTGTTTTATTCTGGGCATGAATAAAATAACGATACAACATCGTAGAAGTATATTTGCCTTTACTTCAACCTTTATCTGCAAGATGTCAACTCAGTTTCAAAATATCTTAATTATCAGGCCCCCCACTCCAAATAGGCACTTGCATGCAGCAGTTTATTTTTGTTTGTAGACCTGTTTATATTTTCACAGGATTGTTCATATTCATGTCGTTATTCGAATGCATTTAAACATAACATACAGTTTATGGCAAACCTTGGGTACTATCTTTCTCCAGCAGTGTCTAGCGCATGCAATCGCAATGATAAAAAACCGCAGGGTTTTGAGAGATACAGGTAAATGGGGACAGTATTTTGCTTTTATAAACGTCATCATGGTAACATTTGAAGGCCTATGTTTTCGCTATGGTGCCCATGTTAATTTCCTGAAGTAAACGTTTGGTTTCATTTAACCGATTTCTGTATCGACAGCCACACGAAAACAAGAATTCGGCAATTTGGAGACTGACAACCGTAAACTGTGTTCAGAAATACAGAGAATTTTACAGGAGAAAGGCAAATTCGAGAAAGCTTTACAAGAAAATAGTAATGAGCTTACCATTGAACGTTTGCAAGTTGACAAATTGAACAATGAAAACAAAAGCCTGGTTGAAGATCTAGGTAAGTGTAGCACAAAACGATATATGTGGAGTATGATTAGTAAATATGCGATGTCTTATAAATTAAACATACTATTTAATCGAATACTGGTACGTAAAACTACCTGAATATTATATTTGAACATGAACGCAAAGATAAACGCAATAAGCTAAAAAATACCATACATACTAGGGGTTTTAACTAATCATTGACAAAGTAGTCTTCATAAAATAAGATAACTGAGGCCATTTTCAATGTGTACATAAGTTAGTATCGTAATGGACTAGGTATTTAGTTAGCATACCTTAGTTTCGTAAATCTTGGAAGTAATCTGGTCTTAACTTAAATTTATATAGTGGTGTAATACATGTCTATATCAACGAATTTATTAATAGAAAAGAATATTTAATATCTGTTGTGAAATGGAATCGCTATTCTTTTTAAGTTTACTTCCATTATAACCTATCTATACATATATTTTTGGTTATTATTTAAACAAGAGGACGCAATTTTGCAAATCGAAAAAACTTCGCAGTTAGAGTTTAGCTCAAAACAACTTGCATATAGTACATTTTCATAAAAAAAAGAGTCGCTCCTGAAGAGGAGAGATAAAACATCATTACTAAAATCAATATACATGTAGCAATAATGTATCACCATGTTTTACGAGTAATAAATAACATATTGTTCAATGATATACAGAGATGAAGACTGTGGAACTACAGGGAAACGAACAACGGCTTGAGGATAATCTTCAGGAATTAAAACAAACAAGAAACGATCTAGGTAACCTGAGTATAATTACTTGATCTCTCATTTTTTTCACACGGGAACATTGAGCTGTATTAGGCTATTGATCCAGAGTAAATCTAACCAGTGTTCGACATTTTGTATTTATGTCATGAGCAGGAAATGTACAGTCCATATTCAAGGGCGCAGTCTCAATTGATTGATCTATATACATGCTTTGATTTCAGATGAGAAGATCAAAGAAGTACAGATATTACATGGGCAACTGGAGGAAAAGCGACATCCACAGAAAAAATCAATTGGTTTGTAGGATGCTTAACTGGTGATAGAAAATAATAAAATTCAGAAATCAAACTGTTAGTTCATTAAGGGTTGTGTAGACTAAACCTAACACAAAGGACTTTGGCTACTTAATTGATCCTTAATGTGTTTGAGGAACTATGTCCATTTGTAGAACAAATTCTGTAATTGTTAGTGTCTCTTTTATTGATTTCAAAATATTGAGAACTAAATATGAAATAAACTGCAATGAAATTATTCGCGATAAGAATTCACGGTAGGTGATAGTTAACGGTACGAATCTAGTCAAAAGTAATAAGGATTTGCTGAATAAAAATGTATTTCTAAAACTATCTGAGTTATCATGTACCTTAATATAACTTAATGAGTGACTTTCATCTCGTTTGACATCAATGTATGGGATATCTGGACACTATTTCCAGTAGATATTTGCGAGGTCATTAGTTTGTTAGAATACTTTCATTGCTCAAACATATTTTATCAACCAAAATTGACATTAAATATATATATAGGTATAGATATACGTAAAAGAGGGCATTATATTATAGGTAACTTATCCTGAAATATATTTCGGAGTCGAACAAAATGCTTGCGGGTGCTAAATTTAGTTACATTTATACATAATTATATATATATATATATATATACTTTGTTTGAAATTTATCCCTTGTACTTTTAACTTTATCTTGTAATAACTTTATTTGCTGAACTTGATATCTGTAACAGTTGGATATCGAAATTTACTTACAGTGCTGGGTCTGCATTGTGATCGTAGTGGATTAGGCAAGCCTTTCATTGACATGGTTACAAAAGAACTGACACGAGGTGTACAGGACAGGCTGGACCACACTAACATAAAGTTAGCGATCAACTTTTCCCAGACACCATCGGAAGTGACCAGTTGGTTGAAAATTGTCCTCTGTCTGAACATGTCAAGGATTGGTACCAATATTCTAGACACTTTGAAGGGGATGAAAGGTAGAATGCTAAACACCGCCCATATTGCCTACTCCTCGTCTAACTAAATGGAAATCATTTTCTTTTTGACTTCTATAGGTCGCCATTATATAGTTTTTTTATCAATACTTTAATACTCTTTAACTCAAAGTTCGTCCTGGTATTTTGGTATTGGGATATACATTTCCCCTTGTACTATAACATTCTAAATGTATAACGTATTTGGATTCAACAGATTGTTATGCGTACAGTTGGTGCAATAAATACTCTCTATTCTGCAGGTGATAGGGATGTTATAGTCCTCGTCCTTCATCACACAAACAAGGAGAATTTGTCATCACTTACTCCCACAAGTCATCGAGTAACTGGAAGCGAGTTACGGCAGCTGGGCGGAATCCTCGACATGGTGTTTTGCAGTGACAGTGGTTTATATGAGTGCGACGTCAACAGCAATGCTATTGACAAGATAGCGTCATTCTTAAGGAAATACATTATATTATGAACGATTGTGATTTTTTGAGGACACATTTTTCTTGGAATTTTTTGAACTCCTTGACAAATAGTTTAAGCAGAACTTCAAATATTCGTTTTATAACGCAGCAGAAATATAAGAAACATCATTTGTAACATTTGGGGAAACTCGTTTTTTGTCATGGAATCTTTAATTCATTAATTATCAACTGAAAACCAATCATTTTCCATATTGTAGATATGTTATTGTTTATGGTAAACCTCGTACATTATACAAATTTGTCCTTGAAAATAGAGCCTTATCACAGATCACGACAAGACCGGTATCCCGGATCACCAGATTTTGGTTTTGGATAACATACCTTATTATTTGATATTACGTCATACATCGACATGTACAGCAATTCTATGCCTGAGACTTGAGTTCAAGCTTGGTCGATTTCCATACCTTTGCAAGGGCATGAATTTTATATCTTCTACAGAAAAGGACAGGTATCAGGTATGAAACACAATACTTAAGGTTAAGACAGGCAGAAAATAATTCATTGAAATACCAAATCTGAATGCTACTACCGACATTATTTTCCAATGTATATGTTAACCACGATCTTTAACTGTCATCATCGGGTCAATAGATCAATATATGTCAAAGCCACTGTTACTATCAGTATAAAATCAGTTTCTGAGCGGTTTTCCTAGTACTATGCAGCTGATTACACTCGGACTTGAACTGTTGTTTCTTCATAAAAAGTGTTTTCTTGGATTTGTTTTCCATGTTAAGGAAATAAACGTCAATATTGTTATTTCTATAAATAGAACATGGAATAAACCGAAAAATATATATAATACACACATAGATATGGATGTGATTGGTGAATATTCTCGTGTAACATAATGATAAGTCTGCCACCAACGGGTCAAAGTAATCAGGTCAAAATTCAATAACAAAAAAGAAATAAATTACTGGCAAATATTTCATTTTGATATTATGAAATGACCAAAATGTAAATAAATATCACTACACCACGTGTCAAAGTATACAGGTCAAATTGCAAATATTTTGCTATGTAATTTTGAAGCGAAGTTGTCCAGAATGATATAAATAGTTTGCCTACAGGTAAAGTTAGAATATGGGATATATTATCTGTAGATATTCTATGCAGGTAAATATTTTGTAAATAAATAAATATTATACCAATTTAAAAAGAGGAGAGGCTAGATCAATTTCTTGATCAATAAATCAAAAGCCCACATTCTTTCAACCAAAGTCAAAAGTCAAGGTCATAGGGTAAAAGGTAAAGGTCAGATACTACATATATATGTTTACTAGTTGACACTTTATGACTATAAACGAGAATCAAGAATAATGAAACAAGTGTAGGATAACTCACATGATTAATAACTGGTAATTAATTATGTCTCATCATTATCTAAATGAATGAAAAATGATCTTAATTCAATTAAGAGCCGCAATGCAACAGGATGGTATACAGGACAATAAGAATGACGAAATTGAACCTCTCACGTCACACAACACACGATTTGTACCTAGTCACATAGTGTTAATATCAAAGTGATCACCGTGATAGGTCTAAACAAGTAAAACGTGTTTCTGGTTTCTTCATGAAAACGAAATAAGAACGTAGGTAGAGATGGTTTATATCCATGTGTCAGGTATGTGTAATTGTCGTACACGTCTGTAATGTAAGGTGTTTACCTAGTTGGAACGGTTCTTACCATCTCTCCGCAATTTTAGTTCTGTCTTGGCTGTTTATATAGTTTATAACAGAGCAATAGTTTAAATGGTTCATCGTTGGAAAGATAAAACGTTTTTCTAATGTCTTGCATATGTAACAAATATATTTTGTATTCGGCGAATGGAAGAAGTATATATGTAATGTGTTACTGAAGTGCCGGCTTAGAGTCTGACAAATTCGGGGCCCGTGTGTTAGTATTTAAGTTAGCAGCGTTGACACAGGTAGCACAAATATGAGGCAGGGGGAATAACTCTTACAGTTTCTCTCATTCAAAGAAGGTTTTTTAATACTCGAAGTACGATCGCTGATACATGACATTTCGTCTTTTCGTTTTATTGTCCGTGCAAACACGCTGGCTAAAAAAAGCAACCCGAAAATACGAATACCTCCCAAAGCAAAAAATCGTTAAAAAAACCCCCACAAAAGCGAAAAAACGAAAACAGAATGTAAGATGCAAGTCACCATATCAAAGTCACTGAAATAGTATACCATATATAAGAAAAGCCACTTAGTTATATTTATATACATTTAATCATAAGCAAGCATCATGATACGATGCATATAAGTAAGTCTAAACTGTTAAAAAAATGTGAATGGTCACACTGACAAATATTACCCGTAAGAGGTTGAACTGAAACAATAGTGTCGTCCACGCTTTATATTCTCGGTTCATGTTTGTAGTTTATCTGTAACGATTCTAACTCTAATTGCATGAACAGCTATATACACAAATTAATAATTTTTTGGCCTACATGAATATTTTGGTGTGTAGACAGCTAGGTAATCCCTCAGCCGTGAAGGGCAATTTAAACAGTTGCTCAGTAATTACCAATTCCGCTTTTGTCAAAACGGTATTTGAATATATTTTTGTGTGTGATGAAATTATGTTTATCTTTTTATCAAAATTGAAAAAAAATCCTTCGTCCAATTAATCCGGTTTAATTATGCTATTTTTCTCGAAGTGAACAGATCATACTTTTCAGAATGACGACATTGTGTCGTCTTATTTTTGTGGTGCTTAATTTCAGCTCATATAACCGGTAAATAAATACATATATCATAAACAGATTGAAGTCTTTTTGTGCTTTATGTCAATAAAATGTACACTATATGAGCATCGAGGAGTATTTAAGGAGAAATAGACGAATGGAATGTGTACAATATTAAAGGTACATGTAATAGCAAGTATTCCTGGGTATGGTTTGTTTCAGACTGCAATATTCTATTAATTCAAGACCTTCTTGTGTTCATACCTAGTCGTTGTTTAAAGTAAAAGTCACAAAGTAGATTAACAGGCTCAAGGAACATCCCAGCGACATAGGGCAACTTTCAAAATAGAGGCAAATATAAGATAAATGAAATATCTTCTTCAAAATATAATCGCTTATTTCCCATATTTCTAATAACACCAAAATGTTTGACCTTTCGTGAATGGAGACATTATCTCCCTTCCTGCTCGGGATGTGATCAGTTATATTAAATTTTGGCAGACCAGTTTCAGGAAATACGATATTCCTGACAGTCATACCACCCCGTATATCTGTCCAAAATCCCTAACAACTATATTTTTTTTTTTACATTTTGGAGTCTTTATCAATTAAATGTAAAATACTACTGAAAGTATCAAAGATATCAAAATCGGCAGAAGTTTTCACAATAACAATACTAGGCATCGATATATGGTCTCTCTCATTAACTATCCTCTGATAAAGCTGAATACATACTTGGAATATCCAATTTTTTATAACACAACAGTGCATTTTCAATTAATCAAATATTAAGGATTTACTCAGTTATCAGATTTATCCCTTTTAAAAATTCTTTACAAGTAAACAGGCGACGTTAACAGAAAAACCAAAGAATATTCATCAAAAGTAATAAAAAAAGGTCTGAAAAAAAGATAATGATATTATTATTGGATGTAACAAACAAGGACTTGACACCTTGTGGTAACGTTCTCGGTTGTACCCGAAGTATGCTTTAAACTGCTTGTATTTCATTATCACACATGGAATCGTCCGATTAGGTCAATCCACCAAAGGTTAGAGTTTTTGTAAGTGATAGACAAGCGGGTGTTAACGTTTCAATGTGTACTGCAGTTATATAGTGTGGTAAATGCCAAAAACCCGATAGCGTTTCAACTTTCATTTCACTAGCCACGCTGTATATAGCTCGACAAAGGTAATAATTCATGCTTGTCAAATTGTTATCGTAAAAATCCTTACTAGACCTCTTAAGCAAGTAGAGTTTATGTCTTAGACATGTCAAAATTCTTGTAATATTGAATGTTATTTTCGTGTTATCACTAAAACTTAAATGACTGCGCAATTGCTTTATGTAGTCATAAAGTTATTATTTTCAAACGACCTTGTCACGTAATCATACGATGTTTGGGAGAAAATTGAACTTTATTTCCGGTAACAAAGAGATTTTTCATACCAGCTATTTAAAGATTAACCGAAATAATACACGTAAATCAAAACGAAAACGAAAGTAGGTTTTTCTACTTTCTTTTTACAGTTAGACACATCGTACTACACATCATTGATAAATCATTGACTCTTCATACAGATGAGCGTATCGGACCGACCACCAGGTAATTACATCTTTATAGCAATAATAGTAATGTTGATAGCTCACAATACCGGAAATTGTAACAACGTGCAGAACACCTGTTTTAGCTGGTCAGTATATAGGCGGTAAAATTCACCATCCTAGTGTCAAAGTGAAAGTACACTAGGAAAACCGACACTGTCCAGCGATTAGAAAACCGACAGTGGCAAACAGATCGATATGGATATATTTATTACGTCCGAAAATATTAGAATATATCTAAAATCACACTGCCCTGTGTAACTAAATCACACAGCCCTGTATAGCTTCAGTTCTACCATTTTTTCATCATCAAATATTGTCTATTCGTCGAATGTGTTCGAATAACGTTACGTATTTAGTGTGTTAGTGCACCCATGTGGATTAATTTATAATGTGGGAGATCTGTATAAGATACCTATATCTTCTGTAAGACAGAGGTGGGATAATATACAATGCAGGACTAATGTGTTACTCTGCTATGAACACATGTATGGAATGTGAAGTAGTGATACATATTGGCATATTAAATAAAATAAATATATATAGCAATATTGATAACCAGATGTATATAGGTCATGACATAGTGAATGAAGACTGCCATATCTCTGGTCACTATACCCAAACGGAACAACTTCCATAATTAAATCTGTGTTGGAACGATTTGATTTGAAACTTGATTTTTAATGTATATCGATCATATGTTTTATAAGTTTGATCAACTTCATATTTATCACTTCAAATGTCAGGACGACGGTAGCTGTATTTCAAATGTAAATTGGTTATGTTAAATGATTGCGTAAACTTTATTAATATAAATGAAAATTTGCAACCCAAATCTAAACAAGAACCAGTTTTATACGTCAAATTCAGAAGGAAAAGGAAGATGCTTATCGGGCCTACCGATAATACCTCTCTGTCGAAGGGTGGAGTGTGCGTTAGTATTAATTTATGTAGATCTACAAAGATGTATGATGTAACAGCAAGAACAGTTTAATATGAGAAGTAGTAACATAGATTAAATTTTTTATCTATATCAAACACAAAAGTTTCAGCTTATGAGTAGTTCATTACATTTTTATGAAATGAACAAATCGAACAAACACTCTGTAGATTTGCTCATCTTTAAAGACGACATGTAGTATTGATGTTATTATTAATATTTTATATCAATTACTGATTCAGATATGGAAACCGTGGAAGAAACTCCAACGAAGAATATAGAGGAGCGGTGTCAAGTAAGTGTATTAATACACCGTATTAAACATTACATTTTAACATGGAGTTTTATGTGTTGCTACAAGGCATTTACACAGATTGTATAACATCTGAGCTGAAATACAGATTTTTGTGATATGTATACCTTCAAATTAAGATATAATGTTGACAAATGTGTGTACAGACTGCGGACTTAATAACCGAGTCTTAAGTAACAGTGACTCAACGTAACACGTCTGTTGTTACGTCTTATTTTGATTTTCCAACTACGCCTTCTAGACTGTCACACTAAAGTCTTCTCACATCGAATGTGAGCTCTAAACGGCAGTACACCTGTATAAAGTCTAGGCGAGTGATTTTTAAATAATTTAAGGAGTTTTATTAATTACATATTACCGTTTGGTGTTACATATATCGCATTTAAGCTTCTATCTATAAAATAACCTTTATTTCTTTTCAAATAAAAAAAAAAAAAAAGCAAAAGCTCTCATAATTTATAATCCAAATAAATCAGATTAGTTTCGACGAGGACTGTACATTTTCCTTTGCTGATACATTCATGTGACGTCATCAATTTTTATGACAACAAAATTGGGTTATTGCATGGCCGAATGGCTTGACACATCAGGCAAATAATGGTATAAAATATTCTAATCTTTTTCATTATTGAAGAATAGAGACCAGTTGTGTGGTTTTGTACAAAGTTGTAATACAATATATATACATGTTCAATCCATTTCAGGATTACAAACAGATGATACTCAAGAACCTCGCACAAATACAAAGAAGTAGCCATGACCTTGCAAATGGATACAGAGACTTCCACAAGATAAAACGTGACGTCTATAACGTTGAATGTAATGACTGCAGACGTAAATCATCCAAAATCTTGAATCTACCACTGAATTTATTTTCTGATGTAGGATGTCAGACAGATTATCAGTATACGGTATCACAGTTATCTGAGGGCAGTTTACAGTTTCTTAATCAAATGATGAACATCCTGGGGGAGAATGACAGAAACAAACATGCACAATCTCGGTGTGATGATTATGCAGTCCCGTCAGAGGATAATACACAAACCGTCGGGGAGAGTGAGACGGATGAAGGAAGAAACCTTGTTAGCCAGAATAAATCACTCCAAACGACAGAAATGGATTTCCAATCTGTCAGCAGTAAGGCAATATAATACTACACTAATTCAGATACATCAACCTACAAGAAAGAGTGTATATGATTACATAATGTTTATAAAATGGGACTCAAACGCAAATTTTATGTCATGTTTAAATAATCGTACTATCAGTACCAGTTCTTCGTAATTTTCTCAAATCCTTTTCTCATTCATTTTGAGGAATTTCGTTCAACAAAGGCGAACTTAAGCAATTTGTACATTGAACCGCCCCAGATAGGTTTTATCTTTGATCTCTGAAAATATTATTGGAGGCAGGTATTTCTTAACAGGAAGAGTTCAGAAGAAACTAAAACAAGGTCAAAAGAGAAGGCATGTTTGTAATTGGAAACTATACATTGTATATCGTTATACATAGGGAACTAACCAAACTTTTCATTAGCATTCCACAGTCCCTCGCGATTTCAAACTCACACATGTGAAAAGAAAAGATAAAACATCTCTTGCTACTCACACATATAAAAAGAAAAGAATGCAGCATCTCTCGCCATTTTATACGTACACATGCGTCATACACGGCCGTTTTAGCGATATTCGATACTGACACGATGAAAACGTTTTTTACTCTCAATATCTAAAAATATATCGGTGTGATGATTCAACACAAAAAGAAGGAAATGTGCTTATTTATTACCAGTTTTTTGTTTTGTTTTTGGTCACATGCAAATATCTTCATTGCAGACAATAAATATGTATCAATATCAGAAAGGAAAAGGGATTTAAATGTCAAGAAAACAAACAATTTTAAAAACTTATTCGAAGTGATACAAATGCACGATATGTGTTCTATTTATCTGTTGAAAAGAAATGCACAATATTTTGAAGACAGGATTTCCACCCTAATTTTGTCTTGTTGGATTATTCATTTTAGAGGAAAACCTCGAAGAACAAGAAAAAGGTCAGATCGAGAAAGCCACAGACGCCCATGATAGTGTGCGGACCACAAGTCCTCATTCATTCGAAGTAGTAACTCTCGGTGAGTAGATTTCTCTGTGTAACGCATTTGTTTATACAATTGCATCCATTCGTTCTGCATTTTTCGATGGTAGATGGTCACATTTAAGAATTACATGTACGATATCCTTTGTTTCAGCTGAGTAATAATTTTGGTTTTTTTTTTTTAATTTACTAAAACCCAGCGACTTAACGATTGAATGGAACATTTGTTAAATTAATCGTTCAAATTACATCATTAACCGCACAGATAGCTGATAACTATGGTTTACATACCAATGTAGTCCCCTGAAAAAAGCGCATTTTTACTGGCAGTTTACTGCCCTATTCAGCGACAACGTAAAATGTACAATTATGTGAAACGCTGAAAATTAGTACTTTAACGTACACATATAACTATCTTTACCTGATCCATGTATTGAAAATATTCCACAATAATATAGAGTATTTCGAGTATTGTATGTAAATTATCTCGCCCTATTCATAATAAGGTGATTGGTAAGGGGTTGACGTTCTCGATGCAGTGATCATTCTTTAGCACATGATTCCTGAACACATAGTTTCTATTCCGAGTATTGACAAATATCTCGCTACATAGGTAATAAGTGGAGTCCGGTTCATTTGGTAAAGTCTTATGATCCTTTTAACTCTTAGAGTTCAAGTAATCCATGAGTAATATTTAGTGCTCGACAATATTGATAATTATCAAATATTGCCATTTGCTTTGGTTAGACAAACATGACGAAGAGCAAGATTTTGATCTCACCAAGAAGGCCGAAATCGTATTTGAGCAGGGACTAGAGAAAACGTCAGAAAGCGAGGGACTGATATCAAACGAAACAGTACAAGGAAATATCGGTAAGTAGTTTTTGTCACTGACCCCCTAATTTCCTTATTATCACATTGCACAAGTTTAACTAGTTAAAATAATATACAATTATTGACCTGTTTTCATGTGAATGGGGGGATTTAGTAACCCGCGAAGGTGATATTTCTTGAAGTGACCGCCAGTTTCACCATCTTTTATAATGTTATTTAAAGATATTGATAAAACTTTGAAAGTGTTCATCATATATTCATCACATATATAATACGACCAACAAAAGTCATGAATAAATGAATGATAAAACTTACATTAATTTCTGTTCGTGGACAAAATCACTGGAGAGAGAATTAGTAGTATTTGTTTCTTTTTATTTCAACATTTTGCCGGGAAGAGGTAGATATAATCTGAACTAATTACTATGATTGGTTGTTTTCAAAGGACATCTTATTACCGAGTACGTCTATTTCTCTGTTCAGCTGTTATACTAAAAACATAATTGGTGATTTGAGACTACATCGAGGGTAAATCTGTTGATATGTTTATGTTATTAAAGTTGTGTGTATGCATTAAGTCAGAATTAACCACGAAGGTACACCATGGAAAATTTTAGTCATCTAGCCGATTCCGCTCAAGTAGACAAACTCAGTTTAACCAGTTTTGCGTGAAACGTGAGACTGATAAATTAGCAATTGTATAATTCAACAAGATGTTTGATCAGTATTATCAAATATTGATCGAAATAGGCGACTCATTAGATCTTCGGTCTCAGGTGACCTATTTTTGTTTACCTTTCAAATAATCTAAAATTTTTCAAAGATGCGCAAAAGGAATTTATATAATACCAATTGGTATTGATGTCCTACTGACCTGCAAGGTAAGGGGACCTTTATATTGGTCATTGCAGAATTATGTCGCGTAGGAATATGTGCAATCTGAAGGTTATTTATATTGATTAACATTGATGACCACTTTGTTCTTTGGTTTTTATTAACCAATGTCATGACATTTCGCATATCTATACATTGTTGGAAATGTGTAATTGGAATTCATGTAATGTTGATAAACATTGATACCTTTAATATGCTAATTAAAACATCCAAGTGCGAATTAACAATAGAATCATATTGGATCAATAATTTCTTGGTTCATTGAACTACGGAAATACGTGGTCGTTGGCCCTGGCTTTATTTTCATAAATGATTATAATAATAATGACAAAAAATCAATCTCATTTGATATTTTTTTTATTTCTAATTTTGACATTTATACCATTTAGAGTTTGCATTTTGCGAATGCAGTGTCGATAATAGAGTTTGCATTTTGCGAAATGCAGTGTCGATGTTGATGCTGTTCCATACCTGTGTCACTTAACCTAATGCATATGTAACCAAAACGTCACTATGATAATAATGAGTAATAGTAACCAATATTTGTATTTATTTGGGAAACTTTGAATTCGTTGAAGTAAGTGTTATTGGTTTGATCATATTCATATAAATTCCATGTATTTGAAGACTTGTAAACAATGTGGTTTGTTTAGAAACTCGTCACATGGAGCAAGATACTGGTCCATTCAAGACAGAGACAGCCCTTTCTGAACAGATCAAATTGCTCCAAACGGAAAGAAATGAATTGAAAATAAAACTTCAAATTGAACAAGAAAGAAACGAAACGTTACAAACAGCTCTTGGTAAGTAAATGGTGGCCACAGTAGACAAAAACAATCTTTTAGGTCGTAATAATTCATCCAGCAAAGCTCAAATCAGAATAAGAACCTACAAGAATCACTTAAAGCGGAGCAAAAAGCAAAAGAGGACTATGTTTTATCTTAATAAACTTTATTTGTTATAGTGAAAACTTGCACATAACTCAATTAAGCTGGTCAAAGGCTTCCTGAAAAGACCGTGTTAACTGTTTAAAGCCCTAGATTAAAAAAATAGTGTAGCACTAGCGTTATGACTCTTTTGTTCATTGATTTAGACGCAATCTTAGCTACAGACAGCGGCATTAAATAAATACCATCACTTTTGGAAAATCCAGTTGATACTTTACAGAAAGCATTAGGTGTCAAACATGTTCACTATATTTGCTTCCTCCCAAATACACGGACACGTCAAGTGGATCCAGCTAACATTGCTTCTAGTGGTCTGAGGGAAGTAGCTTGGAGACTTCATAAACTTATTGATCCGATTTATGAATATTTATTTTCAAATAGGTTCAAATAGTTTCTTTTCTGAAACAACGATGACCTTTAAGGCTTCAAAGTTATTTTGTTTAGAGTCTCGTCAGATATACCAGTGTCAAAAGAATCTTAATTCAAACTCAAAATATGCGAAATGAGAGCAAAATATGAAAAACAGGTTGATTCTGTGTGTTTCTTTCTCTTTTTGTCTTTTCCCCCGTTTTGCTTAGATGATATTTTTTTTTTTCATTTATCATCAAACCAAAAGGAAATGATTTACGATTTCAAAATTTCAATCGATGAAATGATACAGGACAAGCCAAAAATTCTCCAAAAAATGGTTCTATCCATTAAAGATATTCAAAGCAACATTTAATACTTACATTGACAGGAAGTCATGATAGTGAACATAAATCTGCGGAATCTCCAGAATGTCCACTCGACTCCGGTAAAGAGTGTATGCTAAGAGAGAAAAACTGCGACCGAGATGACGTGGAGGAGCTTAAAGCGAAGCTGACTAAGGCAACGGTTGAATTAGAGAACTTAGAGAGAGAAAAAACAAAGCTGAAAGAAGACCAAAGTAAACTTTCTTGAATTACATGTTTGACGAACAATGTACTGAATACAAAAAAAATACGAAAGTATTTTGCATTTATTTGAAATCAACAAATAGATATTTTACATTGTTGAGACGAATTCAATGACATTTCTTCTTGTGATTATAATCTCAAATGACGGCACTTCATATTTTCTGTTATGTTATGCTACTACCTGATAATTGTTTACAAAATATGCTACGTTTGCTTAAGTAACGCATGTATATTGCAAATTGAGGGTCGCATAATGAACATTGGGTTGAGTTCTGACAAACCGAATGTTAAGGTTAAAACGATACTTTCTGCTCAATAAGACTTATGACTACAGATTGAGGCTTTAAATATAATTGAAAAATTCCCTTTTACCCACAACAGGAAGGGAATCACAATCTTCATATGGAGGACTATAAACTGTCTGATCACAGCATCTGAAACAGATTAATATCAATCATTTTTTCATTATAAGCAACTTAATGTAAAAAAGTTTTGATCAATGTTGTAGGAATGATCCAAGGCAGTTGGAAATCAAATGATTAAAAATAAAGATAAACATGGTTATAGTACTAAGATTTTACAAATTATTACACTTGTCACGATAAAGAAAGAGTTTATAAAGACTATACAGTAGGCTAATACCACTTTATTCAGACAATTTACTGAAATTGCACACTGATAACTCTAAAACTGTTATCCGTTACAGTTTGAGCAAATATTTTATTTAAGTCGTCGTTCTTTTTTATATCAATTTATTTCAGCCTTGATTATTCTGCATTGCTATAACAAAAATGCTTCCTTTCTTCTGTTTGAATACACCAGAACCTACCATTCTTTAACCTTTACCAATGTTTACATGCAAATGGAATTAGCAATATGTTTACAGATGACTAAGAAGTAACTGCTTAGTAATTTGAAATACCGTTTTAATAACAGGTACACGTGATGAGGAGATGCAGACCTTGAAAGAAGCAAACAGAGAACTGGTTGCAAACATGAAAAGCATTCACCTAGACAAACATAATATTCTAAAGGAACTGGACAAAGTAAAAGCAGAAATGGCGCAGAAAGAATCAGAATTGAAAGAGTCATTAGAAGAGAAAAGTAATGTGTTGTACAACTAATTTTGCTTCATAGTACTTCTGGTGATATCATTGAATAATAAGCTAATATTCTCCATACTTGGTCGAATTTAGAACTTGTCATGAACTGTACAAAGGTGTGGGAAAATGTTGTTTTGGCATCTTAAGATAATTGTAGTATTGTAGTTTAGAAACAAACTAGTGAGAGGCAATACTAATTAGCACAATAAAATTATGGAAATAAATTTGAAATTATAAACATTCTAAAAAATATTTAAAAATATATAAAATAATTAAAGGTAACATTTCATAATTCACCACTCAAATACCTTGTCGGTCCTTACGAAAACAATATCTTTGATTGAAAGCCAGCATCTTGCTGGTTTTACCATCATATTTCGTGTTTGATCTACACAACAAAGTAACATTTAAGTATCATGTTACGACACATCATATCAAGTACAGATGGTAACATCAACTTGATGATCTTCAAGAATATTGATTAGACCGAGGGTGTAACAGATAAAACAGAATAAAACAAAAGTCCATACTATACATTCATCTTCACAATATCAGTTTTGTTGTTGAAGTATTTAAGGTGAAGGGGACAAAAAACCATAGCGGAAATGGAACATACGAAATCAGAATTGAAAGAGTCATCACAAGAGAAAATCAATTTTACTTTTGTCTATTTTTAGTGATGACGTTGAAGCAATGATCTAAATTTCTCATATTTAGTTGATTCCAGAACATGCAATTCACTGTACCTGTAATGTGTATTTAAATCAGACTATTCATATAAATCATTTTTTCATTATAAACAACTTAATGTAAAAAAGAGTTAGAGTCTGTTTTGATCAATGTTGTAGGAATGATCCAAAGCAGTTGGAAATCAAAAGATAAAAGATAAACATGGTTATAGTGCCAAGATGTTATGAATTATTACACTTGTCCCGATAAAGGAAGAGTTTATAAAGACGTATACAGTAGGCTAATACCACTTTATTCAGACAATTTATTGTAATTGCACACTGATAACTCTAAAACTGTCATCCATAGCAGTTTGAGCAAATATTTTATTAAAGTCGTCGTTCTTTTTTATATCAATTTATTTCAGCCTTTATTATTCTGCATTGCTATAAAAATGCTTCCTTTCTTCTGTTTGAATACACCAGAACCTACCATTCTTTAACCTTTAACAATGTTTACATGCAAATGGAATTAGCAATATGTTTACAGATGACTAAGAAGTAACTGCTTAGTAATTTGAAATACCGTTTTAATAACAGGTACACGTGATGAGGAGATGCAGACCTTGAAAGAAGCAAACAGAGAACTGGTTGCAAACATGAAAAGCATTCACCTAGACAAACATAATATTCTAAAGGAACTGGACAAAGTAAAAGCAGAAATGGCGCAGAAAGAATCAGAATTGAAAGAGTCATTAGAAGAGAAAAGTAATGTGTTGTACAACTAATTTTGCTTCATAGTACTTCTGGTGATATCATTGAATAATAAGCTAATATTCTCCATACTTGGTCGAATTTAGAACTTGTCATGAACTGTACAAAGGTGTGGGAAAATGTTGTTTTGGCATCTTAAGATAATTGTAGTATTGTAGTTTAGAAACAAACTAGTGAGAGGCAATACTAATTAGCACAATAAAATTATGGAAATAAATTTGAAATTATAAACATTCTAAAAAATATTTAAAAATATATAAAATAATTAAAGGTAACATTTCATAATTCACCACTCAAATACCTTGTCGGTCCTTACGAAAACAATATCTTTGATTGAAAGCCAGCATCTTGCTGGTTTTACCATCATATTTCGTGTTTGATCTACACAACAAAGTAACATTTAAGTATCATGTTACGACACATCATATCAAGTACAGATGGTAACATCAACTTGATGATCTTCAAGAATATTGATTAGACCGAGGGTGTAACAGATAAAACAGAATAAAACAAAAGTCCATACTATACATTCATCTTCACAATATCAGTTTTGTTGTTGAAGTATTTAAGGTGAAGGGGACAAAAAACCATTGAGGAAATGGAACATACGAAATCAGAATTGAAAGAGTCATCACAAGAGAAAATCAATTTTACTTTTGTCTATTTTTAGTGATGACGTTGAAGCAATGATCTAAATTTCTCATATTTAGTTGATTCCAGAACATGCAATTCACTGTACCTGTAATGTGTATTTAAATCAGACTATTCATATAAATCATTTTTTCATTATAAACAACTTAATGTAAAAAAGAGTTAGAGTCTGTTTTGATCAATGTTGTAGGAATGATCCAAAGCAGTTGGAAATCAAAAGATAAAAGATAAACATGGTTATAGTGCCAAGATGTTATGAATTATTACACTTGTCACGATAAAGAAAGAGTTTATAAAGACGTATACAGTAGGCTAACACCACTTTATTCAGACAATTTATTGTAATTGCACACTGATAACTCTAAAACTGTCATCCATAGCAGTTTGAGCAAATATTTTATTCAAGTCGTCGTTCTTTTTTATATCAATTTATTTCAGCCTTTATTATTCTGCATTGCTATAAAAATGCTTCCTTTCTTCTGTTTGAATACACCAGAACCTACCATTCTTTAACCTTTAACAATGTTTACATGCAAATGGAATTAGCAATATGTTTACAGATGACTAAGAAGTAACTGCTTAGTAATTTGAAATACCGTTTTAATAACAGGTACACGTGATGAGGAGATGCAGACCTTGAAAGAAGCAAACAGAGAACTGGTTGCAAACATGAAAAGCATTCACCTAGACAAACATAATATTCTAAAGGAACTGGACAAAGTAAAAGCAGAAATGGCGCAGAAAGAATCAGAATTGAAAGAGTCATTAGAAGAGAAAAGTAATGTGTTGTACAACTAATTTTGCTTCATAGTACTTCTGGTGATATCATTGAATAATAAGCTAATATTCTCCATACTTGGTCGAATTTAGAACTTGTCATGAACTGTACAAAGGTGTGGGAAAATGTTGTTTTGGCATCTTAAGATAATTGTAGTATTGTAGTTTAGAAACAAACTAGTGAGAGGCAATACTAATTAGCACAATAAAATTATGGAAATAAATTTGAAATTATAAACATTCTAAAAAATATTTAAAAATATATAAAATAATTAAAGGTAACATTTCATAATTCACCACTCAAATACCTTGTCGGTCCTTACGAAAACAATATCTTTGATTGAAAGCCAGCATCTTGCTGGTTTTACCATCATATTTCGTGTTTGATCTACACAACAAAGTAACATTTAAGTATCATGTTACGACACATCATATCAAGTACAGATGGTAACATCAACTTGATGATCTTCAAGAATATTGATTAGACCGACGGTGTAACAGATAAAACAGAATAAAACAAAAGTCCATACTATACATTCATCTTCACAATATCAGTTTTGTTGTTGAAGTATTTAAGGTGAAGGGGACAAAAAACCATAGCGGAAATGGAACATACGAAATCAGAATTGAAAGAGTCATCACAAGAGAAAATCAATTTTACTTTTGTCTATTTTTAGTGATGACGTTGAAGCAATGATCTAAATTTCTCATATTTAGTTGATTCCAGAACATGCAATTCACTGTACCTGTAATGTGTATTTAAATCAGACTATTCATATAAATCATTTTTTCATTATAAACAACTTAATGTAAAAAAGAGTTAGAGTCTGTTTTGATCAATGTTGTAGGAATGATCCAAAGCAGTTGGAAATCAAAAGATAAAAGATAAACATGGTTATAGTGCCAAGATGTTATGAATTATTACACTTGTCCCGATAAAGAAAGAGTTTATAAAGACGTATACAGTAGGCTAATACCACTTTATTCAGACAATTTATTGTAATTGCACACTGATAACTCTAAAACTGTCATCCATAGCAGTTTGAGCAAATATTTTATTCAAGTCGTCGTTCTTTTTTATATCAATTTATTTCAGCCTTTATTATTCTGCATTGCTATAAAAATGCTTCCTTTCTTCTGTTTGAATACACCAGAACCTACCATTCTTTAACCTTTAACAATGTTTACATGCAAATGGAATTAGCAATATGTTTACAGATGACTAAGAAGTAACTGCTTAGTAATTTGAAATACCGTTTTAATAACAGGTACACGTGATGAGGAGATGCAGACCTTGAAAGAAGCAAACAGAGAACTGGTTGCAAACATGAAAAGCATTCACCAAGACAAACATAATATTCTAAAGGAACTGGACAAAGTAAAAGCAGAAATGGCGCAGAAAGAATCAGAATTGAAAGAGTCATTAGAAGAGAAAAGTAATGTGTTGTACAACTAATTTTGCTTCATAGTACTTCTGGTGATATCATTGAATAATAAGCTAATATTCTCCATACTTGGTCGAATTTAGAACTTGTCATGAACTGTACAAAGGTGTGGGAAAATGTTGTTTTGGCATCTTAAGATAATTGTAGTATTGTAGTTTAGAAACAAACTAGTGAGAGGCAATACTAATTAGCACAATAAAATTATGGAAATAAATTTGTAATTATAAACATTCTAAAAAATATTTAAAGGTAACATTTCATAATTCACCACTCAAATACCTTGTCGGTCCTTACGAAAACAATATCTTAGATTGAAAGCCAGCATCTTGCTGGTTTTACCATCATATTTCGTGTTTGATCTACACAACAAAGTAACATTTAAGTATCATGTTACGACACATCATATCAAGTACAGATGGTAACATCAACTTGATGATCTTCAAGAATATTGATTAGACCGAGGGTGTAACAGATAAAACAGAATAAAACAAAAGTCCATACTATACATTCATCTTCACAATATCAGTTTTGTTGTTGAAGTATTTAAGATGAAGGGGACGAAAAACCTTAGAGGAAATGGAACATACGAAATCAGAATTGAAAGAGTCATCACAAGAGAAAATCAATTTTACTTTTGTCTATTTTTAGTGATGACGTTGAAGCAATGATCTAAATTCCTCATATTTAGTTGATTCCAGAACATGCCATTCACTGTACCTGTAATGTGTATTTAAATCAGACTGTTAATATCAATCATTTTTTCGTTATCAACAACTTAATGAAAAAAAGTTATAGTCTGTTTTGATCAATGTTGTAGGAATGATCCAAAGCAGTTGGAAATCAAAAGATAAAAGATAAACATGGTTATAGTGCTAAGATGTTATGAATTATTACACTTGTCACGATAAAGAAAGAGTTTATAAAGACGTATACAGTAGGATAACACCACTTTATTTAGACAATTTATTGTAATTGCACACTGATAACTCTAAAACTGTCATCCATAGCAGTTTGAGCAAATATTTTATTAAAGTCGTCGTTATTTTTTATATCAATTTATTTCAGCCTTTATCATTCTGCATTGCTATAAATAATATTTCCTTTCTTCTGTTTGAATACACCAGAACCTACCATTCTTTAACCTTTAACAATGTTTACATTCGAATAGAATTAGCAATATGTTCACAGATGACTCCGAAGTAACTGCTTAGTAATTTGAAATACCGTTTTAACAGCAGGTACACGTGATGAGGAGATCCGGACCTTGAGAGAAGCAAACAGTGAACTGGTTGCAAATATGAAAAGCGTTCACCAAGACAAACAGTATCTTCTAAAGAAACTGGACAAAGTAAAAGCAGAAATGGCGCAGAAAGAATCAGAATTGAAAGAGTCATTAGAAGAGAAAAGTAATGTGTTGTACAACTAATTTTGCTTTCATAGTACTTCTGGTGATATCATTGAATAATAAGCTAATATTCTCCAACAAGAGAGTTCTATCTCTGAAAATTTAAAAATTCTTGCAGGTCACCTTTATTAAGCTTTCAGGAATTATTTGAATCAATATTTTAATAATATAATAATGATAAAATGATATTTATATTGACAGTTAAGTGTGATGGCGAGCTACAGTCCTTGAAAGCAAAGGTTAGTGAAGCGGATTCTCATCTGAAGCGTAATGAGCAAGAAAAACATAATTATCTAAGTCAACTGGATAAAGTCAAAGCAGAGATGATGGAAAGCAAATCCGCAATGGAAAATATACGGGATGAAAATCGGAAAATGAAGGAGAACCAACGTAAGCTAAATTTATGCACTTTTGTATTATGTTGGAGCACAATTCCAAGAACCAGAACATCACATCAGTATAACATTATATAACATGTGTTATGCTTTGAACGTATAGAGATAGAATTTGACATCTATGTGTCCACACTGCACCACTCTTAGGAACTTTCTTATTAAACGGTAGATTTTCTGGATACTTTGTTTCTTTACAGAATACAGGAAATTTATAATCCATACTATCGAGGAATTCTTTATATCTGCCATACCTCCGCCAGCAGTCAACTTTATAACGATATCTCACCATATGAAAATTCCTAGCATGACGGCTTTTTAGAAACATCGCCACTTCCAAACCTTTAAATTCTCTAACTAGCATTTTGGAAATATCAACAATATAATTAAGTGATAAGTAAACCACCACATATACATTGTAGTTTGCTCCGTGTGCTTGGACATATATAAGTATTATTAATACAACTGCTTGACGCAGTTTTATTCAATATTGGCTCTATTGTATCTAATCATTCTTTATCAAAAGGTTCTACTCACTTGTGTTCCTTTTACACAATATATATCCTTTAATGACCAAATGTTTAATCATCAAATCATAACAATTCAAAATGTATCATTCAAAATTGGTGATCTGCCAAACAATATATCTGGTACTTATTATAGTCAAGAATAAATTTCACTTTTTATATAAAACACATAAATACCAACTTGTAGACATAATAATCATAATTGAAACAAGAATTAACAACTAGGGCTAGTACGAACAAAAGAAAGATTTCTGATTTCCTATTTTGGTAGGTATATACGATGAACGTGGTCAATAAATGTCTTGTTATGTAAAGACATGACGTCATCAATATGTTTGAAAGTGAAATTAAACGACTTTGCAATGTCTTTGTGACCTGTTTTTTTTATAAGTTCCTTAATAAAACCTGCCTCTTAACCTTAGATGACTACACGATCACCTTCATCAAAACATGGTTTGAGACATGTTTGCATTAATGTAAAAAAATCAAATGATTTTTGGATTTTAGTATCAGCGTATAGGTAAGATTACAATTAAACATATCTCCCCAGTAATATCAATATTGTTTGCTTTGGCAGAAAAAAATGAACAAATCATTCAAGCTGTACAAAGTGAAAAAGACAAACTGGATTCACAATGCAAGGATTTACAACTAGAAAATGTGAAAATGAAAGAAACCATGAATGTGAGGTTGGAAGAAAAAAATAATAAATTTGACAAAGTAACAAAAGAGAACATGCAATTGAAAGCCTATTGCTGTAAGTAGATCCAAACTTATGCTGATATACTGACTTATGATAATTATAGTTTATTCAGAAAAGATGTTTCTGCTTTATTCCTAGCCATAAGAGCCATCAAGAACCTTATTAGTATAGGTATTTTATTACTCACGATAAATATTGTTTAACAAGCGTGATGTGGAATTTTTTGCTTTGAAAGTTTGAGATAATTGTACAACTATGTACAGAAATGTTATTTACCATAAGCACTTTGAGATACTTTTCTGATAACAGAAACAAATCATAATTGTTGACCTTTACAGCAAAACATGACAAGGAGCTGTCTTTATTACGAGCAAGTAAGCGTGAAATGGACTCCCAACTGGAAAGCATTAAAAAAGAGAAAGAAATCATTCAAAATAAACTGGTTGACGTCACAGCAGCAATGACTAGAACAAAATCAGAATCGGATAAGGCACAGAGAGAAGTCCAAAAACTAACAAACATTTCAAGTATGTTCCTTTACAAATAAGCAAAATTAACAAAATGTTGTATGTTAGAATATGCTGAAAGTTTATTGTTACTGAAAGTTTTAAGAGGGCTGTAAATAGATACTTTACAACACAGATATGCATTTTACATCTAGGCATAAGTTGTGTTGTTGTAGCAACATATTTGCAAGTCGCATGGTACATTATATCTACACAGGACGACGTGTTACATATGTGATCTGATGTTTACGCGGCTTGAACAACATAGGATACAAGCATTATAACACCCATTGCTTTCACTCAACAGGCTAGAGAAGTGTGCAGATATCATGATGACACATATAACACATCTGAAGTTTGTATCGTTGATTTTATGAATATCACTTAACAATTTTTTATGATGAATCATTTACTCAAATGTCAGACCTGAGGTAAATCATTGTTAAAAGTAAACATCCATGTACTTTTTAATGACAGGTTTAACGAACGAAAGACTGCAAAATTTGAAACAAAGTCATTACAAATTGGATTTAGAGAAGGAAAATTTGCAGCAACAAAATGCTAAAATCGGACAAAGCCTCGATGAGGAAAAAGTGAAGCTGACTAATGTTAAAAAAGAACTAGAGAAAACACAAGAAGAGAACTGCAGATTGAAAGTCGATAGTGGTTAGTAAGATTTCAGTATACCACTGTTAATTAATGTTTGTCAATTAGTATCAGCTGGAGCACTATCAAATATGGATAATTTAAACATGATTACCATATTGTTTGGACTGAGATTTTGTTTCAGTGACTGTCCATCTGTACATGTATTAACATTTGTGTGCACATCTTCATTAATTTACGCAGATTAAATACCACCTACTTCATTAGTGTTTACAGTTTTACTACTTGACCCTTCGGATAAAACGAATAATGCTATGGCTCATTAGAGCTTCTTCTCAATATTCGAATCTTAATATCTACATGCATGTAGAGTGAAGATAAGATGGTTCATCCGTAATTCTGACTATGCTCCATATAAGCAATATTAATTAATTTTAAACAAAACCATGAATGTTTCAAACGTTAAGAATGTGTGCACATTTTGTATCCATACATTTTTTTCAGAAACAAAAAGTAAACAACTCGACGCATTGAGCAGCCCAAAGAAAAAACATGTTGGTATGTAGATGTTTAATATACCTTGGTGCTAGGTGTTTAAATACATGTAACAGTTTTATAAGTATTATATGTAAATTGATTTCTGCTGCGTTGACTGTTTTTTCATCTGATGTTACTTTGTAGAATGTGTATCTTTAACAACTCTATTGTTCGTTTTCGATTTCAAGTATGACCACCGTCCATCACTGACCAACATACATAATGATGCGTTATATGTCGTGACTGTGTTTGTTGTTTACAGGTACTTAGTAGCTATCTGATTGGCATGGTAGACTAGACTTGTGTTATGACCTGTTAATGTTCAAGTTACTACTAAAATTGGTAAAAATGACAATAGAAAAAAAACGCATTACACATGTATATGAAGTCCATATTCTTTAAATGTATTGCACCTCTTAACTGATTATGATTTTGTAGTGCTTGGCCTACGTAGCGAACGAAGTGGATTGGGCAAGTCTGTTGTTGACATGGTAACAAGAGAACTGACAAGGCGCCTACAAGAGAGACTGGACATGAGGAAACTTAATCTGGCAGTTTCGTTTTCCTCAAACCCATCCGAGGTTACTAACGGCTTACAAATAGTGCTTTGTTTGAACATGTCCAGGGTTGGTACCAATATCGCAGACACTCTGAAGGGGATGAAAGGTAAAAAGTAGTTTTGTTTGGGGTTCTCAACAGAAGTTGTTAACAAAAACAGACATTTATCTGATATATCCAGTTACTGATAATAATGAATTAAATAAGCAATTGTTTTTTCAATTAGTTCTGAAATATGAATGTATACTCTCATGATGCTAAACCAAACGTTAATTATTGTCGTTTAACAGCTGACAGAGACGTGTTTGTAATGGTTCTTCACCATACCAGCAAAGAAAACCTCTCATCTCTCACTCCCACAAGCCATCGTGTAACCGGAAGCGAAATAAGACAATTAGGTGGGATCTTTGATATGGCATTCAGTGGTGACGGCGGACTATACGAGTGTGATCTCAACAACTCTGCTGTCGAAAAAATTGCTTCTATTCTTAGAAAATGTTTGATATTATGAATATCAAGAAGGCTTATTAACAACCACTAAACAAGACAGAGTGTAGGACATTTGACTTTGATAATAAGGTTGTGTTAATGATCAAAGGTTGACCAGTCTTCAGTTTGTGTGATTAAAGCTTACCTAAACAGTTTGTTATAATTATATCAATACCATTGCCGAAACGCTACAATAAAAGTATCTATATATTTCGCATAATATTGATTAATGTTGTATATATATATAAATGAGATATATTAGAACCTGATTGAGTTGGAATGATTCTCCACAATCTCTCCTAACCTAATTTTCCCACCACTTCACTCATTTTTATAATGCATTAAGACTGTCACTCATTGATATCATTAAAGAACGAATGAAGATTTCAGTATCACACTAGAATGCTTTCTCAGAAGTATCATTACATATATAAACAAATGATAATTTCTTTCACAAAAATCCATTATTTTCAACACAGGGCTGTCTTTAAGTCGTTGTGATAATAAATAATTCCAGTGCAATCTTTTTAGAAACTTTTTGTTTAGATTAAGTTAGACATACCTTTTTTCTATTCAATAATATTTACATTATAGATTTAATGGTTCAAAAGCATTATGTCCAAATTATAATGTTGATTCTTTATATTGAGTTATCAAAAACATGTTAATAGTATATTTAGGAATATTTTCGTCAGGTTGGTAATGTTGGTAATAACATAGAATTTCTCAAAACACATCCAGCGGAAGATTGGTACTGATGTTGTTATGAGAACACCAGACTTCAAACTTCAGAAATGCTTATTGTTAGAAAGGTTAAATAAAAAACCCTTTCTAAACCATGCCCGAGGTACTAGTGGGTTGTTCAACAAGTGACTGTACAAGCGACTGCATCCTGGAATTTTTTCCTCTTATTTTACACTTGTCATCTATAGTTCACAGCTCTAAACAAACATTGTTAATATAGTTAGATATTTATATGTATATGTCGGAGCCTTTTCCATCAATTACAAGCAAAGACATGGATTCAGTGTTTGGAGTAAGCTTCACATCCATAACCATCATTGGTATTGATTTCTTGATATAATGATGTTAGAGGTAGGAAAATTGTAAACAACAGATGATTTATAGTAAAGTGATGTTAGAGGTAGAAAATTGTAAACAACAGATGATTTACGATGTTGAGACTTGAAGTTACTTGTAGTGTGCATCATACCTTTTTACCGCTGGTATATATTTTGTGTTGATCTAATTAAGGTTAAGTAAAATATGTTATAACACCTGATATGGTTGTGTTATATGACAAGAAACATCAATGCTGCTGTCGTTTACATCCAATTATGATAACATTGTACCCGTGTCCATTGCCCTCTATCTGATTCAATGTGTTTTCTATTATTACAATATGAATTTGATTAAGTCTATAACGACGTGTAATAAAAACATACATACAGGAAATCAACCCTACTAACTTTGTTAAAACAGTTTTAAGTTCTTGATACAATAAAGACATTTTACATATGAAAATCGTCCGGTCGTCTTTGTGACACGATTCCTCGCTTGCATTTTATATAATTTGTTTTGATTCTCTGTGGGTGTGAGTGTAGGTGTGTGCAAGGGCGAGGGTGTCTGTGTGTTTGTGTGTTGGGATCAGCAGCTTTAAATGTATAAAGAAAACAAGAGGCCCAAAGGGCCTTAACATGATCCACCCAGTGGTTCTTTCGAGGAAGTCCAAAATGTCTTAGCCAAACAGAGGCCAGGGTTGTACATTTATATAAAGCAAGTCATGTTTTCATTTACAAGTTGAAATATAACTTAGTAGATACATGTATAGCTAAAGTAAACAAAAAATCAGATCAGTTTCAAGTCTATCCACAATCTTTTCCTTGCCGAATACAATAAGGCATCCAACTAAAAAAACTCACATAAAACAATGTGGTACTTCGGAGACAGGAATATATATGTATCAAGGCTGAGAAATGTAGTGTTACCACAGGTATTGAACCATATCATACATGTAGCTAGACATAGAAGGTTCAGCAAGTAATAAGATCCGGGTTTATTGAAAGATCTGGCTACACATTTTTTCTCGCCTATATGGTTGTCATGAACACACCACATGTCTTTATTAAAGATTAATCTGTAACAAATATCAGAAGGACTAATTTTGGACCAGTTATTTTTATTCTCACAAACTTCGCAGTCCTTTCCCTAAAGATCATCTATATAAAGTTACACTTTTGGTTCAGGACAACAAGATTTGCTAAGATTTAACAAATTCTACCCCTTTCTGTCCCTTGAATATGCCCCCATTGAGGCCACACATTTTTCTATTGTAAACTTAAAGAAGCTTACGTTACCTAATTTTACTCCTTTTTTACCCCCACCTGGGGCCCCTATTGCAGCCATTACTTTTTTTCCCCTCAAACTAAATGTGTCTTATTACACTGATGCTTTGTGCTTAGTGTGGTTGTAACCCAAAAACATGGTCAATGCCATTAGAATCCATTTAAAAAAAAAATCTAATTGACCGCTTTTTGCCCCTGATGAAGCCCCAGAATCCCTCAGAAACTTTTTTTCAACTCAAAGTCACATGTTCTTCACTAAGGGACCCTATATACTAAATTTGGTTGAAATCCATAAACTTTGAATTTTGACCCCTTTTTAGTGCACCCTAGAGGGCCTGTTTATGACCCAATTTTTTTCTAATTCCTAAACTTTGTAGACCTTGCTCAAAGAACCATTAATTCTTAATTTTAGGAAAATCTGATACTCGGTTCATAAGAAGAAGATTTTTAAAGATTTACCTAATTTTACCGCTTTTTGTCCCCTCCTGTAGCCCCTATTGGAGCCACACCTTTTCTTTCACAAACTTGATGCATCTTACTATAGGGATACTTTGTGCCAAGTTTGGTTGAAATCCATCCAGTGGTTCTTCAGAAGAAAACGAAAATGTGAAAAGTTAATGACGCACGACGGACGAAGACAGACAAATCATGATGGCAATAGGTCACCATGAGCCGATGCACAAACTTAGTCTGACTGTTGGTGCATGCGAAGAAGATTTTTAAAGATTTACCTAATTTTACCCCCTTTTCTCCCCTACTGGGGCCCCTATTGGGGCCATGCCCTTTTTCTTCGCAAACTTTAAGAGGCTTCCCATGGGGATGTTTTGTGCCAAGTTTGGTCAAAATCCATCTACTGGTTCTTGAGAAGTAATCATTTAAAAAAGGTTTTTACATATGGCCACTTTTACACCCCTTATGGGCCCCAAAGGGGACATTATCTCTTTTTCCAATTTAATTTCATATGTCCTTCACTAAGGGATGCTGTCTACCAAATTTGGATAAAATCGGTCGAAGTTGAATTTTTTACCCTTTTGAGTGCCCCATAGTGAGGCCGTTTTTGACCCGATTTTTTTTTCCATTCGCAAACTTTGTAGACCTTGTCATAAGTACACTAAATATCAAATATGAACTTAATCTGACAGTTGGTTCATGAGAAGAAGATTTTTTAAAGATTTACCTAATTTTACCCCCCCTCCCCCCTTTTCCCCCTCATGGGGCCCCTATTTGGCCCACGCCCTTTTTCGCAAACTTGAAGCAGCTTCCCATGGGAATGCTTTGTGCCAAGTTTGGTCAAAATCCATTCAGTGGTTCTTGAGAAAAAGTCGAATATGTGAACAGTTAACGACGCACGACAGACGACGACAGACCTTCGGCTCAGGTGACCTAAAAACACACACAGTGGAAATTATCAAAACCACACAATTGTGTATATATAGAGGTGATATAATCAACATACATACATGAAAAATTCGATATTAGGTACCGTGTACATTGTACTTATATTATTTCGTAATGCTAAATGTTGACTTTGTGAAAACCTCCAGAAATGAAAGGTATGGCTATATGACACAAACAACATCAAAAAACATCCACATTTTATAACAGATAAATCATAGTGACCCATATTAATTTATCTAATGATGTAGATGACGTGTGATTTTCTGACAACCACGTTACTCAGTGATGTGAATAAATGTATACTGTCTATATCTGCGGAAATCAGGAAACACGACAAACTATTGATCAATAAGATTGTCCGAACACAAATACAAACAGTTAAATAAGATGTTGAGAAATGATGATCAAAATGAATCTTAGAGGATGAAATATAAACAAACAAGAAATAAAACAAGAGATAGGGTAAAAACATGTGAGCTGTTCTATGAAAACATAGATTCCATAATAAGATAGCACAGAAACATATAGGCAGTTAATAATGCTTATATCAAAAAGACAAAAATAACTAGTGATACATCATCTCTGTTTGATGAAGATGCTAACTGATATGCCAATGATGAGAAAGAAAAACTGCAAGCATCATTATATTTTGTTATATTTTGGCCATTGCGAAGAAGACTAAAACAAATCTATTCCTGGAGTAGCTAAAAGAACCAATGTCTGAAATATATATTATTCCTTCTGAAGTTGTTTTTATTATCAAAATTCTAGATGTAGACAAGACAACAGGGTGCAATAGGATTATCAATTATATATAATTTATGTAGTTGTCATACCCTTGTCGCTCAGTTTTGATCATTTTCACTTGATAAATAGAAATTAGCAAACGTAATGCCAATTTTGAAGTCTGGTGACAGCCATAATGTTTCGAGTTATAGACTGATATCATTGTTAAGTTCAAGTTTTGAATGTTTAGTCTACAAACAAGCTTTACAACTTTTTATGATGGAATAGTCTTATCTACATATTTCAGTGTAGATTTTAACCAGATCATTTATATTAACTCGTAATGTATCACACTCTCCTGCTAGAAAATCATGAACATATAGGTCTTCCTTTTTAGTGACCCTCTAGGTGTCAGGCATCCATAATAGTACCCGAGTTTGAATACGTTATTGTGGGTTGTCCATAAATAAGATTAACACCAACCCTTAGTTTTGAACTTCTATATTCAAAACGTCAACATAAAATACTCCTAGCAGTTCACATTAACAGCACA